TTAAATTTAAGAAATTGTTAATTAAATTTTTCCAAATAATTTTACTGCAAATTTATGGTGTTTACGCAAAAAATAAACATTAAGATGGGTGATTTTTGTTAATAAATAAATAATTCAATAAAACATCAAGAATACAAACCAAGAGAAGTAAATTCACTTTATTTGTATAATTTTTTGTGTAAAATTAAAACACCAATTTCTTTAACTGAAGAAGTTTGCAGAGAAGAAGCAGAAGAAGGGTACGTATATGTAGAAGAAGAGAATTGATGAAGGCAGGACGAGATAAAATCACGCGAGAAGGTGCGAAGTGAAGATCGGGGGCCAATCGAGACTTAATTTGCGAAAGGCCGAGCGCAAAAAATTCAAAGTAATTTCGTAGCTTCTTTCTGTCCCCGGGACACATCAGAAAAGAGGTGAGAGAAACAACAGCTACAAGCCGGCTGCATCAGTGGCTGATAAATTAATTTGCACCGGAAACTTCTGACGGGGAAATGACGTCATTACTTTTGATGCTACTGCTTTGAGTTAGACCACCTTGGATCGTACCCAGGTATCTAAAATATTCACAATCATAATAATCATAATACAAGAAATTATATACCTAATATATTTAATTATTCATCAGTGAGTTGGCTTGATGATCAGACATTTGTTTTCAATGCGCAGAATACACTTCATCGACAACAAAAAATTTTTTTCTCTATTTCTTTCATCTTGTTCAGGCGGAAAAACCATCAATGAGATAAAGTTTTTCTCCTGGTATCTTGATTGCTCATTATATTACTCAAATATGGTGCATCATTCTGATGGTATGGATGCAGTTAACGTGATGATGATGATGATGACGATGGTTGATAATGGTTGAAACAGTGGCGGCTTCTCGAATTACTTCCAGCACCATTCGTAAGCTTGCTCTCCTTGGCTCTTTTATATTTGAGTGAATCTATATATACACACGTGAAGTAAAATTTGTCGAGAATCCGGTTTGATGATATATACTCCAGCCATTGTTGTGCTAGCAGGAAAAACTTGGTGATATTGTGGACTCTCATCATGTGGAAGACCAACTCGGCAGGGTCTGTATAGACTACTGGTGAGATGAATAAAAAAATGAGTTCAGAGCGAGAGAACGCCGCGGGACAGACGGCGATCACGTCGTTTGAGGTAGCCGCCGACTCATTCACGTTTCGAAATGAGATCGGCATCTCCTTCCACCTGCATCACCTTCATACTCTTCTTCATCTTTTCTTCAAAGTTCAGTTGATAATCTTCTGTTGATTCATTTATTTATCACCATACGTGGGGAGTCCTTGTTAAGTATGAATTCAAGGCTAGAGTTATGTCCTCGTCATTTCCTCTGAGTAACTCGATCATGTTTTAACTGAATCGATTTTTGTAGAAATATAAAAGACTCGAAGTTTAATTAAAAATTTTTTGATCAACAATATCTTTTTGTAGGATGAATTTGATATTAAAGAACTTCATAATAGTACAGTACAGGAGAAGAATAATTAATTTTATAAAAAACATGGAATTTCTGTTTTAAAAAAATTTAATTTAAAAAAAAATACTAGAAATTAAAAATTGCACTTGTAAAATAAGATTTTTCAAATGGAGATTACTTATTGACTACAAAATTTTCTTTTCGTCATACCCGCACGGAAAGTTCACATTTCCATTGGAGAGGGGTTGAATTTCCCACGCAGGTATGACGAGAAATCATATTCAGTCCTAGAGAAGACAATTAGACTAACTTAATCCACGTGTTTATTACCCTCGCCTTCGGCTCGGGTTGTAATTTTACACGTGGTTGGAGCTAGACTACTTTCCCTCTCTAGGTGTGAAATGTACTATTTTTCAATTAAAAAAATAAGTTTTGCATTATTAATAAAATATAGATTTTGCTAATGACTTATTAGATCTATTGACACTCAACAAAGATTATTTATTACAAAAAGAGTTGAGAAATTTCTAATGGGTAAAATAGAATAATATTTAAAAACGAACGCAACCCTAAATAGAGTACCTTTTTCTGTTTATACCTGAAATTTCCAAGGGGTTTAATTTTTGTTAAACAAATTTTCTTCAGGACACGCTGGCGTTCGTTTAACAATCCATAAGACTGAAGAAAGTGCAAGGGTAAACAGCAAATCTGTAGATGCAGAACTTCATCAGTTACGAAGATCTACTATTATTACTATCCCCAAGTACGCAAGAATAATGTTCGAACTCTACCTTTCCGACGTCCTTGCATTTTCCCAGCATCTTTCTCTAGTTAACTGCAAGATGATTTATTCTTGGAGCCGTCCGTACGAATCGTGTCAGTTAGGAGAAATGCGAGTGACAAAATTTTACGAAACTTTTACTTTCTGAAGGTTTATGGTGGCCGGCGTGTGGCCGTCGCTCGACCAGAAGAAATCGTACCTTCTATCATTTTTCGTCACTCATTTTCTCAAAATATAAATATATGACCTCGACTCCAAACATTTTTTGATTTACGAGATACACTATGGATCCATACTCTTCCAAGGATATTGCTGAATGGCCATGTAATATATGGTATATATGTAAATGATTATTTAGTTTTTTAACATTTAGCAGATGGTATAAGAAAAAAAAAATTCAGAATAAATATTCTTCTCTACATGAATTATTAATAGATCTTTTTTTTATAAAAATGTTAAAATTTATGACAAACAATAGACTCAGTAGTCAGATTTGAAAAATAATTTTTTTTACTGATGAATGGATTGTACATTTTCTTGTAAAGATTTAGTCCAACTTCGGCTCCGACTGTGTGGCGTGTGGAGCAGAGTCGGCAAAGACGAAGGAAAGTCCAAACCCCAGGATCCATGTGAAGAGTAGGTCACAAGGGCAATAGACCTAATTTTCAAGGTCGCTATGATGCATCTAACTGCCACATACCAACCTCCACATTGTAAATTTCACTTTGGAGTATAAAACTTGGTTTTAAAAAAATGCTTAGCCCAAATTGTGCCCAACCGGTAGCTGGACGACTATATTTTCACTTATTCAATGTTATTATTTATGACACAAGCTTAAGCTTACATTTACTTTTTTATCTTTTTACCTCTTTTACCCTTCAACGATCTTCTCGCTATTAAAGAGAAAACTCCACCAAAGACTTTCCAATATTTTTTTACCACTTCAGCCAGAAAAAAAACTAGCTGCTAACTTACATTGACCTCCATCCTGATGAATAAATAGCTCATTTATAACACTTAGCCTTTTAGCATATTTTCTGAAAAATCAGGTTGATCTAGGTGCTACATAAAATCCTAGAAACTCATTAAAAGAGACCTAAAAATTTTAAAATAAGTCAGTAAGTCAGTAAGCCATCAAAAGACCCCCTGAAGGGTGCTTCCGAATTTCGCTACTCCTGGCGCGAGGCGTCGCTTTTACTACATGAGTTCTCGAAAAACCCCCATGGTGAGTTAAATGTAGTAGTAAAGTATACCAGAAAAACTAGAGATAGTGGGAGGACAGTCACGCGCCTTGTTCATTCTTTCAATCGTTTTCTCTTGTCACTTCTAAATAACTGTAGCAGCTTGTGGTCCATTTTACTTGGCAGTGGGAGGACTCTGAGCTGTCAATATCTTTTCTAAATGTTTGCAACTATTTGACAGGGATTCTAACACTCTGGACTTTCTATCTTTTTTGCTGGTTCATTTTTTAATTTACTGAAAAGATCACTTGTGTTTGAAAAATAAAGATAAATGATGTACTACTGCTGCTGGTGATGACTCCTCCAACTGTTATAATTACATTATTATTGGATATTAAGTAGACATCAATTAATTTCTCACTTCTTTATAAAGTCTATCATCAATGATGTTCTCTTTTAAACATACTATACAACAAAGATATATGAATATAATGTGGGAGTCAGATGGAGCATGAAATTTTTCGTCAATCTTCTCAATTATCTAACATATGTTCAACATTCGTTTTCCTCTTTTTCATCTGATTACTCTTTTTTTATTGTTCGTCACTGCTCATCACTTCCGGCTCTCTTTTATTCGTTTTTTATTTTACATTAATTTTTCTATCCAATTTTATTTTATCAATATGCTCTTCAGAAAAAAAAAATAAACTTTTTCTTACCATTCTTCAAAAATAGTGATCCTGAAAATAAGCAGTCAAGTTTTTCCTTTCTCTAGTTTTAGTCAAAATTCGTAAATCTTTTGTGAGAACATCAAGGGGAAGAAAAAAGAGTAAGGTATAGAGCAAAAAACATTTGAAAAGCTTGGAAAGTCTAGGATGATTGCTTCGCGGTTGGTGTCGTGACCAGGTCAGAGAACAATTTAAAAGTCCACGAAGGTGGTAGCCTGAAGACCCAGTAGTCCTAAATTTTCCAAAAGTGTGTCACCGGAACAGTTAGCTAAACTTTTCATTTCACGGCCTGACGACTTGCCACCGTTTTTGGGCACACCCTTATTTTGCAACTAAACTATGTCTTTCTAGCCCCCCCTTAGACTCACTTTTCAACAAAAGAACAGTTGAATATCTCCATATACCTGATCAGTAACTAGAGAATTCATATATTCACAATTAACTTAAACAGTTTGATCTAGACTATTTTTTTTTATTACTAAGGTACGTCATATATGATATGTTCAAGACAATAATTTCATTATTGTTGAAACTGAATTATTAACAATATTAAAAATCATCTAGATGCATCAGATGCATGTTTTTAAAGATCTAATTTCTTCCTTTACAACAATTTATGAAACTCTATTAGTACAGGATAATGTTAGAGTGCTTTCAATAGTTCTCATACGTATCCTAAAACTATTTAAAAAGTTATAAAACCTACGGAAGTCAAGTCATTGGCCTAAAAGGTTGAAAGTTCGCATAATGTAGCGTAATAATTATGCGTTCAATGCACAGCTTTCACGCTGGAATAAATTTCCAATAGCACACAGGATAATTTACCCACAAGATTAACGGATGATTAAATTATTAAGTCCAAACGCTTCAATAATAAACATTTAATGGACACTGTACACGATATATATCGCTTTACATGTTAAGGTTTTGTTCATAATTCTGCTAGTCCATACTTTCCTTGATTTATCACGGTTCTAACCATTAATATATTTTACTTTTTATTAATTATTCTATTCTTTGTAAGATATTGAAGATACTTTCGTTAAACGAACTTTCATACTTATTTTATATTTTTGTTTTAATAAATAAATACAAATGATTAAATGTCACTATTTACAATAATCTAAATAGTTACTTCTGATAACACAAAACAGTTTATTAAACATATAAATAAATTTAAAAATATTCTTAGACGTTTGTGTTATCATTGTATACATGATGTCTACAAGAACAAATAATATTTAAATTTTACTACAATAGTTTTCGTTTAAATGCTTTAAATTACGATCAGCTATTAACTAACATCACATCAATACATAATTCAGCAAATAAAAGATTGCCTATAGGTACTTATCAATATAATATGTCATCATCTTAATTTGATATGTAAATGAACGCATCCTGGTGTGCTGTATGTAGATCAAATAGCGTATGAAGTAGAAAAGTGCAGCTTATTATCAACATCAATTTCGTTCACGATTTAACTGTCAAGGCCATCTGAAACAGGAAAATTGTTAAGGTTTTTACGAGCAAGGTCTTTGCTAAATTATGATAGAGTTTTGTATTTTCTACAGAACTAATCAATGAGTTGAAAAGTTATGATTTTAGCTATTGATAAAGAACTGTTGTTAAATTAATTGCATTGCTCTCACCTCACGCTTGTAGTTCTAGTTTGACTAAGACTGACATGTCGCTTAACTGGTGGATTGTACACTTTTCTGCGGCAGCAACACCACCAACCAACACACGCTGCTGCTAGGAAACTCTCTCTGAAGTGTTTTGACATAAATCCATAGATTATTGGATTGATACAGCTGAAATACATTTTCAATATTTAACTCTAGAAGTTATTTTTTCTTAGTTAGTTCTCGATTGATCATGACTCTATAAATATTTCTATTCGTAAGAGATTCAATGGACTAAGAAAATGTTCTTTAGAAGTCTTAAAATATAACTTTTCTGTTTTCTTATATCTTATTGCTTAAATTCTCTAAATATATGTTGATTTCATGTTTTGAATAAACTCTGTTGAAAGATTTTTTTAGTCAAAGCCTTTTTTTTTTTAAATATATTGAGTTATGTTTTGAAGAATTGAAGGTTATTCCGAGAAGAACAAATATATTGTCACAATTTATTCATAAATTGATAGTATTTTACCTATTAAAATATGCCATCAAATGGAATGCCGTATTCATGTGTTTAATTGTTCCATACTTTAATCTTGGAAGTACTCCATAAGCTGTTAAAACATTGTCTATTAACATTGGACTCCAACAGATAGTAAAGAGAACTACAACGGCGACTAACATCTTTACTACCTATAATAAAGAATAAAAAATAAACAAATTGATTTAATAGTATTCTCAACATTAAACACTTACTTGTTTTATTGTACGAGATTCAGCATCAGTAGTAGTTTTTCGACGTTCTTTTGGTCGACTTGTCATAGGAATGACTTCTCCATTATCAGTAGATACTTGATATTGTAGTTTTGGTGTTAATCTAAAAGAAAGGATAAATTTGATATTGCTGACTTATTCTAAGTTAATTATTTACTTATAAATAGGGAGAAAAACTTACGCATGTCTGGATGTCATGTGATATCTGCGCTTCATGACTCGCCAAATCTCCCAACAAATGGCTGTATAACAGAAAACCATAACAGCAAGAGGAATTACTAAAACTAGCAAAAGCATATAAAGTTCATGGGCACGCCAGTAAACCTCCGAATCAGAATCCCTAACACACCAGAAAGCTGGTATTCTTTCTCCTACAGGTTTATGTCTCTGAAAAAAAGAAATTTCATGAAAAATTGAAAATATTGATGATATTGGTAAGTAATTCACTTACTTGGGCAAATATCATAGGAATGGCTAGAAAAAGAGATACAACCCATGTCACACTGACGATTTTTCTTGCTTGACTAATGGTGCAAACGTATTGTGCCCTCATTGGATGCACAATAGCATAATATCTGAAAGCCAATACAAAAGCATATATTATTATTTTTAATATTTTCATAATTAATGATTAGTATCTAATAGAAACATTCATTAATTTAAATTGTTATAAATCAATTGATTTTGATTGACTAATTACTGATGTAATATTTTGTGAGAGCAAAGAAAAAATTATAGTAAGAAATAAAAAAATCAAAGATCTGTCATAAAAAATTAGATGTAGGTGGATATATCAGATTTCACCATTCGAATGAAGGCTCATGAATACAAATTGATAGATCACGTTTTTGCATTGCACAAAAACCAAGTGGCAGATGTAAAGTCTTTTTTTTTAAAATCATATAGAAGTCAGAAAGATGAATATAGATTAACTTGATGAAAATAAATCAATTAATATGTCTTGATAAATTATTTAATAAGTCAATAAGAAAAGAATCAGTGCAGAAAATGAGATTTTTTAATTTTACCTTTCAATTGACATTGCTGTGAGGGTAAGAACTGAACAAATCGCTGTGACACTCTGGATATAATGAACAGCTTTACATAAAAAGGCTCCCATAGTCCAAGTATAAGAAAATAGCTTAGCAATCTATGAAGAATGAAATAAAATGAATCAGTTTTTTTTGAGAATTACTTAAGTCATGTAATCAATATTTTTACAGGAATTAATTAATAACTTTTTATGCTCATTGTCTGTGTTACATAATTAGCTTATTTTTTAAATTTCATCTATTTTCTAGAATGTATAAAAAATGTTGATAAGTGATCTGTTTTTTTTAACATAAGTTTACTTTTTTGACGTAATCAATTTAAATTTAATAAAAAAGGATGTTTTCAATTTAAAATTATGTTAGAATTTCAATAAAAATGATACAAAGACTAATGCATCAATATTTTTCATTACTTTTCATCTTTTTTATTTTTTATGAAATTTGAATCTTACTCTGCAATATCAGAGAATAAAATGACTCCGATGAGTTTTAAGTTTCTTGGATATTTCTTCTTTATTGTAACAACATGACTATAGTCTACATAATATTCGAAAGTAAATTGCTTGCCATCTGAGCTGTATTAATTAACTGACAGATTGTGATCAAATTAAAATTAGCCGTTAACAAGTAAATCATTCCGAACTTTCATTTAATCATAAACATAATTAATATTCAACCTCTAATAATAAAGAGAAGTATTTTGTTTGAAAAAAGCATCACGTTTTTCTTTCATAATCCAGATGCTTCAGTTTTAAAAGTGAAAATAATATAATAAATCCCCATCCACATTTTTTTATTTAAATCTTCAGGCAGAACAGGTGTGTAACAAGCTTGACAGTCAATTTCGAAAATCAATTCGACTTTTAAAAATAATGGAGCTCAAGAGTTATGGAATATTAAAAGTCCAGACGTCAGAAATCTCTAAGAATATCTGTCAGAAACACGTGATATCGATATTTAAAGGTAGTTTTAGATCGTTGTATGTTTTTTAAGATTTGATAGAGATGTTAATAGTAAAAAACATTGACGCATACGTTCTATCGACACCTACATAATACTCTATTCTGTCAACACAGGGAAACTCTAGTTTTCTGGTATATCTCATTAATTTTAGACCTTGTACTTTTGGCACGCGTCGTCATTTTATTTTGAGGTTTCTCTCATCCCCATCGCTATAACACTTTTAGCATCATTGACTCTAAAACCAGTGTTTAAGTTCTATCATACGATCCAAATATTTCTGTTTCTCTGTAAATTATATCATTTACAATACATTTTATTAGTAGTAAATCTTACCTTGACAGGTATGCAGAATGTGATAAGCATAAGATCAGCGCTGGCAAGTCCACCAAGAAAAATGTTTGTTGGTGTTGCTGGTAAGGGTCTCAATTTTGGACAGAGCGTTGATGCAATGATTACTAAATTGCCTGTAAATTTATTTGCATAAAATTATTCAATTTCATTCTATTGTTTCGAATAAATAAAATGTGCAAATGGTCACCAGTTAATCCAAGACAAAAAGTGATAGAATAAACGACAAGTGCCGGTGCTAGTTCAGCCCATTCAAAGTGATTTAGAGATTCTTCCAAATCATAATCCCACCAAGCCTCCTCTTCAGACTCGTTAAAAGTTCCATTATTTGAATCTAATAAATCCATCTGTGAAAATAGTTGGTTAAATAAATTATTCCACTTTCATTAAAATTTCACGTGAATTGTTCAATTGATAGATAGAATGAGAGTACCATATGTGAATTGACATGCAATTTAATACAATTGTGCTGTAAATGTGTGATAATGAAGACTTGTTCGTGGTTTCCATAGAGTACGTGATGTCTTTAAAGACAACTGAGCAGTTAATGTAATTCTTGAACAATCTTTCTCTGAAAAATCAAAATATCTTTAGTATTTATAAATTATAACAGACACTTTTAGTGTAGTACTGTATTAATAAAAAATATTGACTGAATTTTGATCTTTTCTTTAATACCAATATATGCTTCTTATTATATAGAAAATATTTTCATTCAAAATAACCCTATCAAAAGATAATTTACAATAACTTGTAGTATAACTTAAAAACTCCTTTCATGAATCATTTTAATGAAAAACGACAGCATCTTTATGAAACCTTTACTCTCCTATGCAAAATAATATTTTTCTTCAGTTTATTACATTTAAAAGTTAATCATCAAAGAGTAAATTCCACTTTTGCTATGAAACAAATTTAATTATTTTTATGGAATAATTATTATGCTTTGATTCCCCGGATCATTTCCGATGATAAGAAATGAGAGTAATTATAAATATTCATTAAACATAGGAAATGCACCAATCAATGCTATTATTTTGTCTTTATTGTCTAAACAATTACATTTGTCCAATCTCTGTGTCATTTTCAATGTAAATATTGAATCGATAGACTCAGGAAGAAGCTGATGTAGCGTGTATAAAGCGCAATGAAAAATAAATATGTAGCTGAATAGAGTGCGTAGTATCGGTATAATTGTTTAGTGGGCGTAATGTGGGATCAACTAGCAAGTCGCAATAGATATGTTTTATGTTATCTTCCCTGAAAAAGATTTTAGCCTTTCAGTATTGACATTGAAATAGGCCAATAACAATAACGAAAACGATATTAAGTCAATTCCCTGGTGAAGGTTATAAATATATATCATTTTTTGTGGTCGGAGGTATCAGTAGTTCGTTATTCTTGCAATATATATCTAACAAGTCCTGTTTATATTCTTCTACATTCAGATACGTTAGATGGAAAAAGAGATCTAAGATAAATTGTTGCTCATTAATTTCAAAAACCATATGAACTTTATCAATAAAACCTTGTTTTTTAATATTAATGAATTAACAACAAGTTAGATAATTAAATTAATGGATTTTCAAGCTGCAAAAAATTAAGGAATAATTAAATAGCGATAAAGCCCACTTGTGTTTGATAAATGATGAAGAATGACCATGAAAATTCATTAGAGCATATAAAGAGATACCAATCGAACTTAATCATTTCAGCAAGTATCTTACTATCAACACATGAGATTAGTTGATGAAAATGGAACATAAATTGTCGTTAGACCATTGATAAATAATTAAACGAAGACGATTATACCTTGAGATTAAATGAAATTATCCTAAAGAGTTGTGAATAATAAAAAAAGAATTGTAAACACGCGTTCTCGTGTTAATCTTATTGCTTTATACCTTTTAATGATGGTATTGCACATTGCAATATTATTTAAGTTATCTTGTACACTCAATAATCATAAAATAATTACTATGCAGTTTCTGAGTTTTTTATCAACTATCTCATGTCTACAGTTCCACTAAACTATTAACATTGCTAGAATTAGATTCATAAAAATATGAATCATTGTGATTACAATTTAATCAAATGTTTTAAAGAAACATGAAAATAACTATATTTGATCAAAAATGCTGTAAATTAGTTTTCAACTCCCACCGGATATTAATTATAATTCACAAACATTCTTCATAGTTATTCGATAATATCACTGAGTCTTATGTAAATAATTTTAAATGAATTTCAACAGTAATAATATTAATTTTATTCATAATATCTCACTCGATAATGAAACCTAATTTTTTCAACCGAAAACCATCAATTTATGATTGATTTATGTAACGAATGAGTTAATTTATTTTTCAAGTATGCGATTTAATAGCGAATAACTTTATTCATGCTACTACAGTCACTGCAAGTAGAAGTTATTCACGCGAACACCGCGGATCGACTGAGACAAACTGTGCTCTTGCACCAATTGAAGAGGAAGCAACAGCAGGAGCAGCAGCATCGTGAATATTAAATTTATTTTATGTTACACATGTTCAAATATATATATATATTAATACTTAAAAAGCAATTTGTTTGTATTAATAGGCCTCATTTCAAATAAATTATATATTTGTGGACAAAAAAAAATATTTAATAGCTGTAATAAGTTTGAAAATAAATGTATCTGTTTTCTACCCATCAATTACTCTTTAAGTGTATTATATGTATTCTATACATACTGTTTCTTATGACTGATTTACAGTTTTCTTCTTCTGAAGACTCGAATAATTTTTCTGATAATTTACTTGGCTTTAAAAAACAAAAAATTTATTAAACTTCCGTCATAAAGAACTAATTTATGCCTTGTAAATTGGCTTGCTCAAGTTTGAGATCTTTGGGTTTAAAACATTTATCTTTAAATAATACAATAAATTATTTTATTTTAAATATTCCATATTCATAAATTCATTGGAATAATAATTTTAACAAAAGATTTTTTTTCGTAAAAAATGGTGTATTTTGACAGAAGTATATTTGAATTTGAAAAATATTACATAAACTTTGCCGTATGACGAATCAGAAATAACTTTTTGAAGTTTTAATTATTATAAAGTAAGTTAGATGGCGCCACGTTCCCGCGCGATAATCTTCGTTGTTTCAAATGATATTTCATTGAGGTATTTCAGAAAATACGATTCAATATTTATGTGAGCTATCGACGAATGATAAAAATTCAAGGAATGCACTTTCACTCCCAGGAAAAATACGAATGCATCAGGAAGTAGAGGATTTTTTGGCCGACCATCTACATGCGGTTATATTCTTTTAAGGAGCGCTGACATGATTAAAAAATAATATAAATGGCTCTAAAGAGAAAGAGAAGAGAGAATAAAATAATAAAGGCAAATATAGTAATTAACATAATTGCATGATACAATAGTTTATAAAAAATTCGAAACGTGATCAATTGTTCAGAGCCAATTGGTGTATCCGATAAATTTAAAGCCGGAAACGGAAGAGATGTTCTGGTGTACTCAATAAGACAAAAATAAGCCGGTCAAAGATCGTATCGATGCGCGTACGGATCCACATTTGAGCTTGGCTTCATACTTTCACCATCCATCCGCAATTGCACTTACCAAGTAAGAAGAGTAATAGCAGCTGTGCTTCCCACGATCACTCACTCCTTCATTTAACTTTCAGGATCAGATTATTGAAGCATCAACATCGTGCACGTGGATTGGCAAAGCTAAAACTTTATTCAATAAGACATGTGTCACTGTAAATCGAAAATGTCTAGATAAAAATATCAAATCATAAATCTACCTATAAATTTATTGATATTATTAAGAAGTACCAGGTACCGTTTTTGAGATACGCACAGACCCATAGCCTCTGGCAATCAAAGAGTCTTTGGTTATTTCTAGCCTGAGGTAAACCCAATAACGTCAAATTAAATTATAGTATGTATATATATATACATATTACTAACTACACTTTGGTATCCTTCTCTTTTCTAGATCTCGATTACCAGAATGTGAAAGTCGCCTCGGTCATCTGGTCATCCTTATTATGTATATACCTGCTTACCAACTGGCACTTGTTCACATCAACTGCTATGCGTCCTCTCTCTTTACCTCGATCTTCTTTACGATTACCTAGAGCTTCACCTGAGCCAGGTCTCATTGAACGCATATTACTCACAGCTTTTCCACGGTATATTTTTTTTATCGTTACCATCATATTCTTACGCCTTCATTTACTCAATCATCATACTCTAACTGTGGCCTATTATGTCATTTTTTCCATCTCACTTTCTTCTGTTGCAGTTTCATTATTTTCTTCATGGAATTTTTTATTTTCCGTTCATTTATAAATGCAGCTATCGTTTTCTTTTATTGATGCGATTTCATTGTTTAGACGAACAAAAAAATATAAAACTGGTCAACTGATATAGACTGGTAGTTGCAATAAAGAAAAATGAAAAAAAGTTGTACTGACGAGTGAGTGAAAGAGTGAGAAAGATATAAATGAGAGTAGTGTGCGGGTGAAGAGTAATAGCTGCACAATAGAGCTATGCGAATTTACGTAAGAGACACGCAAAGTCTTAGAGGTAAGCGAGCAGTAAGACGACGCAACCGCGTTACCGAAGTTGAATAGCGTGAAGAAGACAGCCGACATGTACATACATGAGTTTATGAAAAATGTACACTTGAAGAGTAACAGGTGACTTGATAATACATTCGCCCACATACGATAAAACACGTGCGGCTTATTTATTTTTTTTTGTACGAATATATAATAGAAATCTTACTTTGAAAAAAGATTAATTTACTTCAACAGATTGCCCTCAGTGATGACTTGTAATTTTTTCCTCACCTTCCGGTCATTTTTTTGTTATTCTTTTCAGAAAGTAAGAGTAGTATCGCAATAACCGGCGAATTATGCTCGGGAGAGTTATGACGGAAGATAAAGTAAATTCTCGAGTTTGAAGGGAGCAAAAATCCTAGAATATAGAAGAGGAAGAAAGATGAAGAAGTGGAGGTTCTTGATGGTAGAAAGCCAAGTCATGTAGGTGACTGGTGTAAATGACTTTGTGCAACCGGCCGCAAAGTTAATACGTATAATGCCCACGATAAAATCCACCTCTCTTCTTCCTCTTTCATGAGGGTAAAGAGGCTTCTCCTTCCAGCTAAAAGAAAGGAGAGCCATACTCCTGAGTTACGAAAATACAAAATGACGTTACATTCACCGCGTAAGAAGTGCGGCTTTTTTGCGTGTCTTCAGCTCGTATATTACTGATGGAATAGCCAAGTATACATAAGCTAATGCTCTAGTTTTCTCCTTCAAGTGTCCAAATACTCATTTTTTATCCTTGTCAATAATAAATGATCCCTGAAAATAGTTATAATTGAATTGAATTTGAAATAAATAAAAGATGAGAAAAATACATTATTGCATGATACAAAGCAGGAAGGATGCAGTTGGAGTACTTGCATGTGACGGTGAAGAAGAGAAGAGACCGATGGTCTTTGGTACGCGACCGCTGTGGCCACCAAGCTGTGTCGTAAGGGGTCCCCGCGTAATAAGCTTTCTCCAAGAGGTGAAAATTCCCAACTTTCTTCGAGACATAGACGCAGACGATACGAGTATACATAATAATACATGCTTGGTGGTTGCAACTTAAAAGATAAAGGTGAGCACGAACGTCCTTTGATTGTTGTGCTGAAAACATATATACATGTATATTTAAAGGCATATATTTTTATATATTAGAATAAATGATGTGTATATGGATGAACATTAGATTTACATTTCGCTTGCTTACCTTTCATCAAATTTTCTCATCTATAGATCATTGCAACATCGTCCAAGAATCCAAATTAACTTTTTATATTTCAATCAATCTTTTTGACCTCTGCTGTTGGCGATACAGAATAAAATGTTTCAATTGGAAAGGAAAATGATGTATGTTTTATACAGCGGCAGAGTATATATTTGTATAACGGGATTAACAATAACGCAAGTTTCCAAAGTAAAAGTGAAATGAAGATCCATATCATCCCATCAAGTTAATACGTATTTTTATTAACATTGGTGTCATTTATACGTAGCAATTGAGAAAGTATTTTAAATTGATTTATGCGTAAGAATTTCGTAGACATTCTAATGGGCCGAATAGAAAAATCTCTTTAATAGTTTAATCATATTCAAGATGATGGATTAAAAATAAGTACCACAACTGCAGCTCTGTTGTATTGAAGATTTTTTTTGACTTCTCTAACCTTAAAAATGAAAAATTAGAAATTTAGGTAATAATATGATAACACCTACTGATGATTATTAAACATTTATAATTTTCTAAATTCTTTAACTAATGCTTGTTTTTAACGAATATTTTATTCAGATGTTAAAATTCAAATGATAAACTTTTTACATAAAAAAAAAACTACATTACCTTCAAGTGTAACGCAAGAATAGTTTTTCATCATCATTCTCTACTACAACTTCTATGTAGAATTATAGTATATTCGTTAGTTACTCCAGATTCTTAATTATCCTGAGATTTATTCTCAGGAATAACCTCTTAAATCTTATGATGAAGTATACAAGTTAATGATTAGCTTTCTTAGTCCTAGGATATTATTTCTGGCTGCTGGAAAAACATAAATAAGGTCGCATATTTATAAACACATCAAAATGATACATTACATTGAATTAAATAAGTAAAAGTGGCGATAGATTGCCCTTGGACCAATTAAATTTATGTAAAAAAAATCACCACTAACGAGTCATTATTTAGCTTCAAGTATATAGTAATGGTATAAAATAAAGCAATTAGTAGCGAATGAATGACTACTACACCACTTTTGTTCCATTTGTTTCATAGTCAACTCTCTCAATACTTATAATAGCATACATGGTTTGTTGTGTAACTATAAATGTCACTTCAATTGCCTAAATGATTTTTAATTTATACACCAAGAATCTGTTTTACGTTGTTTGAATTATTATTAACCCAAAAATCGTACAAGAGAATAATGTTCATCTTTCTCAGAAGCATTTAATTTGAGATAGGTTGTCGTATGTTCAAGTAAAAGTGACGACGATGATAGTGAACGGGGAAACGTCGGGCCGGACATCCATGAGTGTTGTTTCTGGACGCTGCGGGGCAGAAAGGCAAACACTCCAGCAGATTCTTCTCCTTATGCTTGTACATTTATTTATATACTACATAACTTAAGACTAACACACTTAATATAGGATATAACCTTTCTTTTTCATCGAATCCAGGGCTTGGACGACCACCGATTTTCTGATCTCGAATTCGGGCCATTGAACAATATAAATGCGTATTTAGGGTTCTCTTCTGCTTTATTTTGCGAAAGTTTCTATGGTTATAATGCATGTAATAATAAGAAAGAGGAAGAGAGAAAGGTGGAAAGAAAAGAAAGAGATATCCAAACTCTAAAATATTCGGGTCAAATTTATTTCGGTTCCCTTTCTATGTCCTTCACTTGTCTCTCTTCTCCATTAAGTGGATTCTATAAAATTTATAAAAAAAAAGTAGTCAACTAAAAAAAATAGAAAATTCTTCATAAATTCAAATTTTTTGACCTTCTTTCATACAGAAAAAAAACCGTCAACAATGAAAAAAAAATTATATTTGGATGTTTTTATTGTTGTGAAAGAAATTGCGTGTCTTTCTATTGATGCTGCTGTTCGCAGCATGTCCAACAAGTCCTCAGGCACTAAACGCAATCATTTATTCAATTTGAAATCTCTGGGAAGCCAATTATTAATGGTATATTTTTTGACAATGATATAACGTCATTAATGACAATAGCTGAACAAGTTGCTGATAAACAGTGCTAATTAATATGTTTTATCACTTGTATTAATCAGTAAACTTTTTTATGATATACGAATCCATAATCAAGTTCACTCCATCTGTCATTCAATTTGTTAGTAATTTTATCTTGAGTATATATTTCAACATACACACACCTGATAAAATGACCAATGGATTCATTTCTCAAGCAAGTGGCTAATGCAATAAGGGCATTGGGGATTATCCGATCTTGGCGACGTTTAAAGTACTTTATGTACTCAAGTGATCCTGATGATGTAATCAAGTGTTGGCAGTTAAGTGTAAGATCGCGACATTTCTCTGCTTTTAGAGGCTAACCTTGACAACATTGAGTGAATGCACTACTTTTTCTTCTTCCTTTCTTATTTGCCTCTAAATACCTTCATCTTCAAAATATTCAAATTACAAATTACACAACTTAATTATCTAAATGTGAAATTGTGTAAATAATTATTTATTATTCAGTTTCATTGTATTTATGTAAAAATTAAAATTCATCTTGTAATATCACATTTTAGTTAAATCAATATCATCCTTGACATCAAGTTGAATTTCAATATCTAGAAGCTCGTTGAAAGTTTACACGACTATCAACTGCAAATGCTATGGTCAAACATCTAATAACCAAACAAGCATACAAGTGCTACGTTTCTACTATGCATGATTTCCAGCAATTCACTTATAACACATTAATTATTTCCAGTTTCCTTTAAGCATGCAATCACTTAGCTGTTTATGCATAATAATATTCTATATGTATCACATTTCTCACCTTCAAATTACAATTAGTGCAAATAACATACATAATCCAATATAATTATTATAAATAGTCTATAACATGGATTTAAAGAAATTTAAGTCAATGACCAGAGAGCTAATAAAGATCTTAAGCGTGCGAAAATTCATTAATGGTCTTTATATAGAAAATGAATGAGATAATTACAAATAGCTGTGTGGAAAAAAAGTATATTGCTGTAATGCAGTTGACGTAGTTAATGTAATGTGGGACGAAAATTGAAATGGAATAAAATCTAAGCACGTTTACATGGTCTTTGGATGTCGCATCTCCTGTGATAGGTGATGGTCCGATGGCTTAAGCTTGGGATCCATGGCAGAGGTGGACCCTCTCCCCTGAATCTAACCGACCCGCGACGCTCGCTCGTCCGTATAAAAGCCGAGCTCCGGACGAGTACAGAGCATCAGTTCTCAAATCATCAAGACACAGTACCACCTCTCTGAACAGAGACGAGCGAGCAAGGAGTTTAAACGAGGAACTATATTTCAACGAGTCAATTACATCTACATATACAATCATGAGAGTATTCATGGTAAGTAAAAATTGCAGTGTGCTCATTTGTCCTTCCGCATTCGCTGATTCTCCCATATTTGTTTCCTTTACTGTGTGTGGATCTTCACTTTCTCCTGATTCACTACCAAGTTATGCAGTGAATTTTTTTTTTTTTTATTTAACTGACTTTTCTTTCCTTTCTAAGTAAATATTCTCACATTTCTTTTTGTTCATTTTTAACTAAAGATTGAAAAGTTTTTCTCATAAAATCATTTATTCTCTATCTTTTCCGCTATTTACTCACGCTAATAGGTAAAAAGAAAAATTGTAACCAACATTTTGTATTAATTGCTTCATTTTTTTCAGATCCTTGCTCTCGCCACAGTGGCGATGGCACGACCGGAAGCTGGCTACTCTTATCAACAACCTAGCGGAAGCTATGGAGCTCCAGGTGGTTCTTCAGGTGGTTTTTCTGGTGGTTCATCCGGTGGTTTTGGAGGTAGTTTCGGTCAAGGAATAGCATCCCTCGGTGGTGGATCATTTGGAAGTGGTTCATCTCTCAGTGGCTCATTCGCTGGAGCAGGCAGCAGTGCTTCTGCTGGATCATTTAGTGGTGGATTTTCTGGAGCTAACAGCGGTGCTTCTGCTGGATCATTCAGTGGTGGATTTTCTGGAGCTAACAGCGGAGCTTCTGCTGGATCATTCAGTGGTGGATTTTCTGGACCCGCTCTTATCCAGAAACACATCTACGTCCACGTTCCACCCCCAGAAGCACCTGAAGAAAGACCAATCCGTCCAATTGCTCCAGTTGCACCACCCCAGAAACACTACAAAATCATTTTCATCAAGGCTCCCACTCCTCAGGCACCAGCTGCTCCAGTTATCCCTGCTCTTCCTGCTCAAGACGAACAAAAGACTCTTATCTACGTGTTGGTGAAGAAACCCGACGAACAACAAGAAATCTCTATCCCAACTGTTGCTCCAACTCAACCATCCAAACCCGAAGTTTACTTCATCAAATACAAGACCCAGGCAAGTTTTTCATAACTTTTAAAAAGTTTTTTTTTTAGATTTAAAATATTGAGGAATTTTTAAAAAACTTATTAATAATAAATATTAAAATTATAGAAAGAAGCTGGTGGTGCCATCGGTGGTGGAGTAAGTGGTGGAATTGGTGGTGGAATCGGTGGTGGAATCGGTGGAGGAATCAGTGGTGGAATCAGTGGAGGAAACATTGGAGGTAGTGCTACTGGTACCACCGGAGTCGTAATCGGATCAGACCATGGATCTGGCCCAAGTGGACCATCAGGACCAAGCTCCAACTACGGACCACCAGGACAATCTGGTCCTTACTAGTCAATTATCAGCCCAATACCATTACCAACGCCAGCAACAACTATCGCAACAACCAAGATAATGATGATGATAATCGTCTGGTACGATCATGACGATTATCAAATATCATTCTGCTCATACTTCTACTTCTCATTCTCACAATTAAGCCGTGGCAGTAATTTCATATCAGTTAAACGCACGTGCGAGCGCGCATTAATTGCGCTTGTTACACGTTCGACGCATGGTAATACAAAGTCGATCCCGATGATGAGTGCCCGCACCTGTGATCGGCCTTGTGTTACCTTTCTCTCCTCGTTTTTTTACTTTTTTACCACTATCTCTTTTTTTTCATTTATAATTGTTGTTTTTTATTTTACATTAACGTACGACTGTAATATACACGAATGTCGAGAAAATATTTTTTTATACAACGAATGGAAATGCAACTATGACGTTAACTTGCAGTGTCAAGATATAACAAATCTTTTCTATTTTTTATACGTATTTTTTGCAAGAAAACGGTGGCGAAATAAAGCTTTTTTATGTATTTTTACATAAAAGATAAAAAAAAAACATCATTTGTTGTTTTTTCATCCTTTTTACTTATAAAAAAATGAACTATCAATCAGTTCCTTAATCCCTTAAAACCTTTACCTTTTAATAGACATAAGAATAAATATGGGAATGAGAAATAATGGACATATAATCATCTTGATGAAGCTACTACTTTCACCTAATGGATTTCGATCTTTCTCGAATATTTTTATGGCCACAGAACCATCACACAACCAAAGCAGGTGTCACGACCTTTGATCCAGACTACTTTCACCAGCTTCTTCGATCACTAAACTCTCTTACAATCATCCAAGCTCGTCTTTAGCATCCTTTCACATGAGTAGGTATTTTAAATATTTAAATAAAAAAGTAAATTTGCAATTTAATTTTCATTATCTACATTAATACCTTCTTGAGCTCATGTCCAATCTTCAAACTTAATTGAGTTATACAGTGATGTCTAAAAGATGTATCTACCAAGAATTTCACCAACTTCTAATTCTAATACGTTCATTGCATCAACGCTTTCATAGAATGACATATTTGAAACATGACCAAACTATCAATAAATCTGTCTAAAGAATCCTCAAACGATATTTTTCATGTTTCCTCATTCTTTAGTTGTAATGCCGTCATTGATTGACAATATATACACTTTTCATTTTATACCGTAGATTATGTAGCAACTGTCATCTGCTTTCACAATAGACAAAGACTTGGCTTTCTTCTTGTAAGTAATTTCCTTGAGACATCTTATTGATAAATTATTGTCTAATATTATTTCTTCTGCATCATTTCTATTCATTCTAAGAAGATTAACTTTTTCGCAACATTTTCCTTTTCCCTCTTGGCACATTTTGCCTAAGCATAGTCTGAAGAAAGTACATATACTACCAAAAGTAGAAATCTAAAAAAAAAAAAAAATTCAAGGATTGATGAATTATCTCAAGTGTGTTGAACGTCTTCCGTAAATGAGTTTTAATGGTGAAAATACTTTGGAATCAATCAGACTCGTCTCTAATGTACTTTTTTTTATTTAAGTAAACATTTATACTTAGCTTTCACTCGAAGGTTACAATTGCGGAAGCACCAGGTGATGATAAAATTTGAGTAAATGGGTTAAGAGGTCCAATTTTGAAGCAGATCAAATTTGGGAGAGTTTTTTTTTTTATTTATATACAAGAGAAAGTATAGAAACTTAAGTATACGTTCTTGAAAAAAAATATTAGTTTGACCTTTAAAAATGCTTGATAGCATGTCTGAAGCATATTAATAACTTCTGATGGTTGGAAAATGGTTTAGAAAATAATATATAGAAAAGATTAAGGTTTTACCTTGATATACAGTGTGTTCATTAGTTGGATGAGCATTTGTCTCAGAAAAGGTATATCACGTGTGCCCGGAAGCCAAGCGCGAGTGAAAGTTGACGTCGATTTGCCAACCAACGCGCGGAAGACTCCTTGAAGAATACCAATTAGCGGAACCGTGGTAGTCTTCTATTTTATCTTCATATCATCCATTTCATATTTGCAGTCAAATTAGTCAAGAAATCAATCTTAGTTTATTCCTTATTTGTACCGTATCTAATAGAGTACTTAAGTACTTACCTTATATATATATTTATAACTATCACAATAAATTTACCTTTAATAATATTCCATCAACATCACTCTTCATTCTTACATTTATTGGCGTGCAAATAATATAATAAAACGATCTAAAATACAAACTGTTGCAATATTGAACTGTGCTAAAGTTCGTATATTAGCAGAATACAAATGACATAGTTTCTTCAGCAATAAAACCACATATTCATACTAATTTTTTGCTTCAACCACTCAATAAATAACTGGTCATTTCTGAAAAAGAGAACTGTAATAGTGACATAAAGTATGATATTAAAATTAGTTATTTAATTACAATGTAAAAATATAAGAAATAAAAGAAGTGACGTTAATTAGCCCTCTCTGGCGTTAACGTTTTATCTTTTGCAAAAATCTTTCAGTTTGCACACAGTTACACTCGCCCATTGTGAAGCACAGTAGAAGCAATAAATCTCACTGGCCAGTATTTCGCCTGCCAGTCAGAGTCAATCCACCCAACGTATCCTGTCTTTCTACTATCTAAAGTAAAGAGATCCTGGCACCGCCCTCAACCTGATGAGCGCCTGGAAAATACTTCCAGGAAGTTGTCTTGTAGCTCAAAGGCAATAGCAGAGGAAAAATAAGTGAGAAAGAAAGATAAAAATATAATCATTCATGTTTGGTTTCTTTCATGCGTAGAGAAAATGATAAATCTTCAACAAATTTATAATGATTTTATATGAAGATTATTTTTTGTTGACTAACTTTTATTTTATTAAAACTTTTCGCTACATTTGCACATCTTCTAATTATTTCATATTTTTATTACTGCTAATAATTAATTTTTATGATGATGATGATGATATCTGAATAATTTTTTTCTCATATATAATCCAGTAATTACACTGAGCTAAGAAGATTACGCATAAACTTATTAAGCTTAGAATATATATAAATGAAATTCAGGTGAATTCCGGGTGTTAACAACACAATTTACGTGCTTGCATATATTCCTCCTTTCTCTTCATATGATCATCAAACACATTAAGAGATGAATATATGTGGCTCGTCTAGGATTTAACAACTTGGAACATATTACCAAAGTGGTGCAGTGTATGAAAAAATTCTCATTATTTTCATCCCCTCTGTTGATATGTAATTGGTCAGTTGATGATTTGTTACGTCTACATTTATATTATATCAAGTTATACTTGCGTTTCTACACTATTACTGGTCATTTATATATCAGTATAAAATTATAAAACTCGTGGTTTCCTTTCGAAATTACACGCTGAGTTACACTAATTGCCAAAAGATTTCACTCAAGAAGTAAATGTTCTTTTGATAGGACTTTTATCATTTTTTATGGCTAATTTTTTGTCACATTTAATATTCAGCTATTTAATAAAAATATTACTTAAACACATAAAAACAAATGAATAATGCAATGAGTTCTCTCTTCATTAAGGCTGGAAGTTTATCAGGACAATAGCTTTGGAAGCTTTTGAGAGAAATATTACGGGTGATTGCGTTCATACCAGGTACCATCCTTGGTCGAATTGCAGCAGAATGTCGAGAATAGCAATACATTCGTTAATGGTACATGTTTACTTGACTTGATTACACATATGTATGTGGATGTATACGTGATTTATATACTTGATGGGGCCCAGAAAAGTCTCACGGGGGAAATGAAGGGAAGGTATACAGTAGTCCACATACACTTGTATATATAACAACCCGTGGACAACGCTCATCTAGGTGGTATAAAAGTTGCGAAGACGACCGCAATCGAGGCACAACTGTTGTGATCGCCTGCCAGTGAAAATAGCCAGTGATCTAGTTCCGCGAGATTTCTTTCTTGGATCCTACTGTGCTTGAGATCCTTAACATCTATATCTATTAAATTGCAAAATTTTTTTTCATTTTCTTTACATCCGCCAGTGAGATTTGTACCGTTATAATGCGAGGGCTACTTGTAAGTGGAATACATGTACCTATTACAGTGAAATTAAACCGCTTTACATATTCTTTATCATCTAAAGTGATTGCCAATTTCAAGTTTATATCCTTGATTTCTCAATGTGATTTTAGTGACACAATTTTTTTATCGTCGGCTGCATTGTGATGTCTTTTAACAGCTTACCTTTTGGATTTGTATACATTTTCTTTCTCACATTTGTACTACCTATTTACTAATTTCACAAGTTTTTTTTTACCATTCAAATATTAGGAATTATGTTTTTAAAACAAGCATAGAATAAAATGAAATGTTCGGCATTAACATTAAGATGAATTGATAGTTGAAACAGTAAAAAGAATAGCAAAAGTCTCTTTCTCCAAGATTGAGAGTGTTTCGTGTTATGCTTTCTACAGGAAGTAATTAGAGTAGCTAGCGGGACAAGTTAATCTAATTATTATGCTATTTGCAAGTGAGAAATGTCTAGAACAAAAGAGTTTTAAATAATCGTGAAAGCGTTTTAATGTTTAAATATATACCTAAGTTGATGATACACAGGAGTGTCAATTGTTCATTTCTGTGGCTTAATTCCATGAAATAAACAGTTATATCTTCAAATATTGTGCAATAAATTTTGATTAATTTAATATTAATTTAAACTACTATTTTAACAGATAAGGCTGATATTTCTGACAACAGCATGTGTGTGGGCTAAACCCGCACCTGAAGCACCTGTGGATTCTTATTTCCCTCCCTCCTCCGGGGTTGGTGGTGGTTATCCTTCAGGTCCAGCAGACACCTATGGCCCACCACAACAGCCGCAAAGACCTCCAGTAATTCATAAACATGTATATGTTCATGTTCCACCACCAGAAGCTCCGGAATACAAACCACCGAAATATTTACCACCTCCTCAAGCTCCACAAAAACATTACAAGATAGTTTTCATTAAAGCTCCTACTCCTCCAACTCCAACAGCACCAGTTCTTCCACCTCTACCACCACCAGATGAGCAAAAGACGCTTATTTATGTATTGGTAAAGAAACCTGAAGATGCACCAGAAGTTGTTTTGCCTACTCAAGCACCTACTCAACCCAGTAAACCTGAAGTATACTTCATTCGCTATAAAACTCAGGTAGAACATTAGTTTTGATTAATATAAGTAGTTTATTTATTTCTAAAGTTTATAATAATGCTATTTTTCTTTAATCATAGAAAGAACAATCGGGAAGCTATGGACCACCAGCTGCTCCCCCACCAGACAGTTACGGACCACCAAGCTCTGGTGGTCCGGGGGGTCCTTACTAAAGCACCAGTACTCGAATGAATAGTGTGCCAACAACCAAAAATCGAATAAAAACAAACTCATAAAAAGTATATGAATATTATAATTATAATAAACTATTTTTTTATATAAAAAAAAAAAAGATTAAAAATATTTGTAAGAAAATTATTGAAAATACAATTTTTATTGGTTTAATCCAATCTCACAGCTCTCATTACTTACTATTTTCTAAGTATTTATTATTATTTCACCCGCAAAAATTTTAATTTAAATACCTTTGGAGTAGCCAAAGAGAAAAAGCTAGCATAGTGAAGAAAATTGAGTAATATTATAAGAAATGACTAATTTTAAAAAATGTTCATTTTTAAGTAACCGTGCGTTGTAAACGCAATTGTGCGTTAAAATGTTTAATTTTTATTTAAAATATTCTATTCTATAAAATTCTAATCTCTATGAGAGCGTTCTCCCCAAAGAAGAGGCTTTATGAATGGCGCAAGTAAGGGGTAAGAGAAAAAGAGTACGTGGCCGATCCAGTAAACACTGGAATAAATACTGAGGTATCGAGTATACGAGAGGAAAATAAAAGGGGCAAATGAGTAGCCCATAAAAACTAATGTATATATCTTCAAAATAGTCCATGTTACTACTTTACCTAGAGGAGTATTTATTGTCGACTGAAGTTTAGTATTCTTTTTTAACACAGGTGCAATCTGAAACAGAAATTATTCTCATTTAAAAATGCTGCTATGTTTTAAATGGTACTGAATTTACTCAGTAACTATATACGATAAATTTTAAAACTTACATCTTTTTCAAAGTACATAATAATGAATTCCATTGTAAAAGTTACATAGTATCCTGAGTGGAATCCATGCCAAATAGCTAGAAAAGCTAAAGTAAAAAATTGACTGGCGAAACGCGATCCAAGAAACTTCAACCTCTTATAAATATATTCTGCACACCAGTGATTGGTGTTCATATTAAACGATAAAATATAGTGATCGAACTGCGTAGCATTTTCGAACGTTAATAAATCTACGTTTTTACAGCCATCCCATTTAGGCGAGCCGTTTTCGTCTCTTCCAGAATAGGAAATTCCAAAAGCAGTACAGACCTTAAAGAATAAAAAAAATAGAAAAATAAGGTGCGGTTGTTTATAAATGGTAATATCTTTTTCTTACCGCTTCACACAACAGCCAGCAGCTTATGTATTTGTACAAATGGAATCTTCCCCATAGACCGAGGAGGAAGAGCTTCTTAACGAGATTTTCATTAGCAAAGGCAGAGCTCGATATATATTGGTCAGAAATGTAACGTGTTCCTAATTGGTAAAAGGCAAGGTAGATAATTCCAAGTACCATTCGTTTAACTGCAATAGCAACGCAATCTGGTAATCGGTCGATCTCATTAGGTGCCTTAAATCAAACAATAAGACAGATATGTTAATTAAAATCTTTAGGCAGATGTTTGAAAAAATTGAACATTTTTCTTACATTCTCTATAAGTTTCCCATCAATGAAGTCTAAATATCTTCTCATACTAAATTGTGGACCAACTAAAAATGATCCAGGAAAGTAAACGAAGCCTCCTAACTCTAATAAAGATGGTAGTTTCTTTAAAGCCACTTGTTTTTGGTATACAGATAATTTCGCTTCATCAACGTAACCATCAGATAAATTGAATGCGAGTCCTATCAGTCTTAGCGTTAATACACAGTGCGGCATTGTCCATTTTATATCATATTCATCAGATGAAGATGTCCAATAACCTAATCAAAATTTAATGATCATTATTTTCATTTATTTCAAGCTGTTGCATAATTACTGGAATATTTTTGAACAACTGACACAGAAATACAACTAAAATTATGCAACATCTATTTATAATCTTGCATCATTATCAAATGCAATTTTAATTACTTACCAACTGAGAGATAAATCATATTAAATATAAAGGTAAAGACAACACATAAAAATGATCCTCTAAAAACCAACAGAATCAGGTACGTAGCGCATAAAGCGAACGCTGAATGGCCTACATTCCATCCTAGAAAGAGATTTCACTCCGTTATTACTGTTTTCTTGCTTAATAACTTAAATGGCTGGTTAATCACTTGAATAATTGTGTTAATAAAAGAAAATCTTATTTACCAAAATTCCAGAATCCTAACAGGAATCCAGAAACTAAGAAATAAAGGTGCTGCAATGAGGGATTCTTTTTATAAAGCATGTGACGATGAAATATTGCTAATGGAAAACCTACAAAGTGAAGGAATAAATTGATTATTCAAATTATTATTATTAAGTTAAAAACCACATATATTATATATTTATATATAGATATAGACAAAATGATTAATTACCCATAAAAATTGAAATTAAGAGCCGCAATGCGGGTGTTGTACATTCTAAAAGATTTGCCAATGGATCAAGCATACTTGCTACGTCTTTTTCCATACTCATTCTTTCAATGAATATCGTGACTTGATAAACGATAAGTAGTTTGCTCGTTAAGATGTATGAGTTTACTTATTAATAAAGATTAAAATTCACGTAACAATTAGACTGCAATTTAAAAATTATGCAAATTCTACAGACACTGAATTGAAATACCGAATACTAAGCACTGAGTAAACACTTTTTTATCTTTTATTTCTTCATCATTATATGTGAAATTAGTCGACATTGTAGCATTTATCTATGATTAATAGTAGTAATAATAATAGGAATTGAGACAAAATATGATAAGAAATAGAAATAAGAGAAACTGATACACTTTAAGATGAGAAAAAATATGGAAGAAGAGATCAAAGCTTTCTCCTTCTCCGCTAGAGGTTCTAATGGTTGTCAATCTTTTGTATCTACTACAGTTAAAAATGAAATCTTGAAACAGTATAATATAATTAAATTATTTTTATAATTTTTTATTTTTATTAGAAAATTAGAAAATAGTAACAGAGTTTAATTATTATAATCTTAATATTTATAGAACATTATGATAAAATCACAATAGTATTAAGTATAAAAAAGTCTTATATGTTTTCTTATAAAATATAGACAACATTCAATATCTAACTTTTAAGAATAAGGATTTTAAAAAAATCTGTAGTAAAATATTTCGAACTAATAATGTAAAAGAACTTAGAATATTTAAGTTTATAAATGTATAAAATTTTTTAAGGAACAAAATACGATTTTTAGCATAACAGGTAAAACTTGTTTTTAATCTTTATCTGGGCTTCACATAACATACCTCTGTATCTACTCCAAACTCTAACAAATGCTTAATCCATAATTTTTGTTTTATAGAAAGGGTATCACCAGGTCCTTTAACCTCAACAATTTTACATTTTAAATCTGATGTATCCCACACAAATAAATCTGGAAATCCTGAACTCCATTGGCAATAATTAGAAGCAACTAATTTGCAAATGCCAATGACTGCTTTCTTGCCAAGACATTTAATTATATCCTAAAAAAATACATAATTTAATAAACTTTTACTTGTTATAAATTCATATAAAGATATTTATATAATAATTACCTTAAATTCATCGCAAAGTTCTACTAAACTGTATGTTAAAGACATATATTCTTTAGACATCATATAGTTCACACTAAGAAAGTTGGAAAAATCTTCAATATCCATATCTTCAGCACTAGCTATTCTTGCATTTAATTGCTCTTGACGATTAGCAAAAAATTGCGAACCGAACAAATCAAGTGGAGCTATTTGATATGGGCAAACAAAAGCACCAGGTACTGGAATTGTGTACAGTTCATTCCAAAAGAAACAACTAAATAAAGTAACTGGCAGTTTTCCTTCGCAATGAATATTTCGACTGAATCCATTATACTGGTAATGTTTTGCTGCTAGCATCTCAACTGATAGGTACTCTGTGTTGTTTTCTCCTATGTCAAGTCGCCAGACACTTTTTGTACCATTTGAAATACCATATTGCATCATGTTTGCTTCAACGGTGACTTCGTTAAATGCAATGTTTTCTACAGGAGATTTATGTTCATCTATTAGTTGCTGCATAAGCTCTCGGCTCTCAGTGCTAATACCAGATTTCCTTGATGCGAGTTTTCTAGCTCTCTCTAACATTTCAGCGATGTCAGCTGCAGATAATTTTTCTCCTGTCAACGCTCTCAAAGTAACATTCACACTCGCTTCCAAATTTTTATTATGACTCATTTCAATAAGAGCTAATTCAGCAAACCAACGTCCACGCCTGCCTTGAATTACATCTTTATAACTTATTAATGTCCTCAAATACTTGGTTGCTGTTTGAACATCTTCTGGATTCTTTTTAAATCCATCAATACTGGTCCATATTATTTTTGCCCAAACATAAGAAGGTTCAAATCTGCGAACATGAGATGGAAGAGGCGGCTTATCGATAACGTCATCCATTTTTTTGTCCAGAATATCTGTTAAGCGTTCAGAAGCACGAGTTCCTAGATTTTTTACTAATTCCCAATTTTTGTTAACTACTGCATTTGATATTTCGTAATATATTTCTTTAGCTTCAGTGAAATCTATAAGATGTTGGCGATTACGGAATATTGGAAATCTCTCCTTTGGAGTTGAAGGATAGACTCTAGTTTCATAGAAAACTTCATTCAAAATACGAAAAATATCACTAAAGGATTCATTGTAGTTTTGAATTGGGTATAGAAGAGTCATGATCCGCTTAATAAGGCTCCAACAATTCTCCGATATTTTAATAGATGGACCGATTATATCTTCTAACAGTTTTCTTAATGCTTGACTAGGAGTTTTAACCCCTATAAACATCGCTTTCTTTTTAGCATCAATTTTTAATAATTCTTCTTTTAGCTTTGGTTTGGCAGTTGTGTGAGGAACCTTCATTCTTTTCGCCACTTCTTTGAGCTCATCAACTAACATCATATCAATTAAAACTGAGGTATCTTCAGTACTGTAATCTGTAAAATAGTAATTAATTATTTTAATGGAATAATTCAAAAAAAGAAACATTAAAATGGATTAAAATATATCATAATTACCACAGTCAAAAAAGCCATTTTCAGTAAGTTCCTTGACAATCTGTTCATAAACTGGCATTTCTAGCTGCAATGAAACTTTAGATACGCGGTACCAGCCCGGTTTCCATTTCAAAAGTCGCGCTAGAACTATTTGTGCTTTTTCAGAAATAGTTAAAAATCTTCGTACGAAGTTAAGCTCTGATTTATTAAAGTAAACACAATTCATAGGCATTGAAAAAACATCAACAATAGCAGCAAATAACCTTTCAACATGCTTATTCTTTCCACACTCCATAATTTTTACGTCTTCAATCATAGAATTAATCAAAGAACCATATTTGACATCAAAAATTTTTTCCGCAAAAATAGTCTCTAAATCAAATTCCTTGGGTTCAACATCCTCGTTATCATCTATTGGTTCTTCTTTGAAAACTATTTGACTAAGAAAAGATTCGTCTTCTTTGTCTACATCTTCAATTTTACACTTTTTCATTGGAGAGCAACCAGCCTCCTCAGGCGGAGGAGGTTGACTTTGTGAAAATCTCTTCATTTTTTCTAGAATTAATGCCTGAAATAATAATGATTTAAATGATTAATTTTAATAAACGTTTAATAACCGGCAACTACACATTCACACTTTTATACCAACAACGCAATTACACATATGTATGTAAACAAACCTTTACGGGAGATATTTTTGATTTTGTCGATTTTTCTTTTCTTCGGAGATTTAGCACAAGTCACTCTGAAGAATTCTGATAATTCAGTCTGTCTCATTGTTTTTTTTTGCTCTACTTATATTAATTATCCAAAATATCTTTCGTCTTATATTTCTTTCTCAATAGATTACAAACTATCAACGGCATGCGGCCATTTTGAATACACGTGGCATTGACCAACAGGGGGCATGAAAGAGGAGACCTATAGCCAACTTGATGTCAATAATCGTTGTCTTCCCGCGTTTTTAGCACGTAGTATCCAAGTATAAGGCTGTGAAAAATTTTTGTTGTTTATTTATTTGCTTCTTAATGAAATAGAGAGTTAATTAAAACTAATTGGTATTCAATATTATTAAATATGTTACAAAGAACCAGATTAATATCAAATCAAGTAAAATTTTGGTTTAGGAAGTATCATAATGATACCTGTGTTATCGGATCCACCCCTGATATTCAATCCCCGGCTTATCAGGTACGTATCTTTATTGTTAGTTACTAGTTTTTCCGTAAAGTAAAAATAAAAAAATAAATATTCATTTAATCAGTTGATGCAAATGGAACTGTTATATAAAATTGTAACTTATTGACGATAAATATGCAATTCATCATTTTCTGAAAAAAAAATAAAAAAGCATCAATACAAGTTATACTATCAATTGTTCAAATTGCACTTATTATTGGAATAATAAATTCAGAAATGTTAAGTAGAATAAATGAAATGTGATAAGGTGAGGGTCAATGATTATGATTAAGTATGTTGAATAACACGTCCTATTCGCAAAAATTTTTGATGTGTAAGCAATCATTGATAGTTTGAATTGATAAGAGATGTTAAAAATACTTACAATGTTTTAATTTTGTTCGCCTACGGCTTTATTTAATTTTTATTCAATTTTGCTCTTTCACTTATACTTGATCACTTTAACTATTAAAGTTTAACACAAGTAAAGACAATTTAAATTTCAATAAAAGAACACAGAAGACACTTTTCATTTTTGGACACTAATACTTCATTCACTAAGGTCCGTCGAAAACTGCATATTCAAATGTTGAATGAATATTTAAAAAATAGTTACGATTGGTAAATATTTAAAAGTAGTAGTGGTTGGAGGGGATGACTAGAAGCGGAAATGTGGGGATAGATGAGTATAGAGTGCACAGAGTGGCACTCAGCCTGAGTACCCCAGGTGTCAAGATGAACAGTGTTGCACGTGTCATTACATAGCATGTAATACGAGACTTATAGAAAAAAAAAACGAAGAAAAGATCATAAAAATATGAAAAGCACATGCGAAGGATTAAAACTATAAAGATCGGAAAATCCCAGGGGAATTTTATTTAATTCCTTTTTTATAATAGAAAAAATAAACAGCTGAATGACAAATGTTGAAATAAGTAGATGAAAAATTTCAAATAACTGTTTTGGGGAATTTTTTAATAATATTTGTTTAGTACTAAATGCAGGATTTGATTTCGAAATTGCTTTTACTTCAAAACTTGAATGTAAGCAGATGTTAGTCAGAATAAATTATAGGTAACATACCAAAATGTCATTTTAATTATTAAACTAAAATTTTAGTTATGATTTATTCGTCATTAAATAATGAGAAAGATACATTTTATCTCAATATAAGTAAATATTAAAAAAATACCTTTTCTATGTTATCTTCTTTAACCTTTGATATATACATGTAGAAATATTTTAATGTATTAAAAAGATATCAACGACTCGAGTGATAAAAAATTTTTACTCATGGAATATGATGTAATATTCTTAAATGTAAACATTAATCTCAAATATAAACTAATTGATTAAAAAATTTTTTCTAGCAAAATTATTATGAGATGAAGCAGCTGATAAACAATTATCGTTCAGTAGTTAGCAAAATAGTAGAAGGAGGAAATGAAAAAGCTAGGGAAAATCATGTAAGGAAAGGAAAACTCCTTCCACGTGATAGAATAAATACTTTACTCGATCCAGAAGCGCCTTTTCTAGAATTTTCACAGTTAGCTGGTTTTGAAATGTATGGGCAAGATCAAGTACCAGCTGGAGGAATAATTACTGGTATCGGGAGAGTTGAAGGGTAATAATTAAGACATATATTAAAATAATTAAGTCTAATATTTTAGTACATTGTTCATTTATTCATTTTTCAGACAAGAATGTTTAATTATTGCTAACGATGCAACAGTCAAAGGTGGTACTTATTACCCTATAACTGTTAAAAAGCATTTGCGAGCTCAAGAAATAGCCATGGAAAATCGTTTGCCATGTATCTATCTGGTTGATAGTGGTGGAGCAAACTTGATGTATCAAGCTGAGTCCTTTCCCGATAAAAATAATTTTGGAAGAATTTTTTATAATCAAGCTGTAATGAGTGCTGAGGGTATTTCACAAATCGCCGTAGTTATGGGAAGCTGTACTGCAGGAGGAGCATATGTGCCGGCTATGGCTGATGAGAACATAATTGTAAATAAATATGGTACGATTTTTTTAGCTGGTCCGCCGCTTGTTAAGGCCTCAACTGGTGAAGTCGTTTCAGCTCAAGAATTAGGAGGAGCAAGTCTTCATTGCCAGTAAAATTAATTCTAGATACAATATCATGGACGTTGAATTATAATCTAAGCATAAATATTTATTGCAGAACATCTGGTGTGACAGATCACTTTGCTGTTGATGATGTTCATGCTCTTTACCTTGCAAGAAGTATAATAAGAAATCTAAATCTTAAGAAGTCGATAAATGTAAATGTCAGTCAGAACATCGAACTTCCAGTGCACAATGTCGATGAGATTTATGGTATTGTTGGAGCAAATTTAAAGAAGTCGTTCGATGTCAAGGAAGTAATAGCCAGGATTGTAGACGGGTCACGTTTTCATGAATTTAAAACTCAATATGGAGAGACATTGGTAACTGGTTTTGCTCGGATCCATGGATATCCTGTTGGAATAGTTGCTAATAATGGAGTTCTGTTCTCAGAAAGTGCTCTTAAAGGTGCACACTTTGTTCAACTTTGCTCTCAACGTAAAATTCCTCTAATTTTCCTTCAGAATATAACAGGTTTGCTTGTTTACTTTAATATGCTTTTATCTTTACTACATTCGATACAACATTAAAACTAATAACTGAAAATAATTGTTTAGGATTCATAGTTGGAAAAGACGCAGAAGCTGGTGGAATCGCTAAAAACGGTGCGAAAATGGTAACTGCTGTAGCTTGTTCAAAAGTACCTAAAATTACTGTTATTATCGGTGGTTCTTATGGTGCTGGAAATTACGGTAATTCCAAGTTCTTATAATATTTTAATACTTTTTTAAATCTTACTTTATATTTAGGTATGTGTGGAAGAGCTTATTCGCCGAGATTTGTATATAGTTGGCCTAACACAAAAATATCTGTAATGGGTGGAGAACAAGCAGCCGGAGTATTAGTTCAAATAACAAGAGAACAACGCGAAAGAGAAGGAAAACAATTGACAGAAGATGAAGAAAATAAAATGAGAAAGACTATTACTGATAAATTTGATAATGAAGGAAGTCCATACTTTTCAAGTGCAAGATTATGGGATGATGGTGTAATTGATCCTGCAGATACACGAACAGTTCTTGCTCTGAGTCTAGCTGCATGTTTAAACAATCCTATTCCTGAAAGTAATTTTGGTGTATTTCGAATGTAAAGGTAAACCTATTAATATTCTGAAAGAATTAAACTACGTTCTTATATTTCATGAGCATCTAATTTTTAGATCATCTATGGCCAGAATTGGTGGTTGATGTTCATCAGTCGGTAAGTCATAAAAAATTTTGATATTTTAGTTATAATTATTATTTTTATTGGCAAATTACCAGTGCAACATACTCATCATCTAGATGTTACCCTTCATTTCGCACAACTCAACACGAGTACATTAATTCATTACAAAATTGGTTATAAAAAATAGCATTTAATGCATTTAATATTATTGTACGTCGTCGTACGACTAGGGCATCAGCTTTCTCTACTCGCAAAAGCCAATTTTCACAGCATGTCATACTAAAAAGTTCAAAAATTAGCGGTCGCAGAGTAGAGAAATCTTTGAGTAATTGTTACTGCGTTGTTGATCTATTTTTGTCACACTTATAAAAAAAAACTGTATCGCAATCATATGTTTTTTCTAATAATTGACATAACGTTATTTTAGTATCACATACGTGGTTTTAATTTTTAGAGAGTTCAATAATTTCTTTTTAATGTTTCGCGAACGTTTTATAAGTAAACCATTCTTCTAAACGTCGCCAAGCTATGTTGCCTTAATTAGTTACATTTTAAAGAAGCATTCGAAGAAAATAACACATTAAAATTGAAAAAATTCCCCAACTATGTTTCTCGCCAGCATTTGAATCGATTTCAGTAAATCTGTACATAATTTTTTCTTGCACTTCTTCACCAGTAATAGAGTCTCCAATTGTTCGCTTTTTTCCTGGTCTAATGAATTGTGAAAGTTCTGAGAAGAATAATTTTTAATTAATTTCAATTCATTGAATTAGTTTAAATCATGAAGGGATAATAATTACCTTCCTCTGGCACAGTATCGCTATTACTATCTACCCTGATTAAAGTGAACATGGTCACTTCAAATACTTCATTTTTATTTCTTGAACTTGGGATTGCTCGTTTCTTTCTCCCGAATCCCATTTGACCATTACTGCATTCCACTCCTTGACATTTATCCAAACATACATTAACTGTTCCGTTGAATTGGACAAAAGTACTTTCAGGAAACTTAAAAGCACGGAATTTAGCAGTTAAATAGTCTCCATTTACTGTATTAAAGTTTTCAAATACGTAAGGATCAACAGAGCATCTAAAATAAATTTAATAATCAATTAAAAATATTTTCAATGTAATATTTTAGCAACAAGTAACAAATAATTCATACCCATTAAAAATAATTGTTTCCTCTGCCGATTTGGTGTCTGTAACTTGCATGTAGGTAACAAGGAGCCCATAAACAGGTGCTGATTCACGATCAAGAAATATTTCCATTTCCAAAGGCGTGCCAGGACTAACATTCAATTCTCCAGTGACTGGATTTCCTCCTTGTCGAACGACAACACTTAACATGGGGATTGGAGCTGACCCTGCAATCTCGCCTCTGATGTCTATAGTGCTAAAAGTAAATAGACAAAATTTTAACATGAACATAAGCGATAAATTGCTTCGGCAATGTTCTTCCGGATTTTAAATGTTGGACTTGAACTTGAGAATAAATCACACGAGGAGTCGCGTGTCCAGAGAGCATGACGAAAACTCTGAGTCTATCCTAGTGATTTATTTCAATCCAGTTCGCGCTGTCAGAAGTAATGTGAAGAATGTTTTTTTTTCTGTTTATGTTTATGTTAAAAAACTTGAATAATTTTTCTTCTTCGTTTCATCTAATAATTATTATCAGAATTAAACTGATTCAGTATTTACACTGATTGATTAGTCACCGTAAATTGAGGTCATAGACTCAAAAAAAAAATTATGCGATTCATCTTAGATTTGAAAAAATTATATTACGCTCTGATAACTGTAAATGCTCTAACGTGACTACTTGTCCAGCTGGAAAATAGTGCAGATTCATTAAAGTGTCTTTTCGCGCGTGACGTTTTCTTCCTAGTGATGTAGAAGTAAATGGATTATTTATGCTCTTCATCCACAATTTCATAGAGATAAAGATTTGCTATAAAGTATTCAATCTTACTACATTTTATTGCTGATAAATTAAACTTGGATGCTTACTCGTCTTCTTTGAAGTCAGCAGGTAAAATACTTCTTCTTTCAAGTGTGTGGTTAAATCTCGAGATCATTGGCTGTACAGTAACCTCTGTAACGATGCATTTTACAGTAAAGGTATGTTTACTGGAATCCACAGGCTCTTCTACTATAATTCGATGATAATAGACTTTTTGACCCTGAAAAAAAAAATAGAATTCATATGTTAATCTAATTTTATGCATGATATCATGCTTTACTTTTAAGGAAAGTTAACTTTTAAGACATCAAGTGAGTCACTAAACTTCTTTCCACGCCCTCTTTTTTCATTCTTTTATATTTGACTCACATTATAGTATTCTCAAGTATTCAAAAAAAGACATATAAATCATTTTTGATACTGTTTCTTTTTTTTTTTGTTCGAATAAAAAAAAATGATGATCTTACCGTCATTTTATTAACAACTCGAGCCATTCCACAACGAGACATATTTTGTTCAACTAGCGATAGTTTGAAAGTAGCTACTCCATTGTTGAAAACAGGTCTGCATGCTTCATCTGCAAAAGAAATACCAGAAAATTATTAGATGAGAGGGAAAACATTTCCAAGGGAAAGTTGATTGAATAAAAAGAAAAAAACTTTTTTAGTGAAACTTTTATCGACTTGGTAACCTGTAAATTATGTAGAACATGTAAAATAAGTAGTAAACTCCATTACAAGTTTATAAATACTCTTCTGTATTCAAGAGTTTGACGACAGGAAATAGTAAATTATATTAATTATAGAAATTATTTTAGTCATCGAGTAAATCTTGTTGTTAATTTTCAAAGTCTAGACCTTAGAGTAGATAGAAGATACTCCATTATAAATGCAATTTATTAGTTTAATTACCTGGATAATTTTTAAGCTGTTGAAGATAAATCTTGGCCTGCGGACTGATTCGTGCAATATCAACTTCCATCAAGTCTTTGGAGCATCGTACTTTACTTTGAACTGCAACAAAGAAAAGCAACAAAATGAGTTGGAATTATTATCTGTTATTTCATCGCTACAAATGAGAATCATGTAAAGTGATGGTGGACGATGATGTCGACCTTGAGAGCGTCTTACACCATATAGAAATACTGTTGCTTTTTATCTACTGCTTGACGGGATAGGTATACTTTCACCACTAGCTACTGTCAGCTTGTATGTACTTGATGACGCCAAGGTAATCACTGTTGGTCTGAGTGCATGCACATGAAAATATCTTTTTATTCTGACAGTTGTTCTTACTTTGTCACGAAACAGCCTTCTAATGATTTTACAAAATGACATAACAAGTGTAAAAAATTCTTGCCATCATAAAAACATTTTTACAACTTTAAAAAAATATAATTATACTTATTATTACGAAAAATTTTTATCTTTTTATTAAAAAATCAAGCTGTACTGAGTGAATTACAATCACTGCCAATTATATTATTAGATAAATATACTTATTTTCAGAGATTAATGTGACAATGTTTTCATTCACCGACAACTTCTTTAGATACATGTAGTTACATCGATGATGAAGACTACCATTCAATAGAAAAACAATTTGTGCTAATAACAGTTTACTGATCATAACTTATATCCATTTAAAGCAGAAAATTATTATACCTATACCACATTTTCTGACATCCTTAAGAAAATACTTGACTGCCATTGATTATTGATTATGAATGAGTGTTCTCAGGTTCAATCAATTGTGACGTTACTTTCAATGTATCAGTTATTCATTGAAATCATTAATAACAAGCATCATAAAATAATTTGCTAAAACTATTTAAAGAAATAATTTAATTTTTGGAATTAATTTATTCCTTGATACTAAAATGTCTTTGAGAACAAATTAAAAGCTAACAAATATAATGGTGTAAACCAGTGAAGTTCTTTAAATAATTCATTCAGGTACTAAATTTCTTATTGCTCTATTTACAACAAAACTTATATTACATTTCACCATTTAATTATGGATCAATCGATAATAGTTACGGTTAACTCAGTTTTATTTACCAGTCCTAGCATCGACATAATTAATACTTCATTCAAAGTCGTTTATAATTTTTCATTTTAAAAATGTTTCAATTAATTTTTTTTTAGGTGTCCTGTTAGTTGAAATTGAACTTAACTTTTTTGATGATCACCGTTGCAGTAATAAATTTTTTTACTCTCATGAGATTATTTTTTTTTGTACAAAAAGAGGCGGTATCAGTAGGGTAACCACAGTTATCAGGTATGATAAGCATTTGGATGTATACCACCGCAAGCATTTTAATAATCAGGTGGTAATCGTTAGGTGATATTTTATGTAGAGGGCGGTTATGCTCTGTTGTCACGCAAAGTGAATATATTAAGTTGGGAGGTGATGATAGAGAGGGAGGAGGAGGAGGTGTGTTACAAGAAATGGTACCGAAAGAAAATAAGAGAGATTACAAGGCATGTATAACAGGATCGAAAGTTCTTAATCGATGCAAGACAAGTTGCGTCAAAGATAAGAGAAAAGCAGGAAGCTCTGGCTATATTGTAACGGTGATTTTCATTCCGGTTAGTTTATTTTAACAAGGAAAAAATAAAAACGTTTACATAGTGATCAGTACGACGAGTGATCAGTAAATCACCAGTGATCGGATTTAGCTTTAGAATTTTCGCAGCTCAATTTTATTCTTCGCCATTTTTCGCCTTCCACACGTGGCTCGATAGACTAGAGCTTTAACATGTATAGGAATTCGGAACGTGAATCGTTTATCTATTCTCCTTGGACATAGTAATCTATGACACGGAAGCGTGAGTTGCATAGCTCAGGATAAGCAACAACTTAAAGGGCCTGGAAGAAAAGAACCTTCTATTATGGATACTACAGCTAGCGAAATTAATCTTTAAAGCTTTTGGCGATTTATTTGACAAATTACCTTTAGTCCAACAACTATTAAATCAATGACAGTTTAAGTAAAATATTCATGCAATATTAAAATAACATTTTTTAGACTAATTGATTGAATTTATTGAATGAGAATTTTTTTTTTCTTTTGCTAAAAAAGACTACATGAGCATTTATCCTGACAATTAATTTCTAGTTATATTAATTCCGATGACTTGTTAAATAGAGTTATGTTTGAATTTATAGCAAACATAAATAAGATACTTTCAACAAGACTTTATTGACGATGAATAAATATTTTTTTTTTAATTGAGATTTTTTTGAAATGTTTAAGAAGAATTTTAATAAATAGGACTCTGAATGTATTTCATATTAGAAAACTGTTATGAAATGTTCATTAAAATTTCTCCAATCCCACACCTATCAAATTTCATTAGCAAAATACCTGAGTGGATTATGTCGAGGGAATAAAAAATATAAATAGATAATTTATTAGACAAGGATAAAAGACCGTTAAAGTAATCTTTATCACTGAAGGAGGTGTTTTTATGAGTGACTTGGAGGTGGTGAAGATGTATAATTAATTTATTTAAATTTATGAGCTTGTAGATGATTAGAAAGACACTTGGGAATGATGCTAGAATTATTCTTGACTTATGGTATAATGTTAATGATGGTTCACTTACTTATTTTCTTTATTTTACATCATATAATGTAAATAAGTGTTCGTCTACGAGGCAGACTAGGCTCAAGGAAACAATTAAATCGCAAATCAGATAGTATCGTAAGTATTCTCTGGAAAATATATTCGTTACTTAAGATGGGATAACTCAAGACCGAGACGAGGTAACCGGAAGTCGCGTAGCCATACAGACAAAAGACTTTTGGTCTTGTCGTAGCATTCAAGCATGTTAAATGCTTGACAAATAAAATATACCGTTGTTAAAATGTTTGATAAGTCAATTTTAAAAGGCATCCAATTGTTTCCAAAAAAAAGGAAAAAAATTATTTACCGTAGAAGTACATCATCCTCTACTCTGCAAGGAAAACAAACGTTTGAATGACTTTTAAATGGAAAAAATAGGAATTATAAATAATTAAAAACTTTCTCAGTATCGGTGAATATTTATCAATGTTAAATAAATTTTAATGCAAGATAACGTTTCTTTGATGAATAACTTATTGTTATTAGTTAAGAATAAGATTTCTGAAAGATAAAACAGTTAATTTAAATAATTTTGTTTGCAAATCCACATTAAATGTGATAATTATACCTTACTAATCAACCAGTTAAAAACTTTTTACAGTTATTAAAAAAAGATGACGTGCAAAAGTGCAAAACAGTGAAATAAAATCAAGATATGCTTTCCAGAGACTTGTTTTCCATATTTAGCTTGCTTCCAGTGTCCACATTACACGCCCATTTCTTTCTCAATCCCTTTGATGATTGTTGATGTAAGCAACTCACGCTTCAATACAAATTGTCTTGAAAAAATCATCTAGTTAGTACCAAAAATCACGCCTCTTATTACATTGCGGCAATACTTAAGTGACTTTAAATCTGTCACGTGGTATTTTTTGTTTCGTTAATCATGTGAATAGGTGAAATTAACCGGAAGTCAAACATGTAATAAGGATACTCCGATAATTGATAATAACTAGTAGACGAAAATTTATGAACTAGAATTACACATTTTACAGTAACCTCCATATAATTTTTTGCTTCATCAAAGTAACTTCATGCAGCAGCAGCAGCTCATCTGCAAAACGTTCTCCATATAACCCACCCTGTGGTTATACGCATATAGGAATAGCTACACTTACAAACATTATATACTTGTGGAATTTACTTAATCGTTGTGCTTGAACAAGCTTAACTACGAGAACCTCCGGATAATAATGCGGGGAAAAAAATTAATGGCCAATGTACCGGTGAAAAAATATTAGCAAGTAATTTGGCTAAACCCAACGGTTCATTCAATTATTAAAATATTCTTCAATTTGTATTTATTTTTATAACTATTTTAATTATTTTTCATGTACCTTAGAATATCATTTATTTTAATTTTTAATAATTATTAACTAGAAATCGATTATAATAAATTAACGTCAGTATTAACTATTTACATAATTAATAATTTTTTGATTATTAACATTTTTAACATTACTTAAATTATGATCAATTTATTTAATCGATTGTATAATTAATTCTAATAACAAATAGTAAATTTACTATCAAAAAAGAAATCAATGAGTTTAATGATCGAATAAAATTTTTAGCCATTTAAAAAATGATATAACAATAATTTATCATGCTCATGACCAATGAAAAGCATGTAATTTCATGAAATATTAATTTTAATGTTTTTTTGTAAAAAATATAAATTTATTTGCAATGAATAAAACATTGACGATTTCTGTCATTAAGTTCGAACAAGTAAGATTACATTTTTAGAAAAAAAAAGTAATTCATTTGTTATTCAGAAGCTTGAATTGAAAACTACAATTTATAATCTATCGCTCATTTTCCTTTAAGATAAATGATAATTTTCAATTTAAAGATCAAACAAAACATTTTTTGTTGAAGGAAGGCCTATAAATTTATCAAGGATTCATGTGATGTGAATCAATTCGATTGTTTTATGGAGAAAACTAGCAACTTGAAGTCTTTTGCCTCTTTTGTTTTCCTCGGCTGTCCAATGTCCGGGACGGTCGATCGGCAACCGGTTCTTCTCCTCATCACTGTTCCTTACCCCTCAACACACTTGGAAGACCTTAGAACACACTTCTGACTGTTTTAAAGCCTACAGAGTATTGCAGAGGCCATGGATTTCGCTTTCACGTAGAATATCGTGTGGTTTACCACGTAATACGCACGCAATAAACTATGGATGCATCATGTGCAGATAATAATTCAAAACAGATTTGAAAATCTTTTCTATCAAGAGGAAAATAAACTTGAATGTAAGCTACTACAGTGTGGAATCTATTAATATTTTTTTATTTAATCTTTTAAAATTACTTTGATAATAGAGTTCGAATTGGATTATTATTAAGACTGGTGAGTTATTACAGTTTTTGTTCATCAGTGACGCGTGCTCTTTAACAGTATATTACTATATTCTTCCACGCAATTTTCAATAATCAATTGGACTATGCTAAGATAATTCAAGTGCCTCAAATTCCAATGATTGTTGTCTGTAATCGGGAGCACGGAAAATTGCACATCCCACTCCACTTCTTCACGTTTCCTTTCCACAGCTACAGAGTAAGACGACTTTTGTTTTTACTTGATGTAGTAGACAGATATAAAGATAATTACAGTCCGCACAAAACATTGAAATTTTTACAATTCTAATTGATCAAGTAATTTAATTATTTGTTTATTTAAAAAAAAATGTAATTAGATAGAAAAGAATCAATAAGACCTTGAAGGCTATAAATACATATAAGGTTCGAAAAAAAATTGAGTGAAAGTGCTATGAACTACTACTCACCATTAGCAGTAACAGTACTTGAAAAAAATATAAGTACTGTGATTTTCCAAAACCACTTAGCACTCATTTTTGGATGATATTGAAATTCCAAAAATAAATAGGATTAATTAAATAATAATTATTTCATTTATGCTAAAGTACACACACTCTTGGACACTACTTGAGGGACGTAAGGCCCCGTGACTTGTTAAAAGTGCGCGCGCAAGACTTTTCCTTTTGTGTTTGATTGGAGTGTGGTAACTCGCAGGAAAAAAGAAAGACAGAGGAAAAGCGAAGACGGCAAGAGTCACGCGAGCAAGTCAAGAGTGCTACGATTCTTGGTGCTTGCTCTTTGAAACCACGAGAGATACTGACTGCTCACTGCGTGAGCTGAAGCAGCAATGGGGCCTTCACTGGGTGAATTGCAGGGAACAGAAATAAACCTGTGAGATATGGGAAAGTATACTTCCATATAGTTAACTCAGAGACTGCAAACTATGGAGTATATTTACACAGATGTCTTATTTCTCACTTTATACCATTTGTTAGAATTTTTTTTATTAAATCTAACAACATTCTTCTGGTGGATCTGGGAAAATGATCAAGTATCTCAATTATCTATCGGAGAATATTTTATCTTGTTAGCTAACTAGTTTTAATTAATTATATTGTAATTATATTTATTATAGTCGATAATTGAAGTTCATTAAATGAACTCAGTTTTAAGTAGGGTATTTAATTAAATTAATTATTTGATAAATTCTCTTCAATTTTATAGTTATTTTACTGTTTTTCAACATTTTTTAACTCTATTGTTGTGAGAAATTTTTCGAATCATGTGTTCCTGTTATATATTTAATGATATATTAAATTATTTTCACAAGAGTTAATAAGTATTTGCCAACAGGTGTAATTGGTTTCAAATTTGATAAATAATTGAATTAACTATTTAGAATGATTCCTAACGATTTTACGACTAACTGATACTTTCCATTTTCTTTGACGTCGTGATGAAGTACAGGTGGGCGTTGGAAATCCTTTTACGGAGGTCTGTAAGAGTCATAAGCATTAATAACTCTAGACAACTCCGCAGCAAAGGTATATATTTATTTAATTTGTCACTGACGTATAGATGAGCCAATGGAAGAAATAGTTTATATGTAGGTATTGATTGCTTATTCAACTACGCTTTACGTGATAATTTTCTCACTCAGACCTCCCTTGGTGATGTTCTCTCAGACATACAACTATGTACTTCTTAATTATCAGGTTGAAGAATAATGAAATAATGTTGGAATACTTCCTTGAGAATTTTTTATACTGCAAACAGAGTAATCAAGTGTCGAGGACAGGGAGTATGGTCAAATTAGTCATGTAAGGCCTTTGTATTGCTTGGAATGAACAAAAAAGTAGTTCCGTTGCACATTTAATTGATTGGCTTAGAAAAATTCATTTAATTATTATATTTAACAGTAATATAAATAATGAGTAAAATTTAAATTTACATCACAGAGGTTAAAATTATGGTAACAAACATCAGACTCACACTAGAATTTATTGCAAATGACTTTGAATAAACAAGAGGTCGTTTGTTTAATACTTGACACTGTGAACTCCTGAAGTGCTTGACATTTCCGATTGAATCTCTTGCCAATACACAGAGTTCGTATTTGACTGTTGATTCAGGTAAATCTTGGATCTTGAAGGATCTTTCTCTGTACACCACATCCTTTTCTAGCAAAGGCTTATTACCTCCTACCTCTCTTACTACTATATAAAAATCAGCTACGTCTCCTCGTGATGTAACATACCACGTTACTTTCCACGAATTCTCCTCTTCATCTCTGAAAAATCATGATTATTTATTTTTTTATTAATCACTCAAAAATGCTTTTTAATTGCTTATTGATTAGAGATGGAGGTTTCTGATACTTACAATTCAATACTTCGGAATCGTATATCAGGAGTGATCTCAAATTTAGGATTATCTTGAATCTCCCGTTCACCACAAGTCATCAGTTCTTCAGTAACATTTAACAAACGTTTATCGGATAAATAATCAGGACTTGCACAAATTACGTTGGTCCATTCAGTTGGACTTTCTGTTAGAGTTGATAACCACCTTCTCAGTGGTCTCACATAGCAGTCACAGTGTAAAGGATTTCCAGAGAAACGTACAGTTGTTCCATTTTTTTGGATTATGTCAATAAGGTTATCGTCGAATGAACCCAATTCATTATTTTCTACATTTAATATTTTTAACTTTGGCATTTGGAGTATTTTATTAGTAGGCAAGTGAGAAAAATGATTATTGCTCAAATATAATGTGGATAAATTTTCAGGTGGATTAAAAATATCCACACCAGAAAGATCGTTGAGATCATTGTGAGACAAATCTAGTGTTTGAAGAGATGTTAAATTACCAATAACATCTGAAAAAGATTTTAATAAATTATTAAATCGAATTTCTAGTAATACAATATTTTAAAAAATTATTCCAAACTTACATCTTCGTATTTCATTAATATTGTTGTGACTTAGATTTAAGTTCACAACTTTTTTGGAACCAGCAGTAAGTTCAAAAGTAACAACAGGCATAGTATTATAGGATAAATCTACGTCTTTAAGCTTGTAAGGTATCCAAGGATCATTTGGTAAAGTCTTCCGAGTGATGAAAGATATTTTATTATGACTAAGATTAATCTTCTCTAAAGACAAACAATCATCCAGCAGTCCATGAGTCTTGTTATCCAATTTTTCAAGTCGATTATATGAAAGATCCAATGTTCTTAAGGACACTAAGCTTTTGAATGCTCCGTTAGGAATGTAACTAATGTTATTGTTTGTCAAATTGAGCGTTAATAATTGTAATAGACCCTCGAATGCCCGAGCATTAATCGTTTGTATCTTATTGTTAGCCAAATTAAGCTCGAAAACGATAGGTAACAGTCCGAAGGCTGCTTTATCCAATCGGGTGAGTTGATTATCCTGCATGTAAAGGTATTGGAGGCTGGTCAATGTACTCAACGCTGCCCACGGAGGCACCGTCATATTATTCGCCTGTAGGTTCAAACTCCTCAAGGTCAACAAACCTTGAAAACTACCGTGTTGAAGATTATCGCCCAGACGATTTTTTGAGATGTCTAGAGACAAGAGAGAATTCATTGTAGGCCATACGTCAGTAGTAGGGATTTCTTCCAAGTCATTCTCTGAAAAGTCCAGATGACCTAAGGAAATTGGTAGTTGGAAAAATTTTTTCAAATTATTATTTTTGACTGTCAACACTCGACAGCTGGCCAGTCTTGTTAGACTTGCTCGAGCTATTTCATTTAACTTGTTATAACTCATATCTAGCTCTAATAAGGTTGGTAAAGGCCCAAATGTTGACGGCTTTATTTTTTCCAATGAGTTGTGAGAAAGATTTAAGTATCTTAAACTAAAAAGCGTTTGAAAGATAGAATTATAGATATCTGATATATTATTATATGATAAATCAATTGTATGTAACTCATATAATTTTGGAAAAGTATTTTTTGGTACTGAGTTAAGATAATTATGAGAAACATTCAGTACTTTAATTCCAGTCATGTTATGAAGTGGAACCTGGAAGTAGAATTAATTATTAATTATAAGTATACAAGCAATAATTAATGAAAATGAAAAACTTCAACAAACCTGATTTAACGCTGTGAGAAAATTATAGCTTAGCAGAAATTCAGTTGCATAAGTATTGCTATCAAAAGCATATTTAGTGATATTATCAAGCCTATTATGACTTAAATCAAGAACTGTTATATTAACACAATTTTCAAAAGCTCCAGCTTCAATTTTCGATATAACATTATGAGATATGTTAATTTTAGTTAGCTGTAGCTCTTTGAAAGCCAACTTTTCAATTACTGTTACTGCATTTTCAGATACATCTATCGATTCAATTAATTGTAGCTGATTGAACATTTGAAAATCAATTTTTTTCAGAGCATTTCGAGCCAAGTCAATCGTTCCAATTCGTGTAATTGATCCGAAAGTACCTCTACCAACATCATTAATTTCATTGTCACTCAAAAATAGCCTCCTTAAAAATCTCATTCCTCGAAATGTATTAGAATCGAGCTTTTTTAATTTATTATGACTTAGATTGAGCACTTTCAGAACAGTATTTCTTGCAAAAGTTCCTCTCTTGAGTTCACCAATAGCATTATGTGATAAATTACACCATCCCATCTTCGTTAAATCAGCCAAATGTGATGGATCCAATTTGTTAATTAAATTATGAGATAAATCCAAGTACTCTGTATCCCTTAGGCCTTTAAATTGATTACGTTTTAATTCTGTTATTTGATTTCCATGTAAATCTAATGATTTCAATTTTCTTAATGGCGTTAAAGCATCAGCAGGCAATGAAAAAAGAGTTCCATTACTAATTTCTAATTTTTGAAGTTTATCGGCTAACATACTAGCACTAAAACTATTAACTGCCAATGTAGTTAATTTATGTCCTGATATTATCATCACAGATAAATTTCCCAATATTTTCAATGCATCTCGAGGGAATTTTTCTAACTGACTATTTTTAATATACAACTCTTGAAGAGTTCTATTTACACCAAGAAAACTATGTTCTTCAATAAATTTCAGTGGAGTATCAATAAACTTCAGGACACGAACATCCAAAGGATAAAGTGCGGGTCCATATAATCTCGCTAGAAAATTAATAAAAAAATTATTAATTAAATCAACTTGGATTAATTTTTTTTGTATGATAGCTGGAGAAAGATACTTACCTATGTCACATTTATTTATTGTCAACTCCTCAATAGGAACTCCATCGTTTCCCAAATTAATAAAAGCTACACTTAAACTTGCTAGATTTGTATTTTCACATTTAATATAAAGTCCTTCGTCACTTCCTTTTAGACAGGTACAAGGATAAATGTAGATTGCCTCCTTTGGGCATACATAGCGTGGTCCGGGTGGAATGTATCCTCCGATCACGGATGAAACAACTCCCAAAATAACCAGTGAGGTATAGATGATCATTCTAAATAAACCATTAAAATAAAACAACTTCTGTTAGTTTCTTGGATTTCTGTAAAGCTTATTTTTTCATTGTATTAAGTATTATTATATTCTAGTAGATTATCTTAGATATAAATCTGAACCCCACGCGATGATTCACATTTCACAAAGAATAAATATTGAGGTGATGTGAATAAGAAAAATTTCTCAAGCCAAACAAAAGAAGAAAAGACCAAGTTCTGGTTTTAATAATCATTTTCATCTGAGTTCAGCCAATAGGATGACGATTTTTAATTCATTTATCTTTCATTTTCTCTATTAAATGTAGATTAGCTGTTTGCGCAATTCCATACTAGTTATTGATCATTGGCGAATGTATCTACTAACGCATAGAGCTTATGTGCCCACAATATGTATATGAAAATAACTTTGATATGCTTGGCTGAATAAATATATGCGGTCATGGCGTTTACCTTTCATTTACTAACGCTATCTAAGTTAATGAAAAAAATGAATAGTAATATACGTAATGCTTAAATTAACGACTCGAAAAGTAGGGTAATAAATAAATTAATTGTAAGGAATAAAAAAAAAAGACAATGTGTATATCTTAACTGTTCTACTTCCGACTACGATCATTGTGAAATAATTACCAGGAAATGAGAACACATGTAATTAATGTCATGACAAATTCAAGGAGTACAATAGATTCTAGCACGTTCCAAAATTATCTTAAGGGATCTAGATTTGAGAAAATTTTTTTCTATTCATTTCTACTTTCTGGATACAAGAAATTCTTTTTATTACTACCAGTCGACCTTGATATATCATGGCTCTCTAAATTATTTTTATTTATTATTTTAATTGTATTTTTTTTTATCTTAGATTGTTATTTTATTTATCCGGTAAATTGTGAAATGCTAGATATTTTTAATTGGATAAGAATAATTTTGGTGGGTGGAAATATAATGCAACTGCTTCAAGCATTGAAGTCACCTTTTTTCCGTGCCAGGGACATTTGTCAACTTGCAAGCATAGTAGGATTCTTGAACGTACATTCACCAATTTTTTCTCACTTACATTCACTGACGATTGAAAATGATATTTCTATTCTTTTGTTATATTTACAACAGATCACAAAGAAATTGTTTATTTATTTACAAAACACATTTGCACTGGTTTATAGAATTAATTTAGTATATTTAAATTCTTAGTCTCCATTTATAACAATTTGTTTATCGAAAAAAAAAGTAACAAGTAAATAAAACTTGATCAAATCTCAAGGCTTTGAAAAAAGAAGCTACTTTGCAAATACAAAACTAGTTCATCATTAAAACTAGTTGACTAAAAAAGATGTTGTTTTTATTTTGTTTATCTCTATAACTGTAATTGATTCATTATGATTGTTCCTGAGTGAAGTTTATAAGAGAACTAAACTCCAGGTCGAAAGTCTGAAGTAAAGAGAAAGGCTCTTAGTTCATGAAACGATCGAACCGGCCAATGTACCCACCTATTCGAGTCCACCTCTTGTCTGAGAAACTTTCACGTTATCGATTATTAGATTTCAAAAATTACCTGGTTATTATTTTAAATAAAACTAGACGTACATACAACAATTCAATTGTACACGACATTATCACATGTGTCTATCTGATTGTCATCATGCCTGCATAGCATATCATTTTATAGAAACGAAAATTGACATCCGATAATTTTATCCTTCAGTGAAGAATGTTTCTTCATAATTAAGAATGGACTGGAACGCTGCAAGACTCTAGATCTTATACAAAGATTCTAACTTCTATTTTATGGCAATTTATTTTTATCTCTCATAACAAAACTTGATATTAACATTTTTATAAAACATTTCTAACTTACCAATCATAAATAACATATTATTCTTCTCTTTGGACTGATTATAGTCTTTTGATAGAGTCGGAATGAATTGAAAATTGTAATATTCATTAAAAACAGAAACATCAACTGTTTAAAGAGCGTACGAATTTCAAGTAAAATCAGTGTCATATTTAATGACTAATTGAATTGTTAAAACTAATGATGTGAATTTAGAGTTTCATATAAACATCTTTTAATTAAGTGAAAATTTCCAAATAAATTTTTCAAAGCCATTATTAGAAATTTAATTAAAAATTTCTATATCTAACATAAATGCCATAAAAATTATCATAATCATATTTCTCTCTAACATTCAATTAAAATTAATTTCCTTTATATTAACTTTTCCATTTTTTTATGATGCATATTCCATGTATATAATAGTAATAATAGTAATTAGGAACTATTGAATTGAATAATAACAAAAAAAAATGTATTTAAGGAATGTATTTATTTATTGCTTTTTACAGCACAGTAGATGTCAATTTGTATATTAATAATTAACAGTAAATCGCATTTATTGAATCAGAAAGGTTGTTCAAAAATCACGTTATTTTGAGAATTACCCAACACCTATATCCCATGAAAAAAAGTAATCACCAGTTGTGTGAGTTGATGAAAAAATCCCAAACGATAGTCTGTCAAAATGCAGTCTTGAGTATTTATTACTACTATTATTATAGTTATTGCTTAATATTAATATTGTTTCCCAATTATTATTTAATAAATCTTATTATCCCTAAGCCCATGGACCAGCTGATCCAGTTTCAGTTTCATAAATGTGTTGAACTTTTGGTTGAGAGTTAGAGTTGAATAATGTTTGACGCATCATCGTAAACATTGCTGCTCCCATTGCCATATTACTGATAACATTAGCTACAGATGCAGCAATACGTGCATGAGATAATGCCATTTGCAAAAGAAAAGTAAGACCAAGTCCAATTCCAGGCATCATTTGCATATTATTTTTCGTACCACGCGATAAACTAACTAGAGAATTTGATATTTTCCTAGCTAATTCTACATTATCATGAAGACTTGGAAGTTGGATAATTAGTGCCGATGTATTTTTTTTTCTCTTATTAATTTTTTGAATATCATCTTTTACACTTCTTGTATTATCTTGATTGTTACTTTCATCATTTTTCAGCACTTCACTCTCCATTTCCGCTCCAAAAAGAACTTGAAAAGCTTTATAAGCATCATCAAGTGTTAGATATCTTTGCTCGTCATCGTCATCAATATCATCTTCATGAGTCTCATTTGTTTTCAACTTATCAAGAAACATATTTATTATTTCATCATCATGACTATGAATATGATGAGCATTCTGAACATCTCGATATTTCTCAAGATCTTGTGATGGGAACCTGATGCTTTTTTCTTTTTTATTCTTCTTCGATTTATCATGATCAGGTCTAGAATCCAAAACATCTTCCATGATGTCGCTTATGATTGTTAAAATGCTAGGTAAATTTTTGTTGTCTTTTATCCTGACTCCACGAGATTTACGAGGATTCATCAATTTAATTCCAATTACTCCGTTTCCGTATCCTTCAAAGTTTAAAAAACCATAGTTTGTTTTAAATTTATCCTTTATTAAAGACTCATACCATTCTTCCATTACCTGTTGCACCGATTCTTTTCGTCTCAACAGCTCTTTTTCCACATCTAGTGGATTCATGTTAAAAATATCTTGAACTTCATCTTCATATGATCGTCCAAAGGGAAGTCCTGGAAGACTTGGTAAGCCTGGAAGTGATGGTAGAGCGCTAGTTATTAGAGGAAATATAAAAATGCCCAAACATCGAATAAAACTGAGACTTGTTATACAGCGAATCACGTTATCAATCACTCCTCTAGTACTCTGAATACCTATTCTTTCAACCATCTTTAATATTTCTATCTGTTCATTAGTTAAGGATTCCTTTACTGATGAATCCAGAGAATCGAGCATAGATTCTTCAAATTTTACTGATGAATATTCAGTATCATTCAAGGACTCTTCAGAAATAATATCAGATATATTAGCGAGATATCTATAAATGTCAGATTCTGACAAGTTTAAATGTAAATTATCTGTTATATTTTTAGCATTGACAGACTCGGGATAATCATCAAATAGAGATTCGTATGTACTTCTTTTATGTCTATCACTTTGTGAAGATTTTGATAAAATGACTTTTTCTTGTGAAATGTCTAGTAAGATTTCAGTTGGTTGACCAGCAAACTCGGGTACCGTTGATACTGATTCTAAAAAAAAGTCATACGTCAGTAATTAACAATAAAGAAACATATCAAGCCTGGGCGAATGCTACAGTGTGTTCACCTACTGACGAAGGTATTCCTGTTTGAAGATTGTCATGTTGATGAGCTCCAGAAAATTGTTGATTCCTATGATAAGGCTGGAAATACTGTGGTACTTGATATTGTCCTACTGGTAAGAAACTAAACTGTCCTGCTGGATGTTCGGTATAAGTTGGCTCTAAATGAGGTGGAAGTAATGGCGATGGTTGAAGTTTGCTCATTGGAAGACTTGGAAGACTTCCAACGTTTGGAAAACTAGGAAGCTTTGTAACAAATTGGCCTATTGTTGGCCAAGCAACATCTCTCATACAATCCACAAAATTACTGTCGCGTGCACAACTATTCATTTGTGTTACAAAATTTTCTCTCAGAGGTGAAGGTAGTAAATTTTCTGCCACAAGAATAACGTCCGCTTGCTGGTTAGTGAAAGACATAAACTGTGGCGACTTGGCTATTGCAGAATATGGTGATGAATTTTGTTGTAATGGGTCAACACTTTTAAGAACTTTTAAAATTAATTCTTCTGGATGGTCACTTAAAATTGGAACGAATCTTGTATCTGTAATTGTTACCATAGCATTTCCATGTTGATCAGTTTTAACATCAGTCTCAGAAATCGGTGTTATATTGTCTGAAATTGGCTGAATGTATTCAGAATTAAAATTCTCTATTCTTTGGAACGTTGGGAAGTTTGGCAATCGTGAGAAAAACTCTGATAATTTTGGCCAAAGTACATCACGAGAGCAAGTAATGAAGTCATTGTTTCCTAAGCATTCAAACATTGATTCATATAAACTTTGACGGTTTGATGCAGGCAAAAGACTTTCAGCGATTTTTAATATATTTTCTTGCTGTTCATTCAATGTTGAATTGAAGCGAGAAATAAATTCAGAAAGTTTGCTATTGAATTCTGAACCATCTGATGGTTTCATTGTCTTTGAAATGGTGCTCAGTATATTTAAAATAAGACCTTCTGGATGATCTGAAAAAATTGGAACAAATCGATTGCCTGTTACAGAAATAACTGGTTCATCATCAGCTTTAGCAGATATTCCAGAGTGTATTGGGGTTCTTCCAGAAATTTGAATGTTAGGATATCTATAAAGATTATTGAAACTAGCACTGGTCGAAGTAAATGGATGATTAAAAATTGGTTGACGATTAGATACTCTATATCTTCCTTGCGATGATGCTAAAACAGTTTGCTCGTTAGGAAACTCTGGGAAGTTTGTAATATAAAGTTTCAAGAATGGCCAGATGACGTTTTTAGTGCAAACCATAAACTCAGCTCCACCTTGAACACAACCTAGAGCTCGAGAAACCAAATCTCGTCGTGCTGTCAATGGAGTGAGGCTTTCAGCTAATCCTAAAATTGCTAATTCATCATTGTTTAAACGAGATTGAAACAATGACTGTTTGTCACTTAAAAGTGGTCGTTGAATTGGAGTATTTATAAGTGAAAATCGTAAATTATGTAGAAGGTTAACAATGTAGGGTTCAAGCTGTTTGAGATTAGCAATAGATTCTCTTGTTACTGCAACTGATTTTGGACAGCAAGTACATTGTGAAGAAGTGTCTGATGAGCCTCCAATGCTTCCACTTGGACCTCCTCCACTGATTATACCAATACCTCCTATCAAAAATTTAGATAATTGTTATTATTCTATAACATGTAAATATTTCTTTGAAAAAAATGATATTATCATACCACTTCCTCCAGTCCCAGAGCTTCCTTGATTACCACTAGTGGTTCCTCCAATTGATCCTTGATCACTTCCGGATCCTCCAATAGAACCTTGATTACCTCCAGATCCTCCAATACTACCAGAATCACCGCCACCTATTTGAATTCCACCTTCAAAATAATTAATATTGAAATCAGTTTTTTGCGTGATTACTATTGAATTTTGATATAAATAATCACCGGTTCCTCCAGAGTTGTTAGAGCCACTTGAACTTCCACCAGTAATACCACCTAATCCTCCATCAGTACTTCCTCCTGGTTTACCACCTCCAATTATGCCACCAATAGATCCTCCGGAAGGTCCTTGACTACCACTTGAGCTTCCAGTATTACCTGTTTGATTACCATCTATGTGAATACCTCCAGCTGAAAAAATATATTAAATTATTCGCTATATCATTAGTGTAAAGATATAGGAAATAATAACATACAGCCTCCTTGGGTATTACTTGATCCTTGCCCTCCACCAGTAGATCCACCTCCTAATCCTTGATTAGTACCTGAGCCACCAATATTACTTCCTTGACCTCCCGTGCCACTACCTCCTCCTCCTATTTGAATTCCTCCAGCTATATAAAACATGGAAAACCGGTTATTATTTGAAAAAAAAGATTGGATCAATTTATCATTTATTATATCATTATTACAAGAACCTCCTTGACTGCCGCTAATACCACCGCTTCCAGATCCCTGGTTATTGCCAGTGCTTCCGATATTACTTCCCTGACCACCGGAGGTACCACCACCGCTACCAATTTGAATTCCTCCAGCTATGAAAAATTATAGTAATTAAGATTATTTTCATCTTATCATGAGAATATCATGATATAATCTTACTTCCGCCGTGACCAGAAGTTCCAATGCTGTCATGAAGACCACTGCCAGCAGATCCTTGGTTGTTACTAGAACCTCCTAGATTGCCTCCTGAAGATCCTGTACTTTGTCCAGTACCGTCACCACTAACTTGAGTTGATCCACCTATAAATTGGAATAGGCGTAATAAAGATATATCGTAAAAATAACTTAAGAATAACTATAAATTATGAAGGTGATCTTCAAGATCACTTGTATTGTTTGTTTTGCTATTACCTGGATGAATTATAATAGTAATACTGCTTCCGCCATTTCCATTACTGCCGGATCCTTGACCAGTACTGGAACCTTTAGTGACATGATAAAAACAGAATAACTAAATTTAATTAAAATTTTTTACAAAAATTATTGAATATCTAGTCATACCTGTAGTAGGTTTTTGGGTGACACCTGAACTTCCTTGATTACTGCCTGATCCTCCCCACTGAATTCCACCTTGGCTTCCTCCTTGTGATCCTCCTTGGTTACCTCCTTGTGGACCACCAGATCCACCCCATTGGATTCCACCTTGACTTCCTCCTTGTGATCCTCCTTGACCGCCTTGTGGACTACCAGATCCACCCCATTGGATACCACCTTGACTTCCTCCTTGCGAACCACCTTGGTTACCTCCTTGTGGACCACCAGATCCTGATCCACCCCATTGAATTCCACCTTGACTTCCTCCTTGCGAACCACCTTGGTTACCTCCTTGTGGACCACCAGATCCTGATCCACCCCATTGAATTCCACCTTGACTTCCTCCTTGCGAACCACCTTGATTTCCTCCTTGTGGACCACCAGATCCACCCCATTGAATTCCACCTTGACTTCCTCCTTGTGATCCACCTTGACCACCTTGAGGACCACCAGATCCACCCCATTGAATTCCACCTTGACTTCCTCCTTGTGATCCACCTTGACCACCTTGAGGACCACCAGATCCACCCCATTGAATTCCACCTTGACTTCCTCCTTGTGATCCACCTTGATTTCCTCCTTGTGGACCACCAGATCCACCCCATTGAATTCCACCTTGACTTCCTCCTTGTGATCCACCTTGATTTCCTCCTTGAGGACCACCAGATCCACCCCATTGAATTCCACCTTGATTGCCTCCTTGGCTACCACCCTGTGATCCACCTGATCCCGAACCTCCCCATTGAATTCCTCCACCAATGCCTTCTTGATTTCCATTTTGTCCACCTGTTCCGCCCCAATGAATTCCTCCACCAATGGCTCCTGGAATTCCCCCGCCAATGCCTCCTAGTATTCCTCCTTGTCCACCACCTTGATTTCCACCTTGACTCCCACCAGATCCACCCCATTGAATTCCGCCTTGATTGCCTCCTTGGCTTCCTCCTTGGCTACCACCTTGTGGACCGCCAGATCCTGATCCACCCCATTGAATTCCGCCTTGATTACTTCCCTGACCTCCTCCTGGACTACTTCCTTGTGATCCACCTGTTCCAGAACCTCCCCATTGAATTCCGCCTTGATTGCCTCCTTGGTTTCCTCCTTGTGATCCCCCTTGACTTCCTCCTGATCCACCCCATTGGATTCCTCCCTGGCTTCCGCCTTGGTTTCCTCCTGTTCCCGAGCCTGATCCTGATCCACTCCATTGACCGCTTCCTTTATGAATAATTTTATTTTCATTATAAAAATCAACAACATAAATTCACAAAATGTTTTACATACCACCTGATCCAGTTTGTCCTCCACCGCTGCTTTGAGGTGGTGGAATTATAATTGTAATACCACCATTATTACTACCACCACCTGTACCTGCACCTGAACCACTTCCTTGAGTGCCTCCTTGAACTCCTCCTTGTCCTCCGGGACTCCCTCCTCCAATTACTTGAATGCCAGCTGTACATAATTTTCTTTATAAGCTTATATGTCATAAAAAACGAAAACAAAAGTTTTAATGTACTTACAACCGCCACCACTTCCAGATCCCGCTCCACCTCCTGCTCCTGCTCCTGCTCCAGAACCAGATCCACCTACACTTCCAGAACCCCCAGAGGGAGTTCCTCCCCCGCTTCCACCTCCGATGGTTACTGACCCAGATCCACTTTCACTTCCCGAGCCTCCAATTATTCCTGCCCCCGGGAACCACGACGGAAGATGTGGTGGACTGAAGGTTGGTATAGTTGGTAGTGTAAAAGTACTAAAAAAGCTCTCGAAATCTGACAAATTTGGAAGCTGTGGTTTCCATTTTCGAACCGCAGGCCATGTAGAATATTTCATACATGTCAAATAATCATATTGTTTCATACACTTTACTGTACTTTTAACGAATTCTGGTCTTTGATCAGCTGGCAAAAGTTGTTCAGCCATTTGAATAGATGATAGTTGCTCTGGTGTAATATATTCCATGTCATCTTGTAGTCGAGTAGCTGAAGACAAAAATGGTTGCCTTGGTTGTTGATCTAAAGTATTCTTCAAAATATGAGCAAAAAGTGTTTCTGGACGTGGACTTCTATTTCTATAGATATCAGCTTCTATAATTTCAGGTAATTTTCCATTTTCCTCGGAAAATTCAGGAAAAGGTATAATAGGATAGCCAGGGTAAACACTTATTGTAGCAGGATACCAGCTTTGATAGTCGGGAAATTCAGGAAGTGCTGGAAAGTGTTGTTTAATCATTGGCCATGCAAAATATTTTACACAACTAAAATATTCAAATCGTTTAATACATGATGTCATTTTACTTGAATAATCTTGTCTTGCTGACTCGGGTAAAAATTTTTCTGCCATTTCTAAAATTTCAAACTGATTAGAATTTAATAATTTCAATAAAGTTTCATTGTGAGCATTGATATAACTAGGTAAATTATTGTCATTTAAATTACTTTCTAAAGCCTCTTTTAAAATATTAGAGATAACAAGTTCGGGACTGATCAATCGTTGCTGATGAACTGAAGTAGCTCTGGTATTTTTTTGTGTTTCTTGGCCTCCAGGTAACCAGTCAGATAATGTAACTTCGATTGGAAGTGACGGTAGATTCTGAGTAATTCTTTCTGGAAGATTTTCTACAATAATTGGCCAAATAAAAATTCTCATACAATTAAATATATTAAATCCACGAATACATTCAAAAATATTTTCAGCAAAGCTTTGACGTTGTTGTTCAGCTAATAACCCTTCAGCACATCTCAAAACTTCTATTTGTTTTTTATTTAATAATGATGTATCTAGAGAATCCACATAAAACTTCTCTAATGATTTTTTAGGAGAAATTTTTTTGAAAAGATCCAAGTACTCATTTTCAGTATAATTTGGAACTCCTGGAAGAATCTCAGCTTGCTCCCGAAGATGTTGGAGATAAGTTTGATTTTTTAATTTTTTTTGAAGATTCAAAGCTTGTTCTTTCCAATATTGAACTGAATTCTGTGAATCTAAAATTTTTTTATCATCTTCTTTATCACTACTTCGTTCATTTCTTATTTCTTCATCTTCATTTTCTTTATCCTCATCTTCATTATCAATTATTAATGATTTACGAGCAGCTTCATTGTTTGTTAAAAAAATGTTATCACTAATTTGATCGACTTTAACTGGTATTAATTCTGGTGTATTATGATCAGGAATTACATCAACAGACTTTAATAATTTTTTGTCATCAACATTTTCTTGAATTTCTTTTTCTTCATTTTTTTCAACATCAACTATAGGATCATCTATTTTTTCTTCTTCAACAATGGAAGGTTCTAACTTCCTTTTTACTGATCTTTTTTGATTGTATAAGTCAGGATCTTTGGAATATTCCGGATGATCTTGATCACGAATTATTTTATCATCATATTTAATACTATCAACGTCAGGTTCAACCTCAGCATCGAACCTCCTAATTCCCTCTTCTTTAGTTAACTGAATAATGTCAATATGTTCTTCAGAATCAGAAGACTTACCATCAGGTTGATGTACTTCAGGCTGGTCTTTGATGTCGTGAGTTTGTTGGATGGCTTCATCATTGACTTGGAACTTGTCAATCACTTGGTCATCCGAGATTACACTTGATTTAACACCATGACAGCCAGTAAGTGTAAGGAAGACTATGATAGGTATGAAGATATGTGATATTAGCAGACGACTTCGAGAGTTAAGTGTTCTCATGGTCGCGGTCGCGATGCGAATGTCTCAAGAACTCTGCGGAACATCCCAGCAACCCTCTGCTATGATCAAGAAGCTGCTCGGCGGACGAGCCATACCTACAAGGCTGGACCATGTATTCGTAGAAGCGTTTGTGTGTACGTAAACGGTCAGACCATCGGCATTTCCATTTTTGTTTCACTTCAGCTCTTCAGGGTTGTCGGAGCAGGTTCATGCCATAATGCCATGATGATCTATACACAAGAAGCCAAGTAGAGAATTGATATTTTTATTTTTAAAGCTTTTTTATCGACCCATCGTCATATACACGCTATTAATCTCTATGAACCTTTCAATCTTCGATGCTTTATTAGAAAAAAAAGGAAAATGAAAAAAGCTGAAGAGACGGGAAAGTATTGGTAATCGTATAGAATTATGGCAAACCAAAAGGGGTTGTTGGATTTTTAAGTCCTTGAAGGTTGTAAGAATACTTTGAAAGATCTTTGCCCTCCACTTATGTGAGAACAAGCAAGTACAGCGAGTACCTTTTTTTTATTACTTTGACTTATTTAGTACGACGTGAAGAACTTGGAAGGCCTTGTACTCATCCCTTTTCCCTTCTCCATCCATCCAGTAAACCTGTATTACTATTTTTTTTCCTTTTTATGCTATCAATCGATTCCTCGTTCTCAGGAACATCTAAAGCCACAAAAAATTTTGCATTTTATTTTATCCTTAAATAAATCTTATCTTAAGACTCAAATAAAAAAATTTCAATTTAGATGCCAGAGTGCTGAGTGGTATCCTGCAGTTTATTCATTTAATTAATGATTTTCCTCTGAAAAATAAATGTTGATGATAAATTTTATTAATACCAATAGTTTTTGCATGATAAATGAAAAATAATTCATCTTAAGAATTTGATGGTCAGTTCCAATTGAACGAATTCATTACATTCTCGTTTCACTTCCTCAATATCTAGATAGAAGGTGCGCACATCGCAAGTTCGTTCAAGTGAATCTTGGCGCGAATACTTGGACATTCAAACAGAGACAAGAAACAAGTAAAGACGTAGTTGTGTACCTTCTCAGACCACACGAATTGTACGAGGTTCGCTCACAGTCTATTACAGTCCACTTCATTCTTCTTTCGTTTTCTTCAACGTTTCACTTCGAGTCCAAATTGGTCTGCCTACCGAAGAACGTCTTCACTTGAGTTTTTCTAATGCTCGTGAAACCATCAATTAAATTTTAACTAAATAAAAATTCAATTTATACATTTAACAATGAAGAACAAATTCATTTATTGGTGTTTTTTGTGGTGTTTTTTACTGACTATTTGTCAAACAATTGTGGCTGATGTTGAAGAATCAATTTATTTGAATAACAATAGAACTGATTCGAATGATCTTGCAATTGATCGTAGTATCACAGATTTAGTTGATTATATATTCAATTTTAATTCGCAAACTGAAGGTGAGTAAGTTAAATGAAAGTAAAATGTTGTTTTTTATTGGATTAATTTTAATATTAATTAATTTTTTTCTTCTAGGAAGAACTTTTGGTATTAAGAGAATACAGTTTATGATGATGCCAATGATATTCAAAATGGGAGTAATGATGACATTGCTCATCGTCCTAACAGTGATTTCGTTGAAAGGATTGACTATTGGTATGTACGTTGGTGGAAAGTAATGGGTTTGTGGTTTGCACTTTGAAGAATGTTCTAACGGATCATCTATCTGAGCACGTACTAACATTCTTCTTTATTTTCAAATTTCCTTTATATAAGCAAAGGTTTTCAAGCTTATATTTATATTGATATAATTACTATTTGCTGTTAAAAATATACAGTAAAATAACTGTGACCAATAGAAATTTCCGGTATCCTCGTACAGTGACCTGGTGCACGTAAGGATCCGATTCGAAAAGAAATGGTCTCTTTGCACGATATTCGAATGTTAATGATATCCCCCTGACATAGATCTTAAATTCTTATGTTAATTAATTATAAAAACTTGGTCATGCATTTTGAATTAAATTACAAACAGAAATCAGTCAACTTGATCAATGAAACATCAATAAAAACATAATTAATTTATTTTATTGATAAAAACTAATTTTAATGAATTCTTTTTGCAGGTGTCATTTTATTGATATTAAAATTAAGCACAATATTCGCAAAGGTTTATTCTGCGCTAAATAAATCTCAGAATCAAATTCCTTGGACTCCTCCAGTGCAACCAGTTAATGTTCATTTCCATAATGACGGGTATCACCATCATCCGTTTAGTGGATATGATGGTCCAAGTAGTATGGAGAATCATGACCATCATTTCTATCACAGAGGATCACAAAGAATCCATTCGGAACCACCGTACTTCATATGAATTAAATATATTAAAAATTTTTAATTGATACTAACAAAAGTACTACAACAATGTGATCATTATTGGGGCCATATTTCAAACAAAATTTTACACTAGTTGAAATTCATTGTTGACTGCTGAAGATGATTAACATGAATTATCTTCAACTTTAAAAGGGACCAAAGGATTTTTTTGTATTACTCTAATTTTTAGAGAATTTCATATACCTCGTAACATACTTTTTTTACTTTAAATAATTATTTAATAATATGTTATAACTTGTTAATTTATTCTCTTATTTATATGTAATAAGTTATTTATTTATTTGTAACTAAATAATAAAATAATAAAACTTCATAAAATAAACTACTTATGAAAACGAGAGATTGTTTTTTCGAAAGAAAGCTACTTCTTATTTCGATATGACATGAAGCTTAAATTAATTAAAAATTACGGTAAATTATTATGAACTTAAATATCTGAAAAGAATATGGAGATTTCTTTCAAGGTTGACCGATGAACAGGAAATCCCGCTTGCCACGGTTGCAATCCGACGCATCAGGCAGACTAATCTTTGCAGCAACTCTACGCAGAGGTATGTATTCTCCTTCTATAAGATCTAGTTCTTAATCATGGTGGGGTAATTGAGAATAAAAATGAAAAACTGGTTGCACCGTACTAAGTTGTCTTAGATGATCATAATACCAAACCAACGACTGCAATTTTACCAACCATAGTACAAAGTTGCTATCTAAGCTTCTCTTCAGTCTAATAATTAATCTAAATAATTCTTTCTATCATGATTTTAAAAATCACGTTGATTAATATCTCGACTACCTTTTCAATCCTACTGTTAAGTTCTTTTGTGTTCAATGGTGAGTGTCGAGAACTAGTTGACAAAAAAGTCGAAAACTTTGTAAGTATTTTTCCGGGATTTTTTATTGATGTTGATGATGATGCAGTTAAAATAAAATTCAATATACAAGAGCTCTTTACAGGTATGTTTTTTTTTAGATTTGATTAAATAATTTTTTGAAATAAAAAATGATTATTGGTATGAGTGTTTAGGAAGGTCATTAACAAGCAAGGAAGATACTGGAAGTGGTAATAATAACAGTGGTGAAAACAAAAAGCCAAAAGTGTTACAGCGTATTGTGGGTTTATTGATGATGGTTCCATTGATGATGCAAGTGAGGCAATTTAAATAATAACGATTACTTTCGAACAATAGTTGGAATAAATAAATTAACATATTATGTAACTCATTATGATTGTAGATACTAGCATTACCAGGAGCATTAGCTTCAATAAAAATGTCATTACTTAAGAGTCTCATAATGGGAAAAATGTCGTTTATTATAATGTTGTATTGTTTGGTTCAACATTTACGATCTTCATCGAACGTGGTTGTAGTTCATAAACCACCACCACCACAACATTATGATCATTATTATTCTTCATTCGATGATGACGAAGGATGGTTCGGTTAATAGCGAATAAACTTGTGATCTATTTATTATAAAAACTTTCTCAAAAGACGGAACACAGCTTTATATACCTTTTTAAGTGCTTGGCCATACCTATAAACAACAAGAAATCCCGCAGCTGACGTCCAAGAAGCCAAATGTCCTACTTTTCATCATGAAATAACGGCATATTGGTCCAGATTGTTCGAAGGCTCCAATATAACCATGTCATTCAGTCTAACCAATTTCTCTCTCATTAAAACGATATTGAAAATGAAATTGTTCACGAGCAACAATCAATGATTGATCAATTTATAAAAAAAGTATAACATTATAAACGTTACTAATTATACAGATAAAAGTTTTATTTTATATTATCATTCAGCTGGTTATTATGATTATGACACTGGAGAAAATGGTTAATAAGGTATTTTCAAATGTCATTATTTTTTTCAAATATAATGATAGGTCAAGAGACAACAAAAATGAATAATAAATTCAATTTTCTGTCATTCAAATATAAATTAATAATTTAAATTTTTTTATGACGATTGTGATGGAGACTAATAAATAGTTTAAATAATTAATGAATAATTGAAATAAAAAAGAATTTACAACCATAAAAACTACATGTTTCAACTTTTAAGTAACAATTTTTTGATAGAAAAAATAATATATATATATTTGGCAAAAGTGTAGTATTTTTGGTTAATTGATTTATTTCAATTATTCGTCTAACTACATGCAGGTACTTGACTGCATTTTTGTTTCTTGTTGACTGTTATAATTTATCTAGGAATAAATAACATTGATACTGTATTGAGAACGCGAGCTGTATCAACTGTCATATAAATCAGTTAAAAATAGCTCAAACAATGCTAATTAGTGATGAGAAGAATTGGCACATTGATTTTCACCTGAGAAAGTATATTCAAGAATAATAATTAGCTAACAAAAGTTTTATCAAATCATCCAGCATCTGTTGCGAGCGTGCAGCTAAGTAGTTAAGTGCTGATAGAAAAAAAGCAAATCTGAGACTTTGAAAGCGAAAATATGTTAGTATTAAGTGCGTGATAGCAAGAAAAGCGGGACTTAAATAAATTTGAGGAATAAGTCCTAGATTATAAATCCAATAAGAAGGAATGAATCGAAGGAGGGAGAATCTTGACTATCTTGTGATTGGTTAAGAACCAATGAGGGATTTCTTTAATGTATATCTATCTTCGTTCGCACGTGGCCCACAACTGCTGGTTTCCAATGGTGTCTATCAACGGGGAACCCGTGGAATAAATAAGAAGGTTCGTGAGGGAGAAAAAAACTTTTGTCCATCGTGATCAGGCGTCTAGTGTCATTGTCGAGGACACCCTTTTGATTGTTTTATTTTGTTTGTTTGACATTTAAAAGTCATAAAATTTATTACCATGGCCCGGTTAGTTTTGCTAATTGCTGCGGGCCTTTTATTATATTCAGCAATATCAGTGAAGGCTCAAGAAGTGTCTGAATTATTTGATTGCTTTTATAACAATGATAGTCTTGAGTGTGCCAAAAAAACCACAGATGAAGCACTTCAAAAAATTGAATCTGAGATCACTGGTAAAAAAAATCCCGTTGCCTTCAGCAAGGTTATTGAGAAGGCCGGAAGCTTGATGATCGATGGTGTTAATGCTGTCTTCAATCATGAGCACAATGCTACTGAGATTCTAAATGATACTCATGCACGTAAGTAATTAAACTTCATTGTTTTAACAAATTAACTCATTTCTTTTTTCAACATCAATAATTTATTCATAAATAAATATAGGTCATCACATGTTTCTGAGAATGACTTAAAATGTCACAAGTCTTAATTTTATTGTATATAATTATTTCCTTTTATTAACAAAATTATTTCAACTCTTTTTAGTCAGTATGTCAAACGTAAATTATAGTGTTCCAGTTTCCATGTAAAGAAAAGTAATATAACGCGAGAATTAGGATTGTTGAGTAGTTACATTTCAATAAAATCACCACAAACGGTTAAAAGTTAGAGTTTTGCAATCTATACTCATCAAACAAGTCGAACATTAAAGACAAGAACAATAGAAATTAGTGTATAGCATATAGTTAACGGTTTTAACTTACTTTCTTACATGTATGCCATTACGATTGATAAATTAGCATATTCACAGTTCTTTATTTGTTTTTTTTTCAGGTGAATCGAGAAAAAAGAAATTTGGAAAGAAAAAGAAACTTTTACTTAAGTTGATACCACTTTTTATGGCTATAAAAGCTAAAATTAGTTTAATTCTCCAGTTTATCTCGACGCATTTCCAGTTAAAATTTTTCGCTATTGCCGTTGTCAGTCTCATAATTAACTTTATTCGTCTATGGTTGGAAATAAAAAGGTCTCACACACCAGCTAAAGTCATTTATTACGAGCATGCACAGCATCAACATCATTATGATACTGATGATGAGCATAGTTATTGGAAGAGACGATCAAATGATGATGATGAAACTTCTACACAATTGGCTTATCGTGCTTGGATGCCAAAAGAACGGCAATAAAACTGATAATCAAACTGAATCTAAAAAAGCTTTCAAATTTTTAAAGTTTTATTTTTGGCTATTTAACTGGCCAAATGCCGAATAAATATAAGCCCATCGTTCCACAACTTGTTAAGTATACTTTCTCGTGGAATGTGCCGAGCCCATTTTTGGATTGTTCCACTATAATTCGAAATTTAAATTCTCAATGCAGCGTCAATGATTTTAAATTACCGTTATACCAAAGTTAATGACGTATAAAAATCTATGTTCGTAGAAAATAAAATTTCACAAATGATAAAAAATTATTTTCTGTCTAAAAAAATATTTTTAGAGAAAAATAATTTTTTAAATATAATAAAGGCACTTTTCTTTTTGAGTTAGCTTCTATCATTAACAGTCTTGACTGAAAGAATTTTTCTTGTCAAAAGAAAAATTTTCTCATTAACAAGTTATTTTCTATTTAACTTGCCCACTTTTATAGAAAATGTACAATTTTCTAGATGAGTATATCACTAAGACTAATCGTATTTTTTAATTATTTATTTATTTATTCATTCATAAATTTAATTATTTATTTAATAAAAAATTCAACTTTGTTATATTGTTAAAAATAAACTGATAAAAAAACTGAAAAATTTATATACTTTATCACCATCACTCCAGACTAATATTTTTCAAATTATGAAAATTAGCACAAATGCTGAATTAAATTTTCATCATTTAAAGAAAAAGATGCTTATCGCAACTTCGTGTAAAGCATATTACTTGACATAAACCTTTCATGGTCAATGACCAGGGTTTGTTGATTTGGCAAGCAAGTTTAGTTATTCAAGGAGACAACTGACCTCCATATGCACCGTGACCAGAGATTTTTTTGTCAACACATTCTTCTTCAAACTGACTGATTCACAAACTGGTATAACAATCCATCTTTCATGCGTCAAACCAAGATGATCATCATAGATTTCTTTTTATGAATTAGCCTTATGACCTTGACGAAAGAACCAGCCCTCTTGATGAACACTCATAGAATAACTTGCAGACTTATTATTATTATTATTAATTTGGAAAGCTGGTGCGTTCAACGTCCAGGACGTAGATAATTTGCATCGGGACCTTCGCGGATGATGTGGATGTCTGGATGGTCATTGGCAGAAACTAGACGTGATGATGTTGTTAATTCTCTTTGTACTCAGTTTACCATTCATACAATATTCAAGATCTTGCGTGAGTTACCTATATAACACCCTCTTCTTCAAGATCTAAGTATCAGTCTCTTAGAGATTTACCAACGATCACATCTAACTCAGGATTTTATTAACAAACTTAAGACTTGCTTCATCTAAACCAAAAATTATTTAAAATGAGATCGACTGTTTTTATCATAGTTATCATAAGCGTAATATCTATTAACTATACAGTGTTATCTCAGCGCCAGTCGAAGAGACCTATTCCAGTTTTCAAAGTAAGTTTACCAGTTTTTACCCTACTTGATTCAATCTTTATCTGCTAGTTCAGTACATCTCATCCTACATGTCTTACTTCGATAAGAAATTAGCTAATAAAAAATATCCATTATATTTAATGAGAATTGATAGACTTGACTTTTAACTTAAAGTGTTTGTCTTATTTTTGTTAAAATATTAGTTGTAAAACACGATATGCATGTTTGTAATCAATTGAAAAAAATTATGATTAAGAAGATCCATTAATCCATATATTCTTTGTTTTTTAGGATAACATGCCAACGTTATTGTTACCAAATAATGCAACAGCTATAAGAGAGAATATTGTTGATACATTTTCGTGTGAAAATCGAATTTATGGATATTACGCGGATGTAGATAATGAATGCCAAATATTTCATGTCTGCTTGCCGCAACAAAGAGGATCGATAAGATGGAGTTTCATTTGCCCCATCGAAACAGTTTTTAATCAGGTAAAATTATTGCTATTCATTTATTAGTGATTTATAAAATTATTTCAATGTAACATCTACTCATATTTTTCTTTGATTATCTAGGAAACTTTTGTTTGTACAAGGATCAATGATTCAATCCCTTGTGAAGAGTCTGAACAGTATTATGTTTTGAATGAAGAACTTGGAAAAGATGAAAAAGAAGAAGAAGAGAAAGAAAAACCTGAAGAAAATGCAACATATTATCCATTGGATTTTGACAATGAATTACCAGTGACACCATTTACAAGAAATTTACGAAGAAGAGGGAAATCTGACCGTCGAGGAATAAGTAATGACGATAAAAATAAGTCGAATAACATGACTGAAAGTTCAAGACCTGAAAACTCAGCCACGACACTGAGATCTACTTCGTTGCGTCAGAGATTGAGAATATAATTTATATAGGAGTTAAAAAAAGTAGCGTAAGAGAAACAAATCATTAAATATGTGAATAGGAATATTAATATTGTATTTCTCATAATACAGGAATAATTAGAACAATTTTAAAAATATATACAATGAATAACAATTTTTAATTTATTGATAGCTCTGAAATCTTGTTTAGAATTAGTCTCATTCTAAATTATCTATAAAATTAATATTTCAACACGACTATGTGAATATAATTGTAACTTAAACAGACGCAAAGCATAATTTCCACAAATGTCCCAAGCCTTTAAATATTTACATTTTATATAATAATTTGATAGCACAAGTTAAATTGACAGAATTACTCATCTACTATGTACAATAGCTGATATGTATTGATATTGGTTTTCAGCTTAAAAATATAGTTATCTTACATATTATTTAAATAATACTTAATATAGAATTGAACATATTTGAATATAAAATGATTGTGAAACCGAGCTGAAAGTCTACAGCATTTTTTTCGTTTTTGATCTTTGGATAACTAGCCTTGTATTCAAAGACAAATTCAAGTCTTGCTGCTATTTAGTATTCAAAGAGCAATTATTACCATCGAGCAAATGAACGAAATAACTTACACTATAACTAACACTTGAGACAAAGCAAACTGTATAAAATAAAAGAATTAATTAATCAAAAAACTTAATATTTTACAGAGGTATTAATTTCAAACAACTTTTCATTTATACTTTTCTTTTAATTAGAGTTATATGAAGATTTTAGAGAGTATACTTTGTCCCAGTTATTCTTACTTAATTGAGCCTTATAATTAGTTACCTTAATTGATTATGAAAATTAAAAAAAAATTCTTAAGCTTCTGAATCTCTAGTTAAATCAGATTCTATTTCTTCAGGTGTTCGTAAGTCAATAGCAAATTTTTTTTTCACATCACTTGTATTTTTTTGAATTTTTTCTAGTCCTTTAACTGTTTGTGAATAAATTTGAAATGCTGTTGCAAGTGCATAAGTTAATTGTCTCGCATGATGTTTAGATTCACAAACAAATGCATGACACTCAAAGGGTGAGACTTTCCTAAAATTAGAAGTATCACGAACGGCAATCATTGAGAAAACTCTTGTGTAAACTAAGTCCTGAACTCCATAAGAAATTATTTCGATCGGATAATTTTTCCCAGTAGATAATTCTAACTTTCGTTTAGTAAAAGGAAGTAAAGTCACACCTTCACAAGAGACAACCAATTTCATCAGAGGTAGCATTGTGTCAGTCGGTAAGGATTTAGCTGTAGCTACCATACTATCAACTGGCTTTCTCGTGTGCTTGATTCCCCAGAGACCTCTTGCATCGTGTGAGCCCAAGTATTTTACTTGAAACACCTGTGGCAACTCATCCGATCCTTCGAATACGTTGTTATCAATCGACAAGTTTGATAAACGTGAGATAAGACTCTTTTTATCATCTCGAGACGACAGTGGAGTTGATTCTTCAGTTCTCATCTCCCTGGTGTTTTCGTTCAATCTCTACAATTTAAAAATATCGATAATTATTGTCGACTTTCACAATAATTGAATAATGAAAGCAATAAATATAAACATAAATAAAAAATGTAATACAACCAGAGTAAAAAAAGAATCTTTATGACTTGAAACACGTATGATAAGTGACCTAATCATTATAAAACCTTTTAACAACTTTCACAAATTTTAAGATACCTTTTAAAATAAAAATAATTCAGCCTAGAGCTTACCCATTGGAAAAATTTAAATATTTAAAAATTAAATTAAAAAAAAGAAATGAGTAAACGTCACTGTCATCAGAATCTGACCTCTTACATCAGTTGAAGACTCAAATGAAAGTAACTATGATGTTATCAAGACTGTCTGGAGTATTCAAAGCAACTTGTGATTATTTTTGAAGGATATTGTAACTCACTCACATTGGTAACAAGACTTTTCTGCTGCTGTAAACTAGGATACTTCAAGTGATACTCCACAACGTTCGGTATGTTCGGTGGGTCACGAATGACTGAGGTCTCCGGTCTCTGGTGCGTGTTGACTTGACTGCTTCCTGTTTCCTGTGACGTCGAGCCTTCTTTTGCCACGCCTTCTGTTGTTATTCCTGATCTACAGACTTCACCTTTAGGGTAGTTCAATTTGGGACTAAAAGTCGCTTGTCTCAATCCCCTTTCATAATCCATCGTTTTTTCTCCGGCTGTTGTTACTCGTTGTAAGATCCATGGATCTCTTTGAGTAAATCCAAAGTCGTCTTTTTCCATTCTAAACAAAATTAATTTAACTTTACGTATAAAATTTAAATTTTGCAAATAAATTAAGAGAGAATATGATACTATCAGTGAATTGCTACGTTCTTATTAATAAAATTGACGTCAGAGTTATCAGCTTATCAGAAACTACTGCCAGAAAAATAATCTCATATATCTCTTATCTTTACAATTTATTTATATTTATCAATCATTTATATTCAATCCAATTTGATGAAATGTTTATTCAGCATTCTGCAATTATTATGTCTTGGTTTTATACAACAACTGGAAGGACGTTAAAAATAGTAGAAGGGATTGAATACCTAAAAACAGCTGGTGAACTCGTGAAAGCACGTGCTGCACCTTGCACCTGACCTTCCGCTGCAGGTTGATTATTTCTAAGCCGGATATTAGTTTAAAAAGTCTTTTAATATATTTTATATGACTTTTAGGAAATTATCTAATCTTAAACACCACTTGTCATTATCAAAAACATGATATTTATCTTTAGTCCTTTCTAAAAAAAATTTTTTTCACTGCTGTTATGTAACAGATGAAAAGTAATAATGATTAAAAATTTCTTGTCAAGTAAGTTCAACTGTTCCTTTTTTGTTTATTCTGAATCATTCCTATACTGTTATTATTTTTTTGGGGTATGGGAAAAGGGTATCAACCGTTAAAATAAATATTTATCCAAGCTTCGATGGTTGATATCTAATTAAAATTCAAGCACGTACGCATTGAACAAGATTGTTGAATAATATGAAACATATATAACTGAGGGTTAGGGTTGGAATACGTACACCGACGAGCCGGAAGTGAGTCAGGTGAGTTGAATAGTCAGTTGTTCAGTTAGGATACTCATTAGTATGCCCTGTTCGTTACAGGTCATCTTTTCACGCCTACTATATTCGAGGCTATTTTGATTCTCATGGTAAATAACTACCTTTTATATTATCGTTAGACTCATGATCCTGATTCTATCTTAGCAAATTCATATTCAACATTTTTGCACAGCTAACCGGCTATTAAAATTGCGTAATTTTAACCATATCATTACGAACGTTCGTTTTTCTTCCTAGAATGTTTTTGAATTTTTTTTTTTTTGCAAATTGTGATGATGAGAAGAGAGAATGAAAGACAAAAGTTATGTTAAGCTAAAGAGAAAGAGTAAAAAAAAACTAGTTATAGCTTTACTATTGTCAAGTCTGCTAATTTATATCCGTGACTATTTCCGATGCGAAAGTGTGTATGTATGTGATTCCCTTTTCATTTCGACCGTAAGCACGAGACAATTACGGGATGCAGGAAGTGACGCGATGGCAAACGGTCACCGGAAGTGCACTCGGCCGCGACTCATCTAAAATAACGTCCACACAGGACGCTCGCTCGTGCGTTGCCGAAAATTTTTATTTACAATTCTCTATTTATTTATAACATTGGAAGACATTTCTTTCTTCTATTCACTCATTTACACATTGAGAATTGAATATTCAAACAAAAACTATTTGATTAATTTTTACAAATTATTTCATAAAATATTATTTATTAATTCTTTGATTTTTTTCAAAATGTATTAAAATTATGAAAAAAAATTAATTAATTGTGAAAAAATTATTATAATAACTATTTATTATTAAATAGAATTAAATTTTTGAATAATTTTTTACCCCATTTTTTTTTATATTTACATCGATGAAAATAATATATTCTTTGTTTATATATCGTGCTGAAGATAATTTTCCTTTACAACTGTAAATTTTCATTATAAAAATATTATTACTCAATATTTCGCTATCTTATCGTCATTCTACATTCCATTGTGTGAATTAATGAGATTACTTTTGTAACCAAAATTAACAAAAAACAGTAAAAAAAAAAGAATTAATTAAAATAAAATAATTTATTTAACAATACCTACTTTGAATAATTATTCATCTTACAACTGTGTTAAAATCTCGATCAAGATTCTAGAGGATGATTCAGACTAACCCACTAATGTCACACAAATGATACAGCACGTACACTACCTGTGAAATGAATGAGACACTTTGACGTTCATGCTGTTGTTCCAGCTCTGACTGTCACCGTGTCATTGATCAAGTGTTTGCTGTTGGTTGTCACCATCAATAAAACTCCTCATTATTTTTTTTTTAGATATAAATTTTTTTCTTCCATTTTACAATAATTGTCAAACAAGTCATATTTTTACTGTTCATATTTAGGGAAAAAAATATATTGACATAAAAAAGATATAATTATCTTGTAATTGTATAATCGGGAATTGAAACAAAGATGTGTAGAAAAGAAGAAGTGTAGTCTTTGCACTTTTTCTTTCAATGCGTTGCATTAGTTGTAACTAGAGTATGCGTTTCGTAAGAGTACAGAATATTGTAGCTCACTGTAGCTTCAGTGCAATTCACAATTAATTATTTAATAGCAAGAATTCAGAAGTCTTACAGACGTGAGAAGATTTTCAGTTTTCATGTGTGACACCTCATCTATACGAAACTTTACTCTGTGAACTCGGAAATCAGCCTATTAAATAATTTATAAACTATTGAATAATATGTCAGACGTAATCTAGTACGAGATGTATTACATCTGTTTAAAATTTCAAAGAAAATTTATTCTCTGCACTAATTATTAAACAACTCTTCTTATTCAAGAAAAAAAAATGATAAATTATTTATGTTATAAAATTAAAATTTATTAGAAAAATAAATAAAGTATTGTTTGAGTCAATTGGTTTAAATTGATTTCGAAGAAAGAAAAAAATTATCTTTTGAACAAAGACTTGAATTAAAAATTCTGTACTGAGTAATAAAGCTATTATTGCTGAACAATTTTTTAAACAAATAATTACAAATTAAGCGTAAAATGAATGTAACGGCTCGTTGATTATGTTCACATAAACAATACGAATGAATAGTTACTTGGTAATTGTCAATTATTGCTTTAAGCTAACCTTGGATCAAGTAAGATATCACGGCCTGTAATTTCGGACAAGATTCATCATCTCAAGAGAATTTCCCGTTCCTCTGTAATAGAGATAGATAAGTAATAAATAAATATTCATGATAGTTTCACGAAAAATTTTATTTATACTTCTTTGGCAGTTTATGATCTCGACTCTTCCTGGATATAAATATTGACGATACAAAGAAAAGTGATTTTATGACAGTAAATTTAATTGTTTAAACCGAGAAGATAAGATAATGGTGACCATAGATTAATCTAGACATTACAAATGTTTTCACGGGTGTAAGAGCACCGGTTTCACAAGGGTTCCATTGGTGCAACGGCCATCTTCTTCTTCCTCACTCGATGTGCATCTTATGTATATGGCGAGAATCACGCCAAGAGAAGGAGATCCATTTCCTTGCTGTACAAGGATATTTAGGAGTTGTGGGTGGAGGGGTGATTGTTTTCTGTGAGATTCTCGTGAAAGAGGGGCTCTCAGATGCCCCTCTTGTGCGATTCTTCAGCCCATATATATACCCCATCATCAGGAGCATCTTCAAGACAATTCTTAAACCCACCTCGCTCACTCCAACTATATTTATTTTTTCCTTTCTTTGCCAATTGTTTGTACTTCAAAAATTTATTAGTGTTTCTTTTTTTGTTATAATTCGTAATAGTTCAATATAGTATTATTTATGATTGTCATTTTGTTAACAAATTAGAAGGTTGGTTTTTGTAATTAAAGTTTAATATTCAAAGTAAAAAAATTGTTGTGAATTAATTGTTATTTTTAGATGATCTTCAAATTGATTTGTAGTTTGATTCTCTTCACTGGTGCCCTTCTTTATCAATCAACTTTAGCGGTGAGTTCGTTCATAAAATAAATTATTTTGTTTGTTAAAGAAAAAAAAGTATTGTTAAAATAATAAATAAATAAAAAGCGAATGAAATTGAAAAAAAAAAATGGAACACAATAAATTATGAATAATGAATAATAAATGATTTTGCGTGCAAAAAATTACTGTCCTCAGTGGTTTATAACGCAATAGTCACACGCTTGTTTCCGGTATCTTGCTCATATCAACTCGTCTCTCGCATCACCTAATTCATTAATTATTACGCCAACACATGAGAATATGTTCTCATTCGTAATGAGAAAAGAGAGTTTCGCTTTCCGCAAAGTACACTTTTTTTCACACCACATGTGTGTTTGGTGGGGACAATCGATCATAAAAAAAAAAAAATAAAAAATAAAAAGAATAAAACCAGAGGAACATGCAGTCAACTATGAAGGATGCGCAATCCCATTCATTTTCACCGGAAACTGTTGGCCAGAGATATATAAGACAATAATATGTTGCTCCAATCGAAGTGAGATAAATAGTGAGCTTTTGGATTAGCTGTATAAGCATGTAATAACTTGTGAGATAATTAAATTGTAAAGAACAATGCTCTTGGCTAATTTGTGTCAATAATTATATAATTTTTTTTTTGATTCGCGAAATTTAAAATAATGTTTTTGGAAGTGAAAGGACTTTTTTTTGTAAAATAAAAAACTTCAATGAAGTTATTATATCAAGATAAAAAAAAAAAAAAACTATTAAAAAACAATTCAAGAAGAGTAAACTATTTTGGATTCATAATTAAAAACATTTCTTCATTAATTAACTTGTTTAATTCGAAAGAAAAAAAAAAAATTTTTTTTGTTGTAAAAAATTGTGATAGAAATTGAATACTGTTGTAATTAAGATAACGATCTGAATATTATTAAAAAATTTGATAAAATTAATTATGAATATCACAATTTCAAAATCTAATCAATTTTTTCATCATCATATAATAAATAATAGATAAATAAATCAAATGTATCTTCATCTGAAATATTTTTTCTAAGAATAAATAAAAATCTTAATCTTAAAAACATAACATATGTTTTTGATGTTTTTTCTAATGTAAAAGGTAGTAAATAATGAAATAATCGGTTATGAAACAGACAAAAACTTATAAAAATAAAAATATCCAGCAGGTAGATGGCTACAGACCAGGAGTCGATTATCCAATCTATAATTCAGTACCTTTCGGATTAACTTTCAATTGTGGAGGTAAATTACCCGGATATTACGCAGATCCAGAAGCGAGATGTCAAGTGTGGCACTGGTGTCTTCCAGGTGGTAGGATGTTCAGTTTTCTCTGTCCGAATGGAACAGTCTTTAGTCAAACAACTCGAGTCTGTGATTGGTGGTTCAAGGTTCAGTATATTTCAGATTATCTAAAATGTCAATATTATTTGGAAATGAATATTATGTCATAACTCATCAATTACTTTACTGTATATCTTATCAATCTTTAGGTTGATTGCAACGATTCTCCAAGACTCTACGGAAATAATGATGATTTGTATAGAGATGCCAAAGGAAACAAAATTTAAAACAATCCCATTAATTATAATATAATATTCTATTGTATTTAATAAATTTTTAATTAAATAAAGCTCATTAAGTATCACATTATCATCAATTACCATCAATAAATCTCATTTGTGTCGTCATGATTATTAATTTAATCGATCAATAATCTTCTAAGATTGCAGAAAAATCGAAATTAGCATCAGTAATCATTTGCTTGATCGAAAAAATTGTACCAACAACATAATTACTCAATTAGAAGAGTGGAAGTTAATTAAAAGCATTTTCGTGATAGTATAGGGGCATGGGAATTGATGAGAAAAGATTTTTTCGTGACATGAGAATGAAAAATATAAATAAAGAAAGAATGATTAGTCAATATAATGTACAGTGTATAGCTCTGTTATATGAATGTCGATCGAGGTCGGTAGTCAGAACTGAATGTTGGCGATTTCTTGGCATGATTGGGCAATAGAAAGTGAGTGGCTGGACTTGGTGATCGGTCGCCTCGCCCGGCTCCGAACTTCCAATGCCGTTCCTATAATATACACTTTCCTCAGCCACATTTTACATGCACTATTTGTTTGTTCAATCGCTAGTTCATCAATGTCTTATCCTTACTTATCAGAATTCAAGATAATTTTACTCCAATCAGTCTTCGTATTATTTATTGCCTTTCTTCTTTTTCTAAAATTATTTTAAATCACCAACAAGATAAATTTTTACTTGTTGATTAATGGTAATAATAAATCAAAGAAGCTTCTTACGAGCATCTTGGTGCTGAACAATAAGCCTTAATATTTATATTAAGAAGGCAGCAGCAGGAAAGCCATAAGTCCCAATATTTTATGCTCTTTTGAGTTGCAAGTCACGTCATGAAAGAAGATGCGTCTGCCATTGGCAACGAATCGCCATGTTTATCAAGGAATTTAAATAAAGCTTAGAGTCAAAGTGTGAGTGAATTTGGAAACAAGTCTCCACAGCAAAAAAAATAAAGTTCAGCCTTGGGGATAAAAGGAATATCTCCACAAGTAGCTGGAAAGTAGTGGGAAAAGAAAAAGGACTCGTTGTCCTTTGTAAGAAAAAAATAAAATTAATGAAAATAGTTTATAACGTGATTTAAACCTGTTGTTGCTACTTACCTAGTCAATTTTACAATTGACCAATAGAATAGAATTAATGATGGAAAATATTTGTTGATCAATTAATGAAATCCAAAGAATGTCGTAATGGTCACTGTCGAATGTTTTAGCATAAAATAACTTGACATTAAAAATCATCCGACTCCTTTCTCTTTCGTCAAATTCATTTATGATTCAAAGGCTGTTCTACGACATTTATAAGTGTGATCATAAGGTTTTTTTCAAAAACATATGAGAATATCAGGAAAGAATTTGCATTGTTATTAAGTATATGTGTATTTATAACTAAGTATTAATATAGGTTTCAATAACAATTGAATTGTTTTGAATTGCGGAACTTGTCGATCCATGATTACATACATTGTTGCATATTAGCTGGTGTCATCAATCATATTGATTTACCTGAATTACTTTCACTTGATCGATAATAAATTACAATATACAGAAAAGCTACACTAATTGATGAAAAATGATTTATATTGAAAAGTTATCCTTCTCCAATTAACTATTTCATCTGAAGAAACAATTATTAATTACTTTTCAATTCAATAAAAGGTTTTTCTCTATTACATTATCTTAAGTATTCATAAATTATAAATGAATAAAACATCAATTGATAAATAATTTTTTTTTCGAGTAAAAATAAATAATAACATAATGATTGCTTGAAAAATTTTTTTCTGAATAACATTAATGCGTTCAAATGTCAGCTAATCGCTTACGCAGGATGAAGTAAATAATAGATGAAAAAATGGTTAAGTTAATGATAACTTTGTTTTTTTTTTTGTGACTTGAAAAATCATAGAAAATCAAAGTTAATGATTGATTTTCTATGATTTTTCAAGTCATAAAAATAATAGTTTGAACAAGACTTAATAGCTTAACGCCTACATGATGAATAGAATGCTATCAAAATGTTGTATCGTGTTAAAGTTTACTACCACCACCTGATGAAAATGTCTACGCCTTTGTTAATGTTAAAATCTGTATGGATCTGTTGGATGAAAAGAAAGGTGGTATCCAACAATCCCATGATATACGCCAATGTATGTCTTATCCCCACTTAAGAATTTATTCTCAGTGTAGAAAGCTCAAGCAGCCGTCGGAGCCCACCTCAACTCCTGGTGTTTTCCACTTGCATTGCGCCAGTATTCAACCGGCCCGGACACCGCGATTATCCAAGTCTCACTAATAAAAGTTGATATCATTTATTAAATCTCACTTATCTTCTTACTTTCTTTATTGTCACGTTGCCTACATGAATAATCAAGTGTCTTAGTCTGATCTAAACGCTCATTTGCAAATCTTTTGGATCCGTGAGTGTCAAATTTAGTGGATTTATGTTGAATTACCAGGAGAATAGGATTCATGTGAGCTCCAAAGTAAATCTAAAGTTTCGTAGAGAGACTGAACAAGTTTCGGCTCAATAAACCGAGGAAAAGAGAGAAACTTGTGGTGAGAGGTTTGGTTTTTTTCTATTCTATTCATTGCTTATTAATTTTTTGTTGATAAAAACATGAAACATGAAAACTGTGTATAATTCAGTTGAAATAAAGTTGATTAATTAGATGAAATAATCGACCAACGAAATCAAAGTGACAACGAATTTCATTGAGAAAGTCGACAGAGAATAAGAGTCACGTATAAAACAGACGTGTGAGATTGACGAGGAGAAATTAAATATTGAGAAATACTGAATACTAGAGTCGTATACAATCTGGAAACTGATAATGATAAGTAAGACGACCATCTAATATATTAAAATCTTCACATGTTGTTTCCAGTATTTATCAAACCCATCAGGTATCATTCTTAATGTCTTCTATGCTCAATAATCAACAACTCCCAATCATCAAAGAGCTTGTTTCAATCAGGATATGGATATTTTATATTCATATACGTTGGTATCATCTAATTGATTCACTTTCAATGTCAACAACATTTTTTTATGCCCCTATTTAGATACTTAAGTAAATCCTATCTATTATAATTTGTTCACACAATTTATTCACCCTCTTATCTAATCGTTCGTTATTTTATTAAATGATTATTTTGCAATCATGAAAATGCAACCATATTTCAACGCTTATTAAAGATAAATACATATATATACAAACAATACGATATAACGGATGTTATTATTTTTTGTTTTGAATTACTTTTTATAATGGTAATTCTAACAAGGAAGATGTGTTATGATTATTATTTAAAGTTGTGCTTCAATAGAATTAAAGAAAAGAAGGAAGTGTTGCTTGGTACACTGAGCACGCTTAGCATAAATTGCAAATGTTTTAAAAAAGATAGGGAACAGTTGTAGAAATCCTGCTGATGTCTTAACAAAATACCATAAATATTGAAAATAAAATAATCCAGGATTGGCAATTTATTTATTTATTATTATTACTTTGTATATTAAACCGTTGAAGGATAATTCAATGTAATAACACATGATCGTTGTAACGACTTAGGGATGATGTAAAATATACTATCAATGCTGAGGTAACTGGTCAACAGCTTTGGCAAGTCTTAAAGCAATTCAGGCTATAGCTTCCGCTTTGAAATTAAATTATTCATAAGTTGTTTCGTTATTTGATTAGCTATAAAAAGACTTACCCTTTTACAGTTAATTTTAATGGTCACTTGTCAGTTATTTATCATGTTTATTGTAGAATTGATGGAGGAACGATGAAGAAAACAGTTAGCAAGTCACTACTCCAACATTTTTATATTCTAGTTTTATAAATATCTGGCATGATTATTTATTCTTTCGGATTTAATGATCAAATCCATTGCAAAGTAACTATTGAAACTCGGTTGCAAGGTTACTTTCACCGTTTGCGAGGTGTTGGATTTAAAAAAGTTGTACAACTGTCGTAACGCGGAAGTATAGAATACCTGAACCAGAAATCTCCGTAATAGCTTCATCCAAATTTAGCTAAGCACAAGGCCACTCAAACTCGTCTTTAGGTTTTTTCCCATCGAGTAGAACAGTCACATTGACTGCCATCACATGGTAGAAGGCACGGAGCATCACATTAACTAGTAGAAACACGACAAGATGTTAGGAATGAACATGTAGCTCACCTATATGAATACCGCCGAGTTGCCTGAGTTAAAAATTCTGTCCGTGAGGTCAATGAGATACTGATGAAGAATCCCTGTAAAGGACCCAATAGTTAAGTAGCTTCAAAAGTATACCTGGCATATTATTACGTGATACAGGTTTTATATAACACCCACATTATCCTTGTATTATATGGTTGCCAGTGGTGACAGCACAGAGAAAGTTCCTATATCTACTTGCATATGCCCAGTAGGCTATGCTATAGTAGGCAAGCTTTGACGATACATGAAGATTCTCATGGCCTAGGCTGCCCAAGACCAATTAGAGTACTTAGTCATCGTATTTAGGTCTCTTGTTTAATCATACCTTTGGCTATTTTAACGTTATGGTATTTATTTCACTATTTCACGACTTTGGAAATATCATTAAATTCATTAACGTGCTAAGTTCAGGTTTCTATGTATATCAACGGTTGAGAAAGCAATTTTAACAAACACATGTATTAATATTATAGCAATAAACTCTTAATAATATTAATTTAATATAATAGCATTGACTTTAAATGATCTGGGTCATTTGTAACATGGTTTAAATTTTTATGAACAATAGTTAATAGTAAATCTTTATTTTTATTTTGATGAAATACCAACAACTTTTGAGTAAACCAACCAAATCATTTAATTACAAATAATGAATTTATTTCATCATATTTAAATAAACGAATTATTTATCAATTCATCAATCTGTCAGTATATCTTAAAAAATATCAATTGCTCACTATTTTTAGAATTAATGAATTTTTTTGCAGAAATCGCATCATGCGCAACAGGACGTGGCTTTTCCTCGCACTCTATGGTAATTATCTTTATCTATTTTCATCATGTCATTTATTACACTATTCAATAACCCTGAAAATTTTTTTAAAATTAATCTCAACTCTCGCAGCAACAATCTCTTATTAAGATTTCAAATAATACATTATACTCACGAGTAACATATTGAACTATGGAAGTAGTGTATCAGAAAATCAGTTTTCCTTTCTGTTGAATGTCAAGAAAAAAAAAAGAACAAGTGCAGTATCTATTCTATTCAATGTTCATGTAACATTTTTAAATTGCAAATGACACACCCATAAAATTTACTTCGTAGGCACAAGTTTTAATTCTCACGAGAAACAAAGAGAAAGAAAAATGTATAACATATATCTATATTAAATAAGTATCTCTTACTAGGATCTAAAATATTTTATTCTGTGCTACTTTTATACCATTTTACTTTTTTTTGTATTTCTGATTATATTTCTCATGAAAAATTTTCTTCCGTCAATTAAAATACCTTTTCATTCAAGATAAAATATAAAAAACCAAGAAAAAAATGATTAAATATTGGAAAATTTAAGTTTGTTGACACATCAAAGCCTTGATCCGATTTTTAGAAATTACTCAATCTCCACCTCTTGCACCCCTTCTTCTTTCTTCGTCTCCCACAAATAATTGCATCACGTGTTCGCACTAGCTTCTAGTGCTTATAGAAGCCTTTTGCAATGCCAGGCGCTTCTTCGCGGTTTTCGCAATGATTATATAGAATACTTACTAAGCAGATGCAGTACATCATTCTAGAATCTTATAGACCATGCTCATAAAAGTAAACTAAACTATCATCATCATTTATTTATATACTATAAATTTAACAGTTGAAAATTTATTTTTTAGGTTTGTTCTTAGCTTCAGCTGTATCAGCAGCTTTAAAAAATACTCGACCAAAATTTAAAATTGCAACTACTTGGACTACTCCTAGTACTACTACTGATAAGTCTAGTTCTCAAGCGGAAAATGAAACGGAGAGTGAAAATGATGATAGCAGTAAAGTTGAAGTAATTATAAGTTACATTATATCAATTCCTTTGTTCAAAATAAATCTAACTTTAACTTTCATATTAATATCAATTTAAAATGGAAGAAAGAATTAATAAAACTGATTTAAATATTCTAGGCAACGACAGTAGCTGGAGATTTGAATGCAACAACAGGCCATACACTAACAGGAATACCTCAAATAGATTACATTTGGGATCCTAATTTGCCACGAGAATTAAACGGCTATAATCTAAGTGATTATCCATTTTATAATAGCATACCAGAAGAGATAGACTTCAAATGCGATGGACTACATGACGGATTTTATGCGAGTGTTCCTCATAAATGCCAGGTAATTGTCATGTAGGTAAGCACTTTGAGTCACGCGTGGATACTTTAGAAAACACAGACATGAAGAATTAGGTAAAAGTCATTGTCGAGTATGGTGAAGATCTGTTAGCTGTCTTGTTACTATTTGTAGCTATTTGTGTAAACTATTTATGCATCGGCCACTCACCTTTGCTTTGAGATCGTGAAAGCAATTATCGTCGAGGAACCGTCATGTCGCAATTTATTATTATCGATCTCAAGTCAAACCAACGGAGCGTTTGAAACCTATTGTCATGCAAATATCAGGTGATACAATTGTTTCCTGATAGCACTGATGGAATTTTAAGAAAGGAAACGTCTGTCAACTAATATTAAATAAATCTGCTTTTTTTCTTAATTTTATATTATTTGTATGTCTATAGCACACATATGGAACGATTTTCTTCGTTATTTAACTGTTCTTACGTATTTTCGATTCCAAATTGGTCATTAATATCATCGATTCTAGTGAATTTGATATTGAGCACATTTTTATGGCTCATATTTTTTCAAGTAATAAAATCTCCTTGACATCAAATGTGAAGTAATAATGTTAATTAATACCAACAGGTGTTGGATCGTATTACTTCTATAATATAAAGTGTATGAAAATATTGTAGAAGCTAATCAAATCATTAGAAAAGTTGTCGACAGCATATTACACCATATAAGGTACAGTAATGTCATTATTTAACTAGAAAAAGTTAGAAAAGATTCTCGACGAAATTTTCTTTATAATTATTGTTTGATTGACTCGATTATTAACCATTAAAAACTTATATAGTGTCAAATCTGTCGAAAACAAACTTTCTCAATTTCATTTAAAGATATACTTTAGAAATCCAGGACATATTGGGTCCTCGATGCGCTCTGAATGTTTCTCTGTGTACTCTAGATAACTTACATGTGATTTACAAGAACATATCTCCATGTATGACGTTTCATATCCCACATAGCACGCACTTCTGGGATTTGTTTAGTCTTCTTCGTGGGAGATACATGTATGAGACTGTGACCGCATGATCTACAATGAATGTACTCCATATACTTTTCAATACAATCACTGAATTACCACACTCAAACATTCACTTTAACGCAGTGTGAAAGCCACTGTTGAGAAATGTATATTTGACATCATCTGTATTCCTGCAAAAGAAAAAAAAATTTAGGATTAAATTTATTTTTTTAACTTAACTGAACCAACCTTATTTATTTATTTGTACAAACTAATTTATTCTTATGTGTTTTAATCATTAATTAGTAGTCTAAAATTTAGATAAAAAATTTTATTCTTTGAAAGAGAAAGTGGTACTGTAATCTCCCAAACTGTTTTTAGGACTTGAACGAAATTTGTTACTTCAGTGTTAGAATGAAAATATTGATAGGTGAAAGAACTATAAGAGTTTCAACATCAAATATTAATAATTTTAACTTAGTTATTATACATTATAAAACTATAATAAATTTAGTGGAATTTTTGATATGACATAGTTCTATATAATGAATCAAAGCACCAATTTACTTCTAGGTGCTACGTTACTACTTTCTTCTCTAATTCATTGTCATTTTCTTTATTTTAGGTCTATCATCATTGTCTTTTTGGCACTCGTTATGATTTCCTCTGCGCCAACTTTACGGCATTCGATCAGAAAACCTTCATTTGTCACTTTGTATCAGAAGTGGACTGTGTTAACTCCAAAAAATATTGGCATAGAAATGATGCACTTTATCAAGCTACTACCACAACTACTATAGCTCCTCCTACAACAACAACTACTACTGCTAGAACTACTACAAGTCAAGCACCACCTCAGCCGTTTCCTCAAGGTCCTCGATCAATTCCAAGGCGAAGGAGACCTTTTAGAAGGCGGCCGGCGTACGATTATTACGAAGATTACTATGATGATGATTATGAGCGTCCAAGAAGTCGAGGATCTGGCTATGACAGACGGGAAGAGTATGATTATGATGATCAACAATACACTAGACGAAATAATCGTGAACGAGATCGAGATCATTATCGCGAACATTTTAGAGATCATGACAGGGATTACAGAGACAAAGATCTAACCAGGCCTAGAGAGTATACAAGTGAAAGATCAGCAGTTAAAGATGATCAAGATGCTGTGATAAGACCTCGAGATCGATTTCCTAGTAGAAATAACAGAAGAGATCCTTCACGACAGGAGCAGGGAGATAATGAACGCGAAAATGATGGCAGAAATTACCAAGATCAACGCTATGATAGAGGGTAATTGAAAATAAAACTTTTCCTAAATTTTATCAAGAATATTGAGTGATAAAAATCAAAAAATTTGTTATTATTAATCCTACAATGCATGATTTTTTAAAAATTTGATTAAAAAATGTATATGCGATCATTTATGATCAAAATAAAATAAAAATGCAACTTAGAAGTCAAAACTAGTACTCTTTATTTACACATTATTTATTTATCACCACACACAATTAACTTATTACGAGTAACTTTTCATTAAATTAGAAATGATAACAATGAATGCACCATATATTTTAAGATATGTATTGTAGGTTTAAAATATAAATTTAATTAAATTTTACTAACACTTAATATTAATTTAATAGATATGTTAGAGATGATTATGATGATCAAGAATCTGTAGCACCCAGTAATGAAGGACTGGTGAAACCATCAGCTCCAATTTCTTCAGTATATGCAAGACCAAGAACTCCTCCAAAAATCCGGAGACCTGTACCTCTTTCAGAACAAGAAAAGTATGCTTATAAAGCCACTACTCCCCAAACAATAGCTGGTAACTATTGATTCTTATTACATAATATTATTCATTAGTGAAAATTACCGAATAATTATCATGAGAAACAATTTTTCTCAGCAGAAGAATCTCATAGACGCCCTACAGAGACAATGCTCTCTCGAGAACAAGACTATTACGATGATCAGCTTGAAGACATTCGACCTAGGAGACCTTTAAGACGACGACCATTTCGAGAACGTGAAAGATTAGCGTACGATCATCCTCGAGAAATAAGAGAAAGAGATCGACCCTATAGGTAAAGTGTTTTGATATTTGTTTGGAAATATTTCCAAGAGATTATGTGTTTATTTTATTATCTTACTTTAAAGACCTCGCTTTCGAGAAGATGAGGAGGAAATGAGACCAAGAAAATACCCAGAGCGTCCACGAGATCGTGATCGTTACTATGAACGTAATCGAGATCGTGCTCTATTAGACCACGAAAAAGACTCAGTATCAGAGAGAATTATCCCAGAGCGTGAGAGAGAACAACGACCAGCACTTAGGCGTCCATCAAACCGAGAAAAAGAAAATGATCGTCCACTTGTCCAACTACCAACCTTACGAGACATTCCAGAAGAATCTGAAGATGCATCGAATAGAGCAACAAATCCTTTAAATAAAGATTCAGAAACAACAACAAGTAAAATGGTTCAAAATAACAGTAATCAAGATGATAATAATGATGAGGATGATGATTATGATAGAGTTAATGACGATAAACAAGTCAGAAACAATAAAAAAGAGCAAGAAACTCATGGAACTGATGAAGAATATTCTTCAGCTGATGAGTACTATGATGAACCTGAGTATTCATCGTCACCTTCATCACCATCTTCATCCGCTCCACCAAAAACAGCTGTGAGAATTATCAAAAGACCATTCCTTCCATCCCGTGGAGGTAATCCTAATCCTCGTGGATTATCTACTGTTGGAATTAAAGCTCCAGAATACAATAAAAAACATAATGCTTCTGTCAAGCCTGAAGTAAAACTAACTAATTCAAATAAAGAATATTCTCGTGCTTCTGTTAAAGCGGTTGAAAGTTATACTCCTAAATCTCAAGAACCTAAAGTATATGATGCATACAAAGCGATTGAAAATGATAAACATTATAAAAAAGTAGACTTTGATGAGCAACTTCGCCGACCTGCTGAATCGTCTAATACCAATGCAGAATTAGATACCAATCTACGTGCAAATTCAGGATCAGGATTAGATAAGTGGAAGACACATGAGGAGAAAAGTGAAATCAAACCATCAATACCTTGGAATGGTGAAGAATTACGTCGAAGACCTTCTCAAGTGTTACCTAATAGAGGAAGCAGTCGATATTCTACTGTAGATAATAGCAGTTATACTAATTACCAGGCAACTTATACGACTAAACCAAATCGCCAAGAAATTACTGGCCCAAGTAATCCCGTAACTAAACAGAAAATTAATGAAGTTCCTCATAGACTTCAAGATATTCCTGAAAGTGAATACGATGTGACTTTAAATGAAGCTCTGACACCAGCTTTCAATCAAGATACAAATTTACCAAGCGGCTTCGTGTTACCATATAATCAACACAATCGGCATCTTAATCGGGAACCAGTTCTAGAACCTTCAGAAAATAACTACCGAATATCTAGGCCATATAATACTCAATCAGATCCATCTCAGCAACATCATCAGCAGCAAAAAAGTTTTGTGCCAAGCACTCATTTTTTTCCATCACCAAGAATTGCAAATAATGATGAACGAAGTGGATCTATTCAGTATTTTAAAACCCCTGAAGTTGTACATATTGCTGGATCAGGATATAATAGACAGTCAGGAAGAAATTCTTGGCATGATTATACTGGTTATCAATAAATTAAATAAAAACGTTAGACCAGATTTAATGAAAAAATTAGTCCGTACTCCTACAATTATTTCAAAAAATTATATTTCATCCAGTAAGAGTAGATGATATAATAAGAGCTTTTAGATATTTTTTTATTTTAATATTGAATATTTTAAGAAATTTTAAAAACTTTGTCTTTCGCTCTTTTCATAAAATATATCCTGTACATATTTAATTCATTAACTAAATTATTCATATAAATTTTTAGATTGCTTAGGTGATTTTAATGATTCTTATGTTTATTTTAATTGATATGATTACTACAAAGAAGAGTTTTCTTTTATTTAAAATATACCATTTGTATTGTTATTGAGAACTCGTGTCGTCATACATTACTTTCAAATTCTGGTGGCTGTTATGTTGCAATGTGTGAAAAATATCATTATATTATTAATATAAAATTTAATTGTAGCAATTTAATAATTAATAAGATTATTAAAAGTAGCTAGTTTTATATTTATAATTATTTGATGCTGATGATTCGGATACTTGGAGTTGAACAAAAATTTTTCATTATATCTTTTAAATTAAAATTTGTTATGAAAGACAATGGAAGAAATTTTAAAAAAATGAGTATTTATAAAAAAAATAATTCTAATCATAATTTTAAATCAAAGAATTAAAAATTGGATAAATACCTAATGTAAAAAGAATAAAAAAGAATTGAATAAACGAATGTTTTTTTCAACGTTGACACACATACTAGTAACGCCTCCTTAAATCAGTTATGAGAACTAACTACTATTTCTATCTCTCTCTTTTATATCTCGAATCTTACATATATGTACTATTCTATCGTAAAAAGTCGGTCCAATTAAAGATTGACTGTATAGTACTATCTACAGGACAATATTCATGTATTTATAAAGGAGATACATTACTTTATAATCTTTGTATTCATTCGTTCATTTGTCACTTTTGCTATTAAAATCAGTTGGCAATTAAACATTGCTGATACAAGATATTTATCAATTACATATTGGATACTGATATTTAGGCTTTTATAATTATGGTAAGTGAAAAAAAAAACAATTAATGTATAAGTTATAGATTAGATGTATTACATTTTCTATGGAGGTTATAGTATTACTATTTGACTTGTTTTGCAATCAATTCTTTGGAGCATTTATCTTACATACTCTTCAATTTTTTCGTTAAAGTCTGTTGCAGAGTTTTTGAAAGGTTTACCATCACACAATGAAAACAATTTTGCCAATTTTCACACAGATAATGGTAATAGAACTTGTGTAAAAAGGCCATCGGTTTATTTACCAACCAAAGACTATCCTTCTGAACAAGGTAGTAATGACAATCTGAATATGTCTGGAAATACACCATCATTCATTAAATTAAATAAGAATTGCTTACAGTTATTGTCTCGGAAACAACCACCATTCTTTTAAGATATCTTCATCAAAAGTGGGATAAGAAGGTAACAAATGTTAGTAAACAACTCTTAACTACTATTAGACAATTAAACTGAATTTTCTCAATTTTCTATATAGCTGTAAATTAAACTTATAGAACAGCATATTGAATGTATAAAATTCTGAAATGATTTAGGCCATCAAATAATTTACATTACTGATATTTTCTACATTTGAACAATTTTCAGGATGTCGAAAGAAAAAGAGAATTATTATCTGCAAGTGATTCAGCAGATGAAGCTAATGTCCGACGTGGTAAAAGGGCACGACTTGAACTAAACGATCTTTAATAAGATAAATTTAAGAGTTTTTTCGATAATAAGGTTTTTTTACTGCGTGGCTTAAAATTTTAATTTCATTCATAATTATTGTGTGGTGAAATTTTCAGTATAACATTCCACATTTATCTATCTACTTCATTGTTTCGTCTAGAAATCACATAATTTTTTGGTTCATTTATATCAATTTTATTTTTTCGTGCTTTTATTATTGATTAATTTTTTTATTGAATTATAAATGAATTATCACATAGACTAATAATGTATAAATAATTATCATAACGCTGAAAATCATTTGTGTGCAATGAATGCATGACAAGAATATTTGATTGTACATTAGTTAAATAATAAAATGTTTTGTTTGTAAATAATTTCAATGTAAATTAAAAAACTATGTAAATTAATTTACTTTTTAATTGTAACAATAAAATTATTTATTACAATTTAATTTATTACAAGTGTTTTTTGATTTTAAAAATTATCGACTAATGGTACATGGTATAAGTGGCGTTGTAAATGGATTTTAAAGAACAATTGTTTGAAATGATGTTTAAATGATTAATGTTAATTTTTTGCATAAAATAACTTTGCAAATCCTTATTTCGATAGATATAATTTATTAATATTGCAATTTTAATCAATAATCCAAGGATCATGACTCAATAATGGAATGATTTATTTTATATAAAAAATTTATAATGAAGCACAAGAATTTCACTAGATGCCACTAATATCTTAAGGAATCTCTGAATTTATCTATGTCATCTGTTTATATTTTACTTTAGTTTATTATTATTAAAAAATAAAGTGAAACATGTGGCTCTTTAGTGAATTATTAAGCAAAAATTATTCTAAGAATGATATTAATAATTGTCATGATAGATGTTAAATGTGGTTTATTAATTTTTTAAAATTATATTGAACGAGTCCTAGCCTCTAAATTTAGATTTTATTTATAGATTGAGACTAGAAATTACAATTTAAATTTTGTAGTAAATAATTAAATATTTTTAAATCAAAGTTTTTATGTTATTTTATAAAAATATTCTGTACACAAATTGGAACAAATGTTGTTAAATGGAATGTCAAGAGGTATAATGATGGATCAGCTTGAAGAGCTGAGTATTAATCTTGAAAAAAGTCATCTTGCTTATTTGCAAATTGATGAAAGTCCTTCAAAATTAGAGCAACGTCACAAACTCGAAGGTAAATTAAATTTACAATTTTCTATCATAACTTATAAACTCTCATAATTATTCATCGATCAATTCGTTTTTTTAAGGAATTATAAAAGAGTATCTTCATTTAGTGCCTCATGAAAATAAATATATATTTCCTGAAACTGCTCATATTCTCCACCGATCAGCAGCAACAGTCAACGAATTCAGTGGATATCGAGCTTGTTCAGCATGGACTGCAATATCCTTATATGCAGCGAATCTGTTAGCTCAACCATGGAGAAAAGAATATCGTACATTACGAACATATAGTGGATATTACAAACATGAAATTGAAGCTAATTTAATTGGAGCTGAGTTGATGTTTGAATTAATGGGTTATAAACATACAGGGCTCGGAGTGTTGACTCTAGAAGGTCCAATAGATCCTGATAAAGTATCTTATGTAAGCAGAGATGCAATCGTGGCCTTTGTTGAATGTCAAATCATCAAAGAAATCTGGGAAAAAGTGTCACAAACTTTCACAATTTCATGGTTGCAAGTCTTAGAGTTTCGTGAGAGTCATGTTGGTACACCAGAACAAGCAGTTCGTGCTCTTAATCATCGGTTTTGGGAACGAATGTATCAAAGTCGTCTTAAGCTCCAGAATTATCATGATTTACACTTTATTCAGCCAGCAGCTATTGACACAATACCAGCAACAACAGCTCCCCATCATGTAATAGGCAATTATAAACCAAGTATTCCGACTGAGCCTGATTATCGATATCCTACAGAAAATGTTAGGTACTATCAATCACTTCAGTCGCCTTTGATAAATGGATTTCATAATGTATATGGTTGTATTCCACCTGTGAATAACAGAGTTTATGATGGTATTCATCGTGATTATTATGTGCATAGTACTCCACATTATGGAGCAAAAATCCCAACTGGGCAATTAATCGAGTTGGAACCACCACTTCCAGTAATTAATTATGAAAAGTCACGCAATAGACGATATGCAAATAGAAGTATGGATCAGGTAGATTTCTCAAGTAGATTAGAAGAAGATAATTATAACAAAATTGATCGAAAACCAATCAAGACTTCAACAAGTCTCGATTCAGCATCTAATGAGTCATGGGATTTTGTTTACCGAAGTTTAAATAATCTTGGATATTCAAAAGATATTGCAGAACGTGAAGATGTGTTACGAAAAAAGAATAGTTCTAAATCTAAATCTTCGAAAACAATAAATGAACATGAAGATAAATATGAAAGCCATCGATCACAAAAGAAAAACCATAATTCCTCGAGTAATGGCAATGATTTTCATAACAATAGATCGTCTTTGCAACTGATAGATTTATATTTATCAAATGAAAATGAAGAAAATCAAGGTAATGCGGAAGAAAAAAATTATAAGCACAATCAAGCTTCGACAAGATGTTCAAAAAATTATGACAAAGTAGTAGATTTAGTCAACCATATGTCAATTCGAAGTAAGGATGAAGAATCCAAGAAAAATGATAAGTGGAATTGCTCTACTTGCACATATCTCAATACATCAGATCGAGAAATCTGTGAGATGTGTAATAAATCAAGGTGGAAGGGCAATGAAGACCGACCACTTGCCAGTGGTGGAAAAGAGTGTCCAAAATGTACATTAGTCAATGAGAAAGACGCTCTAGTGTGTGCTGTATGTAATTCTAGTTTAAAAGATTCTCCAACTTATATTTAGTTATTTGTTTTATTTTTTATTTACAAAATTGTTAACGATTTTAATTAAACAAAAAAGGTATATTGATATTAGATATCTGTTAAATTTTAACATTAAATAATAAAAGAAAAATATGTTTTATATATTAGATTAAGCACAAATATTCTTTAAACAAAATAAATAACTTGTGCATCTTATTTTATTTCTTTAAGTAGAATTTTGATATTTCCGTACTGTGGAATAAAACAGTTAGTTATTATTTTTTTTTAATTAAGAAAATAATCAATATTGAATTCTAATTTTATAGTAAATCTTTATTGCTACAGCATGAAGTAGTATTTGATAAACAAAAAATATTAGAATATAATATTTAATAATTTATTTTATTAAATCGAATACATTATTATCTTAGGCACTTAAGTGCTGCTTTATGGATTGCTTTATCAAGTTTATCTGAAAAAAATTAATACATTACTAAAAATTGTTATAAATTATTGTCTGAGTTCATAAAAAATATATTAAAAACAAATTCTTACAAATTTTGTGCTTTCCTTGCATGGGAAATTTTATTTTTAACTCTCGAAAATCTTCACATATAAACACATAAGGACTTTCGGATTCTCCATCTGGATACATTATCCTATATTCATCTTGAGCTATAACATCTGTTACAGTAACGCATCCTAATAGGCATCCCGTCGAATATTGTTTTGGAAACTTTATGTCATCTGAATAATATGTTAATAATTATTTCATATGTGTATTTCCATGATAAAAAGCTGAAAAAATTTACCTCCAAGTAAATTTTTGTAAAAACTTTGAATAGTAGTTATTTCTTCAGGAGATGGCTGTTTTGCTGCTGCATGAATCCAAAGTCTTCCTCGATGAGCAGAATACCAAGTTCTTCCTTCATGTCTGAAGTAAAATAATTCAAGATTAAACATACAAAGATGGATTATGTTAAAAATTAAACTCACTTTTTGATTCCTGCGACTAAAAGCGAAGCGTATGGTTGGTGCATACTTAGACAACATCCATCATCGCTCATTTCTAAAAGTTGTTTATCTTGAACTCGAAAATTGTTCATGGAACAGTTTAATAGATTTTGAGTTTCTAACATTGTAGACTTTTCCGTTTCAATGTACTAAAATATTATGTGAAATAGTGAATAAATAACAAGAAAAAGTCAAATATTACAGTATTTTGCAAAACTTACTTGAGGTCGTTTAAATTCAACAGTGGGACAAATTAAACTCATATCATTGTCATATGGAATTGAAGAATCTTCTTGATTTTCATCAAAAGAATAACTAGAAAAGTCTTCTGGTTCTTCAATAACTTGTCTTCCATAAAAATCAAGAGTAACTTTTTTGGATAGTCGAGATTCATGCTTTTTATTCCATATTTCTTCTTCACGCTTCTTCAAAGTTTCTCGTTCTTTTGCCGACAACCACATACTATCAGATGATTGATAGTAATCACATTCATCATCAATGACTTGTGTTCGTTTAGTGCTGTAATAATGAAGTTATTCATTAGTTCATTAATCATTGTAAATAATTGAGTTATCTTAAAATTCTGTCCATACGAACCTATTACGATCAAATTCTAGAAGTTTATCACGTTGAGAAAGTGCGATTTGTTGATCTCCAGTTATTTTCAGATCCATTAATTTATTATATAAATTGTCTGATTGTTTAGTATTCATGGCTAATACTGATTGTTGATCTGGAGTACAAACTAGCTCACCACAAAAGAAACAAGGTCCTGATCCTTCTTGAGCACAAACGATTTTACCACAGTTGAGACAATTGTTTATCAAAGAATGCGTTTTAGCTTCACAGTCACATTTCATTCTACCTGATGGTACATAATTTAAAATAAATACATACCAATTATTTTTGTATGTGTCCTTAATTTAAAAAATTAATAATGTGTCAATAAGGTAAGTACTTTTTAAGAAAATAGTGAGTTTATCTTTTCCATCATCACTGAAAATATTTACAAATTTGGATTTTTTTTTCCCTTTTTCCTTGGAAGCCTCTTGATGATCTTCTTTATCTTTGCTTGTTTTATTTTTCTTTTTGTCAGTTTGTTTGGAGATAATAGGCTGATTATCATCGACTTTTTTATATCCAAGTAGAACATTTTCGGATGCTGGTAAATAATTAATAAACATCAGTTAAGAATTACTATTACACTTAAACAAATATCTTAATAAAAGTAACCTTTTCTTCTCTTAAGTTCTGTAACAAAGTTTCGATGTTTATGATTTTCAAAATTTAATAGAGTTTTCAAATAATCATCTAAATCTCTTTCATCTTGAATTTGAAGGATATATCTGTAATATAATAATAATAATATATTTCTGTATTATTTTTATACCAGTTTAATTGCAAGAATTTTGAATTACTGTGTTAAATCATCTGGAACAGGAAAATCTAATAGTTGAGATAGGCTATCATTAATCCACCTTTCCATTTTTGAATTATAATTAAATTGAATACTACTTTTCGTAAAATATCAATTGTTATAAGAAAAATTGTTCTGTAATAAGCAGAACCAAAGAATACAAAACGGGTCAGAAATTTTGACTCAGAATCTATTCTTTAGCCATGTGATTCAAGTGACAGACCGTAGTATTATAGTACGTACTTCGGTAATAATCGGAACGATTCGATTAACTCCGTAGATGTTCATTTGTGACAACTGCAACAATAATATTGGTGTTTTGTGTTGTATGTAGTTTTTCAATTAAATATTTTTCAATAATAAAATTTACAAAAACATTAATTGTATTGTAATAAAGCATTGTTGTTCTATAATAATTATAATTTAAAATAAATTCATAAATGCTAAAAAATTCGTGATATACATACAAGTCTATACGTAACATCATCGAAAAAATACGTATTTGTTTTTAATTATTAAAATGGAAAATGAAATAAATCAAGATCAAAAGTCAAAGGCTGAAAAACATGCAGAACGTATGAAACGATTGCGAAAGTTACATGCTTTAAGGGTGAGAAAATTGATTAATGTTAACTTTATAACCTCAAAATACAATTTTGGAGTATTTTTCATTTTATGATTTTTTATTTTAATAATATAGAATGAAGCTAGAACTCGAAATCATAAAGAAGTAGTAGAAGAAGATAAAAGGAAGAAATTACCATCTAATTGGGAAGCAAAGAAACGTCAAGCAGAGTGGATTATTAACGATGAAAAAGCACGCAAGGAAGCTGAAGAAAAGGTATATTTATTAATTAAACTGATTTATTAAACGATTAATTTATAATAACAATAATAATAATAATATATTTTCAATGTTTATTTTTGTTTTTAAAGGGTCTAAATTATGAGCGGCAAAAACTTTTAAACATTGATGCACTTGAAGCTGAGCGTATTGCTCGAAAACTAAAGAAGAAGAATCCCGATACAGGTTTTTCAAGTTATGAACAAGCAACAATCAGACAATATAACAGATTAGTCAAAGGCATAAAGCCTAACATGGAAAATTATGAAGCAGCTAAAGAAAAGCTTGGACCTGCTTTTTATGGAGATCGAAATACTATTCTTCATGGATTACAAGAAGATAAAAAAGAAGCTGTTGATAAAATGGTCGAAGATTTAGAGAAGCAGTATGTATTTATTTTTTTCATTTGAGTAAAGTTTCTGATTTTGAAGCTAAAATGTAATCATTTAATTTACAGGATTAGTAAAAGAGAGAAGTACAGTAGGAGAAGGACTCATAATGATGATGCAGATATTGATTATATTAATGAAAGGAATGCTAGATTTAACCTCAAACTTGAACGATTTTATGGAGAATATACAAAAGAAACTAAGCTTAATTTAGAACGAGGAACTGCTGTTTAACGTATTTATTTATTCAAGCAATATATTTGAAACAGGCAATTATTAAATAAAAAAATAAATACATTTGATTATATTTGGTTGTAATTATATTATTTAATATTTTCATATTGTCAATGGTTTCAATTATTTTTCACAACAAATTACTGATACTCAATAAATTATTTAATCAATGTATGTACAAATGATTCATCAGAATCTTGTTTCTATTCAAACTTTTATTGTAATTACACCACCCAACTGTGAAGAGGTCCTAAAAATATATTCAATTAACTTTTATTTAAGATGTTATGATATCTATGCTCGATATACCATAACTATTCATTAAGAAAAAAAGTCCATCACTCATTAAACTTACTTCTAGGTGAAAAGTTGTGATGGTGAGTAACACGTATATGAATATCTCGCGTTTCTCCTGAAAAAAAAAACGAAAAATGTTTTCTTCACATTAACTCCAAGCTATGGATACTTACCTTGAGCTTCGAGAGAAGGAAATCGTGGCATATCGCATTGTTCACAAGTGTCCATTAGTGGATGGTTATCGAATGTACACATTTCACAAATCCATGAAGGACCATCTTTATTATTATCATTATCTACGTAATGATTATCATTCCTATCAGGTTCCAAAGCAGGTGGTACACTTGGTAAAGGTGGAGGTAATGTTGAAGATGTAGTAAATGCTGGTAAATTGAGTACCTGTCCAGTATAAATTCCTTGATAAAATTCTTCATTTGTTTCTCCAAACGGTACTGAAATTGCCGTTATTTTTATTATCATTCTTAACTCATTGTTGTACTATCATTAACGGAGGCATGAATACCTGTAGGATCTGATCTTTGATCTACTTCATCTGCCAGAAGATTACACTCAAGTCGAAGTTGGTAAATTTCACTACGTAATCTTTTTCCAAGTTCCTTAAATTTAATCAAATTGTTCCATGAAAAATTTTAATACATTTTTTTATGAACTGATATAAAATATTTATCTCACCTGTAATGAAACTAAAGGATCTCGAGGCTTTGATAGAGTTTCAAGTTCTTTTTTCATTGCTGCAAGTTTTCCTTTTTCGATTTTAAGCTCTTTGGCTAATTTCTCTTTTCTTATGTACTGCTCCGTTACTAACTGTTTTTGGTGTTTCGGTACTATAATCGAATTACAAATACAGCCTATTAATAGAATTTCTATGATAAATATTAATAGATATTTCTATGCAATGTATATTACCATTATTTAATGTTAACAAATTCACATCGATGACAGGTTGTTTACTAGGTGAAGATATTGGAGGTTCTTTGTTAATAGAGGTATTTAATGATAAAGAAAATTTTGGTTGAGCTATTGAAGGAGTGATTGGAAAATTTTGATCATTACTACTGCAATCACTTTGTGTTGGAATTATTTTTGTAGCAGCTGAAGAAGAATGCTGGGATGGATTCATAATTGTACTCTCATGTTGTAATCCAGCTGAAAAGTTCGATAAACCTAAAATTAGCACAACTGGGTCAGCATTCAGTAATGGTATATTCGTTTGATTTAATGACTGTATTAATGTACCTGAAGACCTTTGAAGATTATTATGCGGAATAGATCCCATTGAAGTGACATTATTAGGCTGCTTTGAATGGCTCATTGTTGAGGGCCTTATTCTTGCAGCCGACACACTACCAAGATTTTCAGAAGTAGGTCCAATGCTAATTTGTAACCGACTTTGAAAGCCTCGAGGGTCAGAAGAAGAGGTCGAGTACGTGAGACTTGAACCCTTTGATCTTATGTCGATTGGTGGTTGAGGTTCTGATGAAGGAGGTCGTAAAGTCAAACTAACTGAAGTATAACTTCGAGTATGCAGATCTATAGGTACATAAGAAGACTCATTGATGTTATTGGATCCTAAAAATTTATCGCTATTAATTGAAGTGTGTTTAAAAGGATTTTCCGTTTGTACAAAATCTGAAAAGAAATTTATATTGATCATTTTCATTTGCTTTAATCATTTTAAACAGCTTTGGTCTTACCACGATTATCTGTAGCTGGACTACAAGCAACATTCACATTTAATTTAAAACCAGAAGTTGGTGTTAGAACATTTATATTGTTTTTAACATCATTACAAGTTCGTTTCTCAGGTGTAATTGGACTAGATATTGATACACCTCTACTTGATGGAGTATTTGGAAAAAAATCTCTTGTGAAGTGAGAAATTGGAGGTGCAGAAGAGGGTGCTTGTACACGAATCCCTGAAGATGTTGATGGAGATGTGTCTAATGAAGATATGAGTGGTGGTAGGGGTGGTAAAAATCGTCGTTTATGAAAATAAGTCTGACATTGCTGAGGTGGCAATGATGCTGATAATGGACTGACATCTAAAGAAACTGGCCGTTGTTGTACTTTGGACGAATTCAAATCAATTGGATTTGACGAAATGCCCACTATGGGACTAGTTGTTGTATTAGGTGGAAATGATCCAAAAAATGGACGTGTCAATTTTTGAGTTTCTCGTAAACTCGCTGCACAAACGTCTTTATCGTGACTGTTCTGAAACACATTGTTGAAAAAATTAATCAACATTTGACAAATACTAATTCATTATAAATTATTATTTTCAAACTCGTGCAGTGTTAGCTTAACAGCTCAAAATCCACGAAGATGAACTTCAGATGAAGATTCAAATGTTTTTCGCTACTATGTATGATACAAACAAAATGAAGTACATATAAATGTCAATATAAAACATATATTGATATAATAACTAATAACAGTTGAGTCAAGACGAATTAGTCAAATATTATTGGGATAAATAACAAGGCTGGAAATCAAACTGGAATTGCCTTTTTGGTATGTTACATGTTGCTTTCAATTTTTTGCAGGTCTTGATATACCTGGGCGATGCATTGAGAAACAACGTGATCTGGAAGAGCTGGAAATTGTTGCTTCAGCTCGTGGAATAGCTGCATGATGGCGATGTTAGAGCAGTGGCAGTCCCCCATTGTAGGACCCCATCCTTTTACTAGAGCCTATCTAGATTGACGTGCTTTTTATATTGTATTTATAATAGTTGTAATAATGATAGTGTTAAATATTTAATATACTTAAAGAATTATATCAGCAACGACGAAATACAATATCATTTGATTTATTGTATTACATCTACTACATGAATTTTCTAATATATACACGGGTATGTCATATACATATTTATTAACAATTTACATATTAACAACAGATAGAATTTTTTAATATTTCTTATTAGCTTACGATAATCAGAGTATGCATAAATGATGACAATCAAGCACATTTAATCGAAATATGATGAAGTTGATTTGAAATTTTCCAAGTTATTTGTATTTTTAGTTAAGTACGTATTTTGATAAATATAAATAAACTATTCATATATTGGTTTATAATTAAATAAATGCACTTACCGGACAATCATCAAAAAATTTTTTACGTAATGTTGGATTATAATAATGAAAAAACTAATATTGAACACTATTATTTAGTAGTAATTTAAGTTATAACAAATGTAGCTTAATAAACTTCGTAATGAAGTACTGATTTCTTCATAAACTTATTTTTGAAGTATTCTTTTTGGTATTTGTAATCTTTTTCTTGCTATTTATTTTCATAATAAATATTCATATTTTTCTGTCACTAAATTATGATATATTATTTTTTGATCAGTAAAACGAATTGAAATGAATTGGAGTTTTTTTACAGATAAATAAAAACGTCGTTGATAAAAAAAACATATCTGTAGTAGCCGTAGTAAGCTATACGAAACACTTTATTAATAATTATTTTTTATTGGTTGAACAAAATTATTGCATTCTTTCCTTCATATAGATGCAAAAAAAAAATAAAAGAGAGAAGGAATCAAGAACTAATTTAGAGAATTTTGGAAAATTTAATCAACACTCCATCTGATCTAAGTAGGAGGTGAAGAACTACAAATCGTCTTATGTCATGCAGTACGTCAGTTGATAAGTCAGTTGAACTTTTAGAATCAGCTATACACAAACTTCAAAGTCAACTCATGAAACAATCAAAATTACTGATGAATATGTATTAATTAAATATGAAAAAAACTTGCATAACTTGCAGGAATTTAAATAAAGAGACAGATTTAGTAGCGCAGTTAATTATATGTATTTCAATTTTTCAACATATTATAAACCAAAATCGTTTACAGACAATATTAACATGTAAATTATCATTATCAATAACATAAATAGCAGTATAATGTTATTTAGTTTAGCATATTTCTATTCTATATTAATATTAAAATCATTTAACTACTAAATTTTGTTATCAACGCGGAAAGAACATAAGTATCTGAACTTGAATGTGCCTATTTAAAATAAAAAAAACATTTGATATTTTAAATTCATAAGAAAAAATTTTCAATAAATTTATAAACCAACTGTTCATCGTGTATTTGGCACAAAAATATACTATTGTAATAAACAAAAATTTTTGTATAATATTTGCGAAAAATATTACGTATCATGTAAAAATAAATTTTCAATTATCACAAATAGAAACATTTTTAGGCCTCATTATATTCTTAATTCTATGATCATTATGTATCATCAAAAATACATATTTTGATAGTTTGAAAAAAGCATTAAACTGTGTTAGCAATATTTAGCACTAATACATTTCGTTTCTAAATATTAATTGCATCTTAGGCAATGATTCAAAAGTCATACTGAAAATCTTATACAAACTTTCGGTATAAAAATGATTTCATGTTAAGTATTTAGTTATGTATGAATACGTCAGTGTTATAAATATACATATACTGTTTAATTGACTTTGTATTTTGTCGATAAATAGATGTTAATGATTTTCAGATCTGCAGAGCATCTTTCGATCGCATCTATTCTCATGTTCTGAACTTTATCAAAAAAATTTTTAAATTGGCTTAATAGTTTTATTAACTATTTACGTAGTACATAACAGAGTGTCCGCTATAAAGTTATGGACATGTGTGACACTCCATCAAGTAGATTCTTTACTTTTTTATTCATCGTCGTTGACCTCAATGGGGATACTTGTTGTGAAAGTCGGCGTTTCAAGTTCCTCGTGTTTTTTCATCTTCATGCTCTGTAAACAATTTTTCATTTATAGATAATTATAAGGATATTCAAATTATTGTAATCAGTATCATCAAACTTAAATGAAAATGTTTAAGGGTAAAAACGAATAATAAAGTGGAATTTTTACCTGTTGAAGTTTATAATGGTTGATAATGTCTTGATCTGCAGGACAACTTTGTAGAAAAGCATCTAGCCTATACATATGATGCATATATCGCCACAAGTGAACTAAAGACTCAGGTATTTCAAAATCAGCAAAGTATTTTCCTGCAACTCTAATATGTTGTAAACGTGGCATTAATTCACAATCAAAACAACACATCGTATCTCCAGTTAAAAAGCGTGTGCCTTTCCGGCCCAAATGTTCATCGATCTTGCGAAGATGTGCCATTAATGATGAGGATTTTGGATCCTTATCTTTTTCTTTCGCATTTAAGAGAAGTAACTTTAATTTCTGTAAACACATGTTTAATGTTAATTGTTATTTTTAGTAATATGAATATAAATTAATCCATGAGTGAATTATACTTACGCTAAATAAATTTTCAACAAGCGTTGCCACTTCCTTATCTTGTACAAAAAGATTATGTCCACCAGGGATATTTTTCATAATGTGCCTTTCGATTTTTTCATTTTCTAAGATAGCATCTCCATTATCAATAAGAATAGGTGGGGGCGTGGCTTGGAAATTGGTGCGAAAATCAGGTGGGGGTTTTTGCATATCCACTGTAGTAACTTTTAGAGAAATTGTTTTTAATTCAGCAAGTAGATACAAGTCCATAAAGTATTCTTGACAAAACAAACAAGCTCCTTTTCGTCTTCCATCGATTGTTGAGGCCTAAAAAATTTATCTTGATGTTAGTTTTGATAATAATAAACATCATTTAAACAACAATTAACAAATAAAGAATGGGCATATAAATTTACTCATTAACAGAAATAAAACTGTTTTTTTGAAAGAACCTATACAATAACTTGACAAGTAGACGATGTGCATGACATACAGACGTATAAATTAATTCAATATCTCTTGACAATTATATTTTCGTGGTAATTTTTCTTGTGATGTCTGTTATAGTGACAATAAAAGTGTCACTGTATTACATTAATCATAAAGATGATAAGATAATGATAATCTGCAGAACGAAAAATGTTATGCTAGAATGTAATACTAGAAGTTTTTTTTGCAATTGATTATTTTAGTTCTATATTCTGGTACTTTGCAATCGTATCATCAAAAATCTATGATACGTTGTAAGATAGTTGATGAACTGTAAAAAATATTTAGTATCAAATAATCCTGGCCCGTCACATTGAACTTTAATCCATTCTCCTTCCTATCATCCTGCATCTTATATGTTTGACACACATACCGAGAGAAGATAATACAACTGTTAACTTCAAGGAATATTTTTTAACCAAGGTCAATTTTGACCTTGTAACCTAGAAATTATAATCTAGAAACAACCTGCCGCTAGTCCTCGACCTAGTCAAGTTTACGTAATATACATATATTAAATTTTTAGGATTATGATTTTTAATTACAGTCTTTTTCTTTCTCTCTTATTCTTCCGCATCTCTCTTACAGTATGTATGCATGTATCTCCTTGACTGAATACTCCATTGAAACAATTAATTTACTCATTCATTTTTAACGGTTTGATTGAAAATTTAGTCACACTGTGTGCTAATAATTATATCAACAGCCTACCATTACACAGGGTGTAATTATGTTTAAATAGTTTAGTGAATGATTTTACAAACATGCTAATTATTATTTGCGATTCATGGATGTCATATAATTAAAAATTCTTTGTTTTTATATCATAGAATAATAATCAAAGTTCATTTGGTTTATGATGAATTTTTTTTTTTGATTTCTAGTACGTAAGTTGTCATGAAAATAAATGTTTTTGTAACACCTTATTTTTGCTATTACTTAATATTTATTTTAAGTTATTTGTTTTATTAGTAATTAATATTTCGTTTGCTCAAAGAAAGAGCAAAAGCGAGAGCAAAAGATAGACGTTGCTTAGTCATCACTGAATGTAAAAATTCATTTGTGGCTTACATCTTTAGAAAAGTGTATGTGGTATCATCACTAAATTAGTCATTGAGTCAATAAAAATAATGTCTTTTATAATAAAATTAACAATAAAAGATGACCTACTTTGTATGAAGTTCTTTCATGATTTATCAATATTGTTTTTAAGTTCTTTGAATGTTATTAGTAAATCGAATATAAAATTATAATAGTAGCTATCAAAGTAGTAAATGACATAAAGTAATAATGACATATAATCTATACAAAGTCTATCACAATCTAGATAAAAAATTTTTTAATTATGACGGGATTCTAATATGATTAAGACGATATTTTATAGTAATAATGAACAAAAAGTTGAAATATAAAAAAAACTTATGAAATAGATTGAGGAAAAATAAAAAAAGGATATGTATAATCTCGTCAAAATTAAAAAATGACCACACTTATGCTGGTACTCCGTTTTAGATATGTATCAGCATTTTTTTATATAAATGTTATATGTATCAAAATCTACATTATTATCGTGATTTGCAATCAGAATAGGAAAAAAGTAACCTATTAATCTGAAAATACCTTGATTATTAATTCAATTTGAGGAACTTGGCCGTTACTTGAACCATTCTCATGTCCGTCGTCCGCCATCGTTTGATTAGTACTTTTCGTATGCCCCAAAAATATTTTACTTTTCTTTTCCAACGAATTGAATCAAAATTAGGATTTTAAACAAAAATTATTTATACACCACTTGAATTTATACGTATATGTACATAAATAAATGGTTATATTTCACGTGAGATAATGAATAACTTGCACCTGACAAATTTATTCGACAAGTGCAACGAGTGGTCGTGCAAAATATTACTGTTGTGCTTGTTTGATCACTGGGAGAAGCAGTCAGGAAAAACGTTGGAAGCACAATCTATAGTAAATCGATTCGTGTGATAATAAGCCTGTTTACATGTATGTACATCTATAGAAAGTACATGTGTACAGTCAATTCTAAAAGTATATCTATTTTTTATGAATCTCGAAAGTAATTTACAAGTATAAAACAAAAAAATTTTTAATTAAAATAAGTAAAATTGCAATTACAATATAATTTTTTAATGTAATTTTTAAATAAAAATTCCATTATAAAGCAAAAATTCATTTTTACCAATGGATGGTATTGTATATAAATTCGATATATCGATTATCGAGATGTTCATGATCATTCAAATTCAAAAAATTCGATTTTTATTTTGTTTATTAATAATAATACTTTAAACGTATATAAATGTTGATGGAATAATTAACACTATAAAGTTAATAAACAAAACAACCTTGTATAACTAAGTAAGAGCCAAAATAATGCATAATAACTGTTAATTAATGCTAATAAATGTTTTTTATCAATCATAATCTGTACTTTTTTCATTCAAATCGTGTAAAATGTTTTCATAGTACATTAATTTTCGTCTTCTATTTTTATTGAAGATAATGAAAAAAGAAAAGTTTAAATGTGGTAATTGTGGAATAAAAATGGGATTTTCGTTCAAACTGTAACAATTTATTTTTAATCGATCATTTTCATTCAAGTTATTTTCTGCAATCAAATATTATTTTAAGGTAAGAAGCTAATTAATTAATTAACTACTCCTACTTAACCAGCACAAGTAAAAATCATTTTTTACATTAGTAAAATTGTTCATGTAAGTAATATCTTGTATAAAAAATTGTTACGATTTTATTTCTTTTTTCTACTTTTCCTTAACTGATGAATTTATTGTTTTTTCATAGAAAAAACTGGTAATTTTTCCATATTGAAAGTAAGTGGTTCTCTCTAGAAACAAAAAAAAATATTATTTATGAAATGTTTTAATTCCAATAATCTCGAAAATATTTAAATTAATGATATAATTTTTTATAATTTCTTCAATGCTTTGGATTTACTTCAATACTATATAACGAGGTTGTTATGGTAACGAAGTGATTGTTGATAATTCCATAGTAAATACTGTTAGTTCAATATTATTAAAATATTTATTGAATAATTCCAATAACTGATCGCAAAAAAACTTATGTCGTTCCAAAATAACATTGATGAGGAATTTAATAATTTCATGTGTCGAGCTACAGAAGTTGGTGAGTTGTTTTATTACGAATAATATGTGATTGAAATACATACTTTCTTATATTTTAGAAAAGGTAATAAAAAAATTAGTTTCAAATGATATCGAAGAGCAGAATGAGGGAATGAAAATTGCTGATTCAATTCTTGACGGACGTAAGAAAAATAATGATTTATTAACTCAAGATGATCAATGTATTGTTAAATGTAATAGAACAATTATTAATAATAAAAATTCACTTCATGAAGATTCAGATAACTCGACTAATCCTGGTAATCGATGAGTTGATCATGAAAAATAAACTTATGACTATAATTATAATGCATTTTTCAGAGATATTCATGAAAATGGTTGAAAAAGATGCAAATCAACGGGCACAAGATAAAAAAATAAGAGATGCAAAAGCTGATAATTTTAAAAAGATTGGCAATAATGCTTTCAATGAAGGTGATTATGTAAAAGCCATTACTTATTATGAAAAAGCACTTGAAGAACGAAAAGACTCAGCTCTTATTTGGAATAATTGTGCACTTGCATACATGAAACTTGAACTGTATGACAAAGCTCTTAATAATTTTAACTGGGCATTACGTATTAATGATTCAAAAAATATAAAGGCCTTATTAAATAGTGCGAAATGTCATGCTCTTTTGGGTAATCGACAAAAATGTGATGAGTTTATCATTTTAGCTAAAGACAAGTTTCCAAAGTATTTTAAGTACATTTCAGGTATAATTATATCTGCTTAATATTAATTATTTATATTTATCGTCTGTGAAGTGAATTATGGTTCAATTCTTTTCAGATTTTGAGAATGAACTGAAAAATATTTCTTCTGATGTTACTCGTAAATAATTCGGTAAATATTAAGTAAGTAAGTTAAAATTAAATACCTATTCAAGAGTATAGTTAGCTCATTTTTGTTGCTGCCTTTAATTTGTTTCAGTTGATTTATTATCTGTATGATCATTTAACTTTTTGGCATTTTTTTCTTTGATTTCAGAAAGAGATCTTGGTTCATGCAACATTACTGCACATTCAATCTCCTATTAAAATGATTTACAGATAGTAATTACATCTTTAGTACTATTTTTTAAATATACCATTAATAAACATTTAATAACTACTGTCTACCTGCATTTTAGCTGCCCTTACAAATCCTTCATTTGCTGTTATCGTAATACTTTTCGTAAATTCACCAGTTCCAAAGACTATTCTCGATCGATGTTTTATTCTCCCTACTATTGGTAATTGTAAGATTCTTCCCTCATCAGCATCTTCGATTATTTGTACTTTTCGCATGAATGCCTCGGCTCTCAATTTTTCATTGACTCCTCCAATAGTTTTAATAATATCCATAAAATTATCATAAGCTGTTTTACAAACTAGTAGTCGTTTTCCTTCGAACCATTGATCTAAAATTGGTTTCACAGGACTACTCCTTTCCCATTCAGCTTGTAAATTCAATAAAGGTTCCAAAAAAATAAAATTTGCATGACCATTAGTCATATTACTAACATATGCCAAAAGACTTGACACATCAATATTAAGAGTTTCAATACTCAACAATTTTTGAGGCGAGACATTAAAAGTTTCTAATTTTTTCGATAAAATATTCGTTGTAGTTACTGATGACGATGTCTTTTCTTTATTTGTAGAAATAAGTAATGATTTATTACAGCTACTGATAGAATGGTTCTTTAAATTATCTATCATGAAATTATTAAAAATTTATTAATTCATCAAAGTAATGATTTTTTGTATTCGTAGAACATTTGATGGCTTACCTAAGATAAATTCATTTAAATCGAATTTACTTTCAAACTCAATAATAGACGTATCAGTAATATCTGCTATTCGTTTGCCTTCTACTGAAATTCCTAATTCTTCTAGCTGGTTTGCTAAAAACGATTCAATGCCACATGCAAAATAGAATATTATGTTGGGTGGTTTGTAACAATGCAGATGCATCGAAGCACAGGTCAAAAAATATTTAGCTTGGTCAAGTATAGACTTTTGACCATATTCACCATTTCCAAGAGATATCAATGATAGAGCTTTTGGATTTCGTGCTATTACTTTAATCCAAGTATTTCCATCATCACTAATAATATCCACCATTAAGCGACTATTATTACTGTCCATTTTGAATGGTTTCATAACACTTATAGAGTGATTACTTTTATTATTGGATTTTGACCACTCCATTAACAACCTTTTAACAACTGCATTTAGTTGAATTAAATTAGTACTTTGGAGATATTCTTTCTTCAAGTTACCTGTAGATCGTACCTTCATTACAGTATAAAATTAATATGCCATTCATTATTTTAGATAAATTAATGTATAATACCTTGTCTAAGAACTTGATTTCTTTATGAATTTTTCGTGATAATTTGTCAACACTATTTATATTGTTTTTCAACGTATTCAATTTTTCAATCATATCGTATCCATATTGAATTATTTCATTTACATTTTTTAATAATATTTCTTTATCTTCATCCATTTTTGTATTAACTAATATAATAACAAGATTTTAAGAAAAAATAGATTGGAATAAACTCACATAGATGTGTGAGTAAACAAAAACATCACACACAGTAACATAACAGTGGCGTCATCTATTTGCGTTGAATGTTCTGATCTACTTCCAGCATTTTGACGTCACAGAATATTGTTGATACGCAACTAAAAAACCGCTCATCTTGTGCGAAGTTTTTTGAAAATAAAGAACAAAAAAGAATTTAAAATTCGTAACAACAAAACGAACAAATATTTAAAATACAAAAATCGTAAAAGGATAAAAATGGTTATTTTTCAAAGTATTTATTAATTTTAAAAATACGTAAATTAAGATGAAGATAAATTACTCCAAATAGGTCGATTGACATTTGTTTTACGTGAAACAAAATCAATAATAATACTATTATTATAAGACAAGTTATTACAATTTTGGACAATTTTAAATGTGTTAAATGTGTAATAATTTGAAATGTGTTAAAGTTGGTCAAAGTAACAGATTTAGCTCAGAAATTTTGACATTTTTTTTGTTGCTGATTCAAGTTTCGCTTCAAATTCTAGGAATTGTGTCATCGTGGTTCAGAGAAACAGATCGTAACACCACCTAGATTATTTTCAAGGTTAGTGCTTCAGCAAAATTACATACATTTATTCGATTTGAGTCAGATAGAAGCTTTGTGAAAGAAAACAAAATTTATTCATAAATTGACAATAAAAATGGGCAATTCAGCACCAAAGGCTGAAGCAAAGCCCGTCGAGGCTAAAGAGGAAAAAAAATTGAAACCTTGTTGTGCTTGTCCAGAAACAAAAAAAATTAGAGACACGTGGTAAGGTTAACATTTCAAGGTTTTTAGGTTAAAAAATTGCATTATTTAGAAATTTTTATTTTTATTGAATTATAATAAACAGTAATTAATATGTAGTACATATTAAAATATTGATTTATGTGAATTCAGTGTTGTTTATACTTCAGAACTTGATATTATACAATTTGAGAATGATGTAATATTTTTTTCTCAATCTCTAGTATTATTGAAAAAGGAGAATCAGAATGTGGACATCTGATTGAAGCGCATAAAGCTTGTATGCGATATTTAGGTTTCAACATATAATTTAGTCCAAATAAATTTTGTCAATCAATCCAATGGAGTGATAAATAACAAATGGCATTGAAGAATACACAACAGCTACTCTTAATTATTAGTAAAATTTAATTTTACTTATATTAGTTTTTCATGTTTTCAACATAAGTACAAAATTTATTTATTTACTTAATCTTTGATTTTTAATTAATGTTTAACAAAAATGATATGTAAAGTAAAGTTAAATGGAACGTAACAGTATCTTAAACTTAAGTGTAAATAATTTATTTAAAATAACAGTCATGATTATTTCGATAAAATAAAAAAATTAATTCTTTAACAATAATAAATGAGCCCTTGGTTTTTATTAAGTTGTTATAACGATAAATTTTGTTTTCTTTTAATAAGTCTACTGTAGTGAAAGATTTTTAATACTCCATAATGATTTAACAGAATTGTTAATTGATAAGAATAATACTAGTAAATGTTCAACCACATTTATTTTTTTTTTGTCACTTTTGTTACCATTAATAAAACATACCTATCTAAAGTTTATTAAAAAAAAATTTAATAATTGGTTAACATAATATCTTAACAAATTGACTTTGTGGTTGAATTCCGCTTGATTGTTCCGTCATCTTAGCTTTAACTCATCTTTGTTCTAAGATTAATCAATGAAACAATCAATCACATATTACTTTTATTATTTTTTAATTGCATAATGAAAGCTAGAAATATTTTATTAAAATAAATATGGAAATGATATCTTCACGAGCAGCAACATTTGATTAACGATCAGAGTAATGATAATTATTTTTGAATTAATTTTAGCTCAATGAATACAATATTTGGATAGTTTTTCATTATAATATTGGTTATTCATCAATGAACGTTTGAAAAAATTCGTTCGTAATTTTTTGAATTTTTATCTTTTATTTGTTATTTGTATTTAATTAAATATATTGTTCATATTTTTTTTCTAAGGTATGAAAGTATAATTGTACTTTATTACTTCTTAAGTGTTCTTATTGTGTTTTCATACATATTCTGTTTCAATATTTCGTGAACTTTTAGTGAGGTAAATATGTGCATTATTAACTTTACTTGTTTTTCTTTCATGAAAATTACGTTAATTTATTATTAATAATGATAATTATAACAATAAGTAATTGAATATTCAGTGTGACTGTTCGGAAATATTTAGCGTCCATTAACCTGAGCTAAAGTGATATAATATTGGATTGACACAAATATATTGACTACTTTTTTACTTATCATAAAATACTGATGCAAAAAAATTAATAATAAAAGTTAGTAAATATATACTCCATTGTATCGCTATGATTTAGTATATTTTTTTATAGCAAATTTCATTCATAAGAATTTTAAGATAGATAGCTTCATTCAACTAGTTGATCTTAAAGTAAAAAGAAAAATCAATTTTTCTTTTTAAATTGAATAAATTTTAATAAGTAATTTTATCAGCTCAATTGAACTGAGCATGAATTAACAAAGGAATGTTTTAAACATTAAATATTGAATATTAATACTTTTAAACAGATAAGACATAAATTTGAAAAATATTGAGCAGATTTTACATTTGTCTCATTAATTTATCATTTTTTTAAATTATTGGACAGAAGATTTATGTATCTATGCATCTGTTTATTTGTCTTTATTTCATTTAAGGTAATTTATTGTTGAAATAGTTTAATTTTACCTATTAAATACACTATGATCACGAAATGCTTTTTTGACATTTTCATTATTTTTTCGTATTTTTCTATCAATTTTCACCTATCTTGAGGGATTCTAGTTGTCTTCAAAACTTTGCTAAGCTGAAAATATAAAAAAAAAAAATTTTTTAACGGATCATAAGCAACTAAAACATCAAGTTTAAATACAAATGTTGTGTGTTTTCGAGAGTTATAAAAACTCTTTTAACTTACTTGATACCTGGATTCCGTTTCCATTATTCCAATGACAGCAACTATTTGATATTGCCTAGCTTTCATAGCAGCTGTAGATTTTCTTATAAGTCTCATAGCACCTGGAGCACTGCTAGTACTATTGAATTGTCCCATTTGGACTGGAGTATGACTAGGATCTAGTACTAACATTGTTATAGAACCATCTCTCAACTGTTCTACCCCCATAATTGTTCTGCTATGACCTTGATGTTGAAGATAAAGTGGTGGTTTAAAATCATCACTTCTTTGAAAATATTGAAGGACCCAGTTAAACATTTCTGGATGGCTTCCATCAATGCCTGTAGGTTTATGAAAGTCTACTAGCTGACATTTTATCCTTAAACTAGACAATAAAGTTACTACTTCCGTTGCTCCTATCCATTTTCTCGTATTTACAAGTTTTCCTCCAAGTTGCTCAGCACCTTGGACATCAAATCCTTGACTCCAAGCCCATTCAATCATCCTTTGAAGCCGTGAAATTGATGGCATTGATGATCTAAGAGGATTGTCATGCGATCCAGCCGCTGAAGAAACTGAAGTCCAGGCTCGATAAACCAATTCGTTGTATCCAGTATGTTGGAGTAGTGAAGAAATTAACATTTGCATGTTTCTATATCCACACCCCCATCCCTTATCACCATAAGTCGATCCGTAATGGTCTACAGTTGAGCACATCCAGGTATTGATGACATTACTACATGCTTGGCTAACTGCCCGTACTTTTGGGACCAACCCTCGCGTGCAAGAACTTCCGTCATCAATTCCATTGTGCTCAGCAGCTTTCAATTCAATTTGTCGTTCATAATAATCAGCGACCGACATCTCTCCAGCATAAACTGCTCTCTGCATATTTGTAACGCTTTGTTCTCTAAAATTTCCTTGGTTATCCATTCCGTATTGAGCTCTTAGCATCTCAAACTCTCTCTGTTCTCTTAGTTTTCTCACCTCCTTCTCTCTTTTTTCCATATTCCGTGCTAAGAGCCGATCACTTGAAAAATCTGGAGTCATAGGCGATGGCGTACTTTTCTTAGTAAAATGTTCCTCGATGTGGACGGTCAGTTCATCATTATTTTTAAATGATGTGCTTAAACAAACTGGGCATGCTGGAGTATCACTTCCTGCACTAGATGCAACATCTGAATGAGAAATAGTCCCATTTGATGGACTAAGAATATCTTTATGCTCAATATTGACATGAAGTTCAAGATCTGATGAATTGGGAAAAGATGTTACACATAGAGGACAACTAAAAACACCATCTTGAGTTGGTGGTGATTCTGGTTGAAATGAAGGGGAAGTTAAATCGAAATGTTGACGATTTATGTGTTCCTCCAGCCTTAAGGGACTATCTGAAGTATATGGACACATTGGACATTCTAGAACTCGAGGTTTAGGTGAAGCATAAGAACGTAGCTGAAGATTTAAGCTTGATCTAAGAGGAGATCCATGTCCAGCTGATTCTTCTTGTACTAAAAATGGATAAAAAGTAGTAGTGATAAAGCGAAGATTTAAGAACAAATATAATAATTAACTAAAATACCTGTGTTCACATTGCAACTAGGGGCATTATTAGAAGCTGTGTTAATATTATTATTGTAATTATGATTCATATTAGAACGAGAATGACTGGAAGATTCTCCTTTTCTTGATGGTGATTCATTATTATGCTTCTCTGGTTCACTCCAACCATTTTGAACATTGGATGGTCGATTTGATATTCTTGATGGTACATCTTCTGTTTCTAGTTCTTTCACTGAATCTTCTATTATTGAATCATCATCAATAAATGCCATCATATCATTCTCTGGAGTGCTGAGAAGGTTAGAGAATTAGTCAATGATCATCACTTAACTTATATTTTAAATATTAATTATGTACGTATAGTACTTTTCATTAAACCAAAAGTAAATGTCATGTCATTACACTTTATTTTTTATAAAATTAAAATTTTTAAAGAGCGGAAATTATATTACACAAGTAAATGAACAAAATACACGATTTTGAGTAAACGACATCTAGTGTTCAATCAGTACTTTGATTATGATGATGAATGAAAATTTAAATTCACCTTTTCGCGCTTAATCTTTGAATTGAATTATTTGTCAGGTATTTTTAGTTTTTTTTTTAATTTGTTGGATTATTAGATAAATGCTGCATATAGGCAATTGATATTTTATTAATTAACTAATTTATAAGATTCCTTATGTAAAATTTTTTTGTTCATAATTACCTGGGTGTTAAATAATCTAAATGTGCACTGTTCACATGAAAAAGCATTTCAGCAGATGAGATTTCACCTAGGTCACAAAAAGGACAGCTTGCAGCACCTTGAAGGTGATACAGGACCATATGAGATCTCATTTCTTCATCGTTAAATCCCTCGAGTCCGCATATCTCGCACGTGTACGTCATTTCTGGTGGTTTACACGCAGCCATTTTGCGAAATTTATTTATTTTTTATCCTTAAAATAAAAAAAGTACCTTTTTCATTAATATAATTGATAAAAAAAAGTGAATAAATAATTAATAAAATAATTATATTTTTTTGGAGTTAGAAAAAAAATTATTATAAAGTATAAAAGAATCTTTTATTATACTCACAAGAGAATAAGTGGATACTTTTAATCCGGATGTAGATATATATCTAAATATTTTTTTAAAAAAAGTTTTATAATAAGTAGATAAAATAAATAAAAATGATGAATAATTATTTGTAAATCTTGGCAGAAAGAGTTCTCAATTGATTTACTCAATTAGAAAGAACACAAGCCGGTGACCCTCCTTTGAGAGAATCGATAGTTTCCTGCAAAACGACCGCACCGATCGAAGAGAACGACGATGAGGAGAAAATTGTGTCATGGAAATGTGAGAAAATAGAGGAAGGGGTACTCTTATCGTTTATTATTGAAGCACAAAATCCAAAATTATTAACGATTTGTTTTTTGTTGATTCACTTTATTAATAACTTTATCGGATTCGTTGCTTGATATTTTTAATTGGCTATCATCAATTAATCACCTCTGAAAGAGTTTCTCCATAATCCAATTGAAGGTTACCGTAGTTGCTAGGTTAAACTGACCCATTTAATTGTTACCACCGTCGCGAATCCCGAGGTCAAATTATTCGTTTTTTAATACAATACTTTTTTACTGTTAATTTTTATTTAACAACACTTTGGATAATTTTAAACATTATGGTAATTTTTTCACTAAAATTTACAATAACTTCTTATCACTGTTTTTTTCGTTTCTTATTATAAACTTCTTGATTATTTTGTTTTTGTTTATTTTACATAGACTTCAAGGCGTCCGTGTTGGCTCAAAAGAACCGACACGGCGCCTTCCTCGACCCCATATGACGGATACTATCAACCCTTATGTTATTTTTGTGCATATCCGTGAGTTTTATCTATTTCGCGAACTTCCTCCCCATTCAGTCGATGCGAGTAAGGGTTGCATGGGGATCAATAGCTCTTAACCGACAGTGTAAAGGACTTTTGCTTTATCTATTGCAAATAATTCAGTATGTATCGTTTATTTTAAGTGATAACGTGACTCCGTTCAATGAAATTTGCTATCAAATGATGATAATAGGTTTTATAACTGTTTAAATATTAAGTGAAGGTAACAGTCAGGCTTTTAGTTTCTCCTTTGTGTTATAGAATGCAGTAATTATCACGTTTGCAAATATTTGAAATTGTTTTTTTCCCATAATACTTATTATTACCAAATACTTTTGCAAAGCAATTCACAATCAAAAATCATCAGTTCTTTTAATAATTTTAAAAGAAAATATTAAGGAATCATAAATTATAATTAAAAGATCAGTTAAAAAGGTCAAAAAATAAATCAAAGACTATTGTTTATTTTTTTTTATAAAATCAGTGAGTAGTGAATTGATTTACATTTTTATTCATTTTTTTCAAGAGAGTAATTATTACTTTTATAATTATTCATTCACTTCTTGCAGAAGATTTTTAATAAATAGTTTTGTATGATTTTATAAATTTAATTAATTTTTCATGAATTAATTGAATTTTTGCTCGATTATTCGAAATCAAATTTTTTTCATGCTTTACAGTGTTAATTAATTTATAAAAAAATGTATTCAATTCATTCGACAAGTAGAATAAATGAAAATATTGGAGCGAAATAATCGCATAATGTTCATGAATTGTTATATCAAGATCGTGGGTTAATCCGCTTGGATACCGATACGGTAATCGATATAAGGAAGACGGAAGCAAGTAAATGAGAAACTGAGAATAGAAGGGAGTTAACAATGAGGAAGTTGAATAAAGTGTACTACATATTTTGTTGAAATATTTTTATTAATTATCGCAGTATATAAAATATAAATAATTCATATTTTTAAAACAAAATATTTTATTCTTATTATTAATAATTTAAATTAATAATAAAATTGTGACATATTAATTTTTTCCAATTTTTTTTTACGTTAAGAAAGTTTGCAACAAACTTTTTGAAATATTATAGAATAAAATTTGATTAAAGTATAAAGTAGAGTGACGTTTAAAAATAAAAACTTACGAACTGTCTATAAATTTAATCCTGAGGATGAATAATTAAAACAAAGAAAATACAATAAAGTTGCGAATTATTAAGAGTGTTATAAATTAAAGAGATACGAAAGAGATTTCACATTATTTATGTTCTTTTAAAGTTTTGGAGTATTTTTATATTCAATTCTACAATAATATTGAATATTAAATGATGAAATATTTTTAACATTGTTGAATTATTTTAATTCATCAAAATAATTTTATGTAATAACATTATAATTAGTATACATAAAAGCAATTGTGTATTTTATAAATTATTTGCTAATATCAACTAATTCATGAGTTTAATAAATTTCAAATAAATTATATTAGTAATTATAATGCAAGAAATTTATAAATGTTTATGCGAGAATCTAATATAAATTAGATTAGTAATTAAATTAAAACGATATCTATATATTTTGTTGTGACATTTGAAATGAAATAAATTTAATGTATTTTCAATGCTCAGACTAAATTTATTTGATATTTGATTGCTATTTTGAAATTCATAATTTCCATTTCTCTTTAATCATTTCTGTTATTCGTACATTCACCTTTACTTAATGCTTTCGAATGTTCATTTAATTTTCTGATAAAATGACAGGTACTTATTTGTCTGTTCAATTGTGACTTTTGGCTGTCACATTGTTTTTTTTTTTGAATATTTTAAAATAACTTTATTATTATAAAGTAGTTATGAGACATTTAATATTACACTTGTAAATATTTTGTATCTATCTGATATGGTTTATAGAGAGCTTAGAATTTTCGCCGGAAACTTAGGGGCGGAAAAGCATCGACCGTTGGCATTTACGATGTACGTTATTTTAAGGGGGTAAAAGGAGTATGAGAGTAAATGTATATAAGCGAGAGGACTCTCATAAAAATTTCACCCCTTTAGTAACTCTAAGCACGACTAATTCAAAATGGCGGGTACCCACCCCTGTACTTATATGTGTATATAGATATATGTTCCTATATCATTCTCTCTACAACCCCTCGAGGCGCTTTCGAGACGGAGAGACGGCCTCCGAGATTGGGGTGGGGCCTAACAAAGTATGGCGTGCACCCTTCATCTCAGAACTTCTAAATTGAAACCCTACGTGTTCTTGTAAATAAATTCCTAACCAACGGAGTAGAATTATTTTCCATCGTTTTATTATTTAAACTTACTTCATTATTCATTTTATTTTAATTACAAACTTTTTTTTTAATAACAATTTAATGAGGATTTGTTTTTGTTGGTATTTAAAATAATTACTCTAAACAAATTAGCTGTAGAAAAAGAATCATCTAATAAAATAAACATTGTATAAATTTAAGAAACAATGTGATTTTATTTTAAGAAATAATTTGATAGAAATATGAAAATCTAATCTAAGATGTTATCGTCTCTTACTATAATCGTAAAAATAGGTTTCGAATTCTATGAGTATCACAAAGATTAAACGTTATTGAATATTGAAATGTAAAAACAATTAATATCACACTTTTAATTACTTTCTATTAAATTATAATATACTTATACCTCAATCTTTTCATTATTTATTCTTACAATTTATAATCCAACATTTTATATATATAAATAAGAAAAAAAATGTCACTTTAAATAAAAATATAATCACTGATTTGTTTGATGTATAAAAAATTATTCAAATACATTTTTTAAAGCACTGAATTTACTGTTGGAGTAGCAATGAATTATTGGTTTACTGAAGCTCTTTTCCTCTTTTAACTTCTTTGAATAAATAATTTCTAATTCATCTTTTAATATAAAATCAATAATTATTCTTAGTGGAATTAAAAGTTTTTCTCAAAATAATTAAATTAATCCAGCTTGTAAAAAGTAATCAATAAAATTAGTTGAATAAAAACGTTATCAATTAATTATTGTATATTTTTTTTCTATTAAAAAATCAGTTGTTATAATCAACTAAATAATCTTACGAGCTTAGATACACAAATGAAAATAGTGTTGATTTTTCCGTAGCTCTCAGCATACTGATCTCACTTTTATTTTTAGGCTCTTACGATTCGTAGCCTATGCCCTGCCTTTTTACCCCTTTACGCACTATACACGACGATTTTTACGATTCTGCGCGGAAAATGGCCTTTTTTTTCTTTTCAATAACTACGAAACATTTATATTTTATTCCGATATCATTTTTTTATACTACACATCTTAATTCTCGAAAGTTTACAATTTTTATCTGTTAAAAATGTGTTGTTATGATGTTACTCGTTTTATTATCCTCGTTAACATTTATAATAAATTAAAAAATATCATACTTTGATTAGCAATGTCATGACTTTTCCTACTTTTTTCCTTATTTTTTCTATAAGTAAAAAGTTTCACAACCTTATAATGACATTTCCGAGATTTTCTACTAGTTCGTGTGTTCTATTAAATCTCTTTCACCTGAAAATCGAGCATGGAGTCTCGAGTGACTCGAACTCGATTAGAACGCTATTAACGACACTGCGGGGGTTGAGGTAAAGGTGGCAGAGAGTTGAAAGTCGTAATAGGATCACTGGACACTTGTTTACATTAGAGTTAACTTTAAGTTACATATATTTTTAATAATTAATAATTGAGTTATTAATGAATCTACTAGTAGCAGTTGTAAGTAATATCATAGGTATCATATTGAAATTTTTTTGTAAAAGTAATCTCGTAGTTGATGTAACTGGTTTTAAAAGGATTGTAAATGGATGGAGATGTATTAATATAGAGATTAAATGTTTTTAATTTTTTTAAATTTACGTATAACACATTGATATTTGTTTTGAAAAGGAGTAGTAATGAGAAAATCCTCATCAATTTCTCTCGTTTCCATTTTCCACTTTCATTCTCCCTGGTCTCTCTTATTCTCGAAAATCGTTTCTCGTCTAAACTACCCCAGTCTGTATTTGCCGCTCCAGGGGGTGGCTTCCCATCTTCTCAACCCTTTTGACCAAGCAACCTGGAAAGATCCAAGAGGGTGATTCTGATCCTCTAAAACTAGTCTTCCCTTTTCAGTTCTACTATCTACAGAAAAGGGATTCTCTTTACTTGTAAGGGTAAACCTAAAGAGGGTTGCACGTAGAAACCGCCCTCGATAAATTCCCTCTTCATTCGGCCTCGAATTTCGCGGACCCACCTTCCTACGGCTTCTAGCTTTACTTCTGTACCTTTCAAATCGCTTCGACTATGTCTTTTATTGCGTACGTTTTGCTTAAATTAAGTCTTAGAGGTTGAGGGTTCAATATTGTACTTGATGAATTTGAAAGGAAAACATGAAATTAATGGAAACTTTCATTTTCACAGAACAATGAGAATTGAAAACAGAATTGTTTTATATTGAATCTAATTAGTAAATTAATGTACATTGAAGATGAAGGGGAGTGATTATATGTCAACGTTTGAATGAGTTTTGAAACTTTTCTTGGTTCAATTCCTTTCAAAATGTCTTCGTGTTTCCTGGGTCACAAAAGGGGATGAGTTTAAAGTCGTTGGGGAGGAATAGTTGAAGGCAGGCAGTAGAGTTGGTTCGAGGAGTCGTGAGGAGTCTCATGGGAGTGCGGGTGAAGCGAAGAGAAACGCGAGTAGCATAGGGGGTGAGTAGGAAACGGGCGCGCCACCACCTTCTTGGATCAATAAATGATTTAACATTCACAAAATGGCGCGGGTTGCCTCCGCCAGGTTTCTACCATGTCGAGAGAAAGTCGTGAGAGGAGGCAGAAAGCCAGAGAAATAATATAATCTACCTTAGACTCTAGAATGTTACCCTCAAGGTATAGAGGATGAAGAG